CTTCCTCCTTCCTCACCCTTACTCGTATCGCACCCATCACCACTACCACCACCAGCACTACTACTACTGCTACCACTCTACCTCACGCTACATCGACCTACCGCAAGTGCAAGTGTTACCTCCACCTTTTCACTCATCCTGCAACTCCTTCTTCCTTCCACTTTCTTCCACTTTTTCTCCACTCTCCTTTCTTCTCCTTCTTTGTAATTATACTATGTGCTCAATCCCTGTTCAATTTTAGCTCATCAATAGACAGACGAACAGACACTCCGTAATATGTGTGCTGAGATTTGAGTAGGTAGATTGACTGTGTGTCTTTGTGAGGGAAGAGGATCTACTGGAGTCTCGAGTCTCCTTGGCCTCTACCAGTCGACCAAGGAGTTCAGAATGAGGAGGGGAAGGTATGGAGGTGGAACAGAAAGACCAGACCCGGGTTCCGTCTCGTCTAGCTCGCGTCAGTACGCCCGCTGAGGGCGCCGATGCGTACGCAGACGTCCTCTAGACTGCTGGCGGTGCGGGCAATATGGCTATCCCACCTCCTGATCAACCCGTCTCCTTCACCCAATCGGAGTGCTATATCGCCCCCAAGAGCTTCCCCACCACCACCACCACCTGCTGCTCCGGCTTCTCCATTTTCCCCTCCAGCACTACCACCACCACCAGCAGCACCACTTACGTCTCCCAGCCCTCCGGCAGTAGGTCCCTGCTGCCCACTCTCAAGGAACGTGAGTATCCCCTCTACCTGATCAATCTCCGCCTTGAGTCTCCCCTGAACAATCATCCTCCTAACCATCGTCTCGGCTCCCGTTGGGGTGAGGGAGAGGAGAGAGCCGAGACCGCTGAGCGTCAGAGAGAGGTAGAGTTTGGACGAAGCGAGGATGTTGTGCTCCATCATTGCTCGGTCCAGCACTGTAGTGGGGGCACTCTTGACTGGGACTTGAGTGCCGTTTCCCTGCGATTGGCCTGCACCAGGGTGGGGAGAAGAGTTCATGCTGCTCGCTGCAGTTGCAGTCGCAGTCGTGACATCGCTAGTAGCAGCAGCTTCTTGCTCTACTCGCATCATCTCCCGATCGTTTCCACTGCGAGTCAGCTGCGTCTTTTGATGAGGCTGGACCATCTCTGCAAAGGCATCGACTTCATGAGGTCGTACAATGTGCTCGAGAAAGACCTTGGTCAGGATGGTAGACTGGGGAAGAGCAGAAGTGCGGTCGTCCCTGATGAGTGTGGAGAGGATGCGAGACCGCTGAGGTCCTGCTGGAGCCAAGATGGCTGCCGTCACGGCTGCAGATCTGGGAGAGAAAGAAAACGAAAGGAGGGTCAGACTCGCTCAGTCTTGCCTTCTCGGATAACCCGCCTGCAGCAGGTGGGAAACTCACAGCATCATACTCCTCTCTTCTTCGTCGATCTCGGCCACGTAGCTTAGCTCATGGAATCTTACAGCCGCGTCTGCGAAGCGTCTCTGAGCGTCATAAATCCGCGCCTGGCAAAGCTTGTACTGCAAGCCCAGCAGCTTTCCCTCCTTGATCTCCTCCTCACTAGCCTTTGTGACCGTTTCTTCTTCGCTTCTATTCATAGCTTGAAACCCAATGGAGGTACCAGGAATGGAATGGACGACCATGCTGGCTCTCTTTAGGTAGGCGTCCGCTCCAATAGCATCATCTGCTTCCAAGAGCAAGCGGACAATGCGGACATAGATGCGGAGCTTCTGTAGGTCAGATACGGAGCGGTGGCCAGAATCGAGAGGTATGCCTTGAAGAACCATTGCTGCTGCAGACCAGTCGTGGAGTGCTTCGTTGATGTCTGCTAGGTGTAGGCGGATCGCAGAGGCCTGTGGCAAAGGGGAAGCCGATTTCAGCATCTCATAGCTCGCTGAATTAGGCGATATACGAGCTTCTGAAACTCACCTGATCTTCGAAGCTGAGCACTCTAGGCTGCACCTTCTCCAGTGCCATCTCCAGCACATCCTTCTGCGTCTCCTCGTCTCTGATAGCAGGCAGAGCCTCCTCACCCTCTGCAGCTGCTCCCCCTTCTTCCATCTCCTCATCCCCTCCCGCCTGGCCCTTGCTGACTCGACTACCTATATGCTTAATTGTCTCATCGAATGAAGTGAGAGTAGTACGTCCAACTACCAGTCCTCCACCCGAAGCATTGAGTTCAGAGAAGACAGTGAGGTCGAGGTACTCCTGGCACGCCTGTCTGAGCAGCTCTGCAGGCAAAGCCGAACGGGGAAGAAGCAGGAGGGAGCGCAGATGGGAGGTATAATCTTGCGAGCGACTGGAAGAAGGGGCAGAAGAAGCTGTGTTGAGAGCGGCGATGAAGTCCTGGAGTGAAAAGGGGGAGGAGGTGGAAGTAGAAGCCATGGTGGTGGGTGGAGGATGGGCTTGCGCCAGCGTCGCAGCCCAGTAGCACGACCTCGGGAGCTGTACAGTCGGCGGAACGAATAGAGACTCTCAGAAAAATGGAAGGGTGTGATGAGGAACGAGTGGAGTGCCGCAGGAAATGGTGACAAGGATTGTATGGGAAGGACGTCGAGATTCGTAGGAAGCACACACGATGCTTTGTCGTCCTTCTGCGCACAGATCAGCATCGCCAATCAACGGAAAGGGGCGCGGGACATGCCAAAAGCCGAAGAGCGGCCAAAGAAGGGAGCCTGGATACCACCTCTTTTCTTCTACAACTACAAACAGATTCCGACTCCCGAAATGGTGACATTGAATGTGAATGTGGAGAGCTCTATCGTAAGACGTTCGCTGTCTTCACAGATGAAACTACGCCTCAGGTGTTGGTCTCGCAAAGACGAAGGTATGCGCTTGCCGCCCTTCAGCGCTTCCTGCCCCTCTCTGGCGAACTTCCCCTCGGCAGATTTCTACCCCGCATCCAGATGATATCCTCCGTGTCACCTACTCGACCATGGACAATCTCTTTTACTACCCCTCTGTCTCCCAGATCAATACTTCGCAAGCGCACAGGCGATCGATCCTTGCGGGGCGACACAGCATATCCGCTCGTAATTGACGACTCGGGCTCTTCATACTTGCTGCTGCCCGAGGTCAAAGCTGCGTCTAGCTCTTCTGCCTGCGTAGACAGCGAGCGAGAGCCTTGACATAGTAGCAGGGGCTTTGTTCCCACCGAGTTGGTAGGAGACGCGGTGCAGCTCCTGTACGCCGAAGGTGAGCAACTGGGGGATCGGTGAGCTGATGAAGGTGAAGTCACCCATGATGGCCCAGAGGTGTACTGTGGAGGCAGTGCACCAGGAGTCGATGCTCCTGTTGCAATAGAGGCAAACGTCGATCGAGACTCTAGGCGACGTAGCCTCGGTACTGACTGGAAGTGTGTGTAGGTTGCCAGTGCTGGATTGGCCTCGGGACACACTGGCGCTGGCGATTTGCAGGCAGCCTCTTCTGCCTTGGGCCTCTTGTCGTCCTCTCGACAGGCGACATCCGGTACTTTCTCCTCGTCATCCGCCTCTTTCTTCTTTGCATCTGCTGCCACTGCCAGCATCTCTTGCATCTCCACCTCTCCTCGTCCCTTTCGAAGGTTCAAGCAGACCAGGATGGTCACTCCGTACAGCTTCGACAAACAGATGATGATGAAAAAGTAGAAATCGCTCTCGTAAGCAAGCACCTCGATCAGGAGCGCTGCGAATGTGGCCAGCCCCGTGATTAGGCCTCCTGGCACTAGAGTCCACATCAGACGACGGATGAGCTGGTCAGTGATGCTCAGACCTGTGCGAGAGGCTCGGAGGTTGAGGGCCATACCCAGAGCTGCAGGAACGTGGCATGAAGGATACGAGGGCAATGAACGAATGGTGAGCGTGTGCTGAGCTCCCTCCATTTGGCTGCACTCACCAATGATCAGATCCACCAGGCAGCAGATCACCAGCCACATTCTGAAGAAGTTTCTCGCGATAAGCATCGGTGTGATACCCCCCTTTCTGGTCGCCACAGCGTACCAATAGACCGAGACTAGGCAGGACACTGTCTGGAGTAGTGACAGCGTTCCGATGGTGACGGAGAGGAGCCAGCCGATACCGGGTCTCTTGCAGAGCTGAAAGAGGCGATGAGAGTAGAGGGCGTGCGTCATAGAGGCCACGAGGGCATTGGGTAGCATGTTGCCCCATAGCATTTGAGACCAGACGGGGTAACGTCCTGACCGGTAGGGAAAGACTTAGCCTATCGCATCGTAACATGTAACATCGCCTTCTCTATCTACTCACCCCACCTCTTGGCGAAGATGACATACCCGCCATAGAAGGCGAAACAGCTGCGAAGCACCCCTCTTGACAAGTCAGCGACCGCATCTCTTCAACTCCACACCACCCTGGCAACTCACCACTGCGTCAATTCCACAATTGTGAGAGCCACGACGGTAGCCTTGAGTATAGGTTTGTCCTTGCGAAAAGTCCGGAAATACTTGACGACTTCGCTTAGGAGGAGTGTCACAAGTCCAGAGTTGACGAGGATGCCCAGGTAGGGGGACCAGAGCTGCCTGAGGATCGGAGAAGGGAAGTGTGGGTACATAAATTTAGTCTACAGGTGAGGAGGGCGATGGAACGGGAGACATGAGCGGTGATTGGAGGACTGACCTCTGAGCCATTCGGTAGGCACTGTCTAGCGTGTGGGCGGCATAGGGAGAGGTGGACGTCGCATTTTCTGGTAGATACATGCTTGGGGCTTTGCAGTCCAAAGAGAATGCTGAGTCCCAAGAAAGGCCAGGGTATGGATTGGGCAATGTGAGGGTAGCGGAAGTAGTCCTCGCCAGCGAGTGAGAGATCAGAGAGCGATACAGTCGACAGAATGACTGCGGTGCTAGTGGTCGGCGCCGGTGCTACCGATCTTCCTGAGAAGAGGAAGTGACTGAAAGAAAAGAGGTCTTGTGCTCATAGACTCGAAGGGGAAGCAAAGGAAGGTAAAGGCTGCGACCGAAAGATGAGCGGGCGGACGGGCGGAAGGTGTTATGTCGGAAGATCTGTAGACTAAGCTCGGCGCCACAGCGGCATGGCACGGTTCATCTTCGCCCTGCCCTGGGCGTAGCGCCGCGGGAAGTAATCTCAGCCATCTATCTTTCGCTCTCTGGCTTTTGACTTCTTCGTCAACGATATCCTTGATATGAATTAGCGACAAGCACGTGGTACATAGTGACGCTTTCCCTTCTTCAGTCTCCTTCTACGGCCTTGAAAAGTTTGCAATGCTCGACTGCTGTCCCACCGTCTGATGTTCTCCATGTCCCATCTCTCCATCCCTCGTAGTCTCAACCTGTGTATCCAGTCCCAGAGGCTGGTTGTTCAGCCTCTCTGCCCTCTCTCCAGCTCCCACTCGGGCTACATTCTCGGGCTCGATATGCTTAGGAGGTGCTGGACGCTCTGGACCTGAAGGGCGGGAGAGCATGCCCAATTCGACTTCATGGTCGGAGATGGCTGCAAGGCGACGTAGCTCTCGGAGGAAGAAGGTGGTCAAGCGAGAGAGGACAATGGGGAAGGCCAGCTCAGGATGTTCTGCTGCCAGAGGGTCCGCAGAATCGATTTCAGAGGAAACCTTGCCTTGATTGATGGCATTCTGGCGCTGCTGAGCGAGAGCGGCCGCGTAGGGCGAACGTGACCTGGGGTCCTCGGCGCTTGGTCCTCGATCTTTTGCGAGCACCGGGCCAACACCGGGCACGACCGGTGCACCTTTGGCGGACTTGTCGATTCCTCGTACCTTGGAGAGTACGCCTCCCACATCACCCCAGCCAGCGCCGAAGACGTTCCTCCAGAGCGCCATGGCCAAGCGCGAGTCTCCCTCTCCTTCAGAGCCAAGCATAGCAACCGCCTCATCGACGGCCAATAGGGCTCCACGATGCTGGGTATGCATCTCCTTCATGTAACCCTTGACCAGTCGGGACGTCTGCACGCCGAAGCGCTGGCGCATTCGGTACTCTGCATCGATGAAGAAGTGGTTGATGATCTCTTGCTGATACACGGCAGAGTCCTTTGGCTCCATCGCTCTGAAGCGTAGAAGCAGCAGCATAACGTGGATGTTGGTCACTTGGAACCAAGACTGGTAAGTGGGCGGCAGGTGACATTCTGCGTCGGAAAGACCATGGGGGAGAATCAGTCGCAGGCTACAATTGCTTCCCCACTCGGAGTATACTCACCTCCTTGCCAAAAGTCCTTGTCAAGTTCCCACCTCTCAGCGCAACGATCATACAGGTCACTCGTGACCCGAATAGCAGTCGTGGTACGACTGTTGTATCCCATAAGCTTAGCAGCCATACGAACAAGCTTCTTCTTGAGCTCGCTGTGTACAGGAGCAGCAGGCTCGGCAGCAGGAGCCCGTGCCGACGAGTCTGTTGGATCAGCGGCCTTCTCTAGCGGACGAGAGCCCGGAGTAGGAGTAGTTGCCGCGGCTCTAGGAGGAGGACTGGGGTTGGCAGGGTTGGAGGGATTGTTCGTGGTTGACTTGATGTTTGGCTCAATGCGCAGGACGGCAGAGGTGGATAGGCATCGTGATCGAGATGCACTCGCCAGAACACTTCGAGTGAGGTAAGCGTTCATTTTGCTGCAAAGTTAGACTCTCAAGTGAGCGACGAGCAAGGAGTCAACGGTTCAGGACAGCGACGATGACTGGCACTTGTGAGTAAGAGGGTGGTGATCGACAGGTGAAGGTGTTGCAAATGGAAGAGTAAGCCAAGCCATGCGGGCGGAAGACCTTCTCAAAATATTGCGCCCTCCACCCCAGCTGACGAAGCAAAGCAGGCGCATCGGAACGGAAGCAGAAAGAAGTGCATTCAGACTAGCGAGGCAAGATGAGAGGTACAAGCGAAGGCAGGAGAGACGGAGCTCATGGTATCCATTCATCCAGTGACATAAGAAGGAACTACACGATGCGTGCGAAAGACAATAACACAAAGCGGAATTTGGAGCCTAGTAAGAGAGGTTGGCACAAGAGAAGGCAGGCCTAGTAGACGAGCCGTAATCGGCAATGATAGCCTCAACAGCCGCGTAGAGACCAGGACCGAGCAGGAAGAGACCAATGAAGCCGGCAATGATGTGCAGGATTGTGTTGATGCTTCGCAGAGGGCCCTTGAAGTAGGCGCCCTTGTACAGCGAGAGATGGCATCCGAACCAGAAGAGGTAGCCGAATTGACTGTCAAAGGCTGCTCCAAGCAAGGAGAGGAAGTCACCCATGGAAGGAATCACCTCGGCGAAGATGAAGGCGATGACCCAAACGATGATGGTGATACCGATCCAGGTTCCCCAGCCAACGGCGCTGTTGCTGTGCTCATGACGAGATCCGGCCAGGACGCGGCGGAAGATGAACTTGACAGTGACGTTGGAGTAGATGGTTCCAATGATGATAGTGGGGAGGATGACAAAGCCAGCAACGGCCTTGGCGTAGACGGGCTGCAGAGAGGCGAACGAAGGAGCCTCCGAGTACTGTCCCAGATAGTAGAAACCGACGATGGGAGGAACAACGAAGAGGACAAAGGAGCCCACGGCCAGGGCAGCAAGGGCCTTGGGGAAGTCCTGGGGGCGCCTCATCTCGCGGATAAACGAGGGGAAGAGAATCTGAGGAATCCACAGGAAGGTGATGTTGAGGACACCATTGACGATTCCGACCCAGGTGGTTCCAGCAAGAGGATAGGCGTAGGTGTAGACGGGTCCGTCAATGGGGTAGTCTCCATCGTAACCCTGAGAAGGGCTGGTCTCGATACCAGCAAAGATCATCAGGAGGAGAATGGCAATACCCATGGAGATGGCCGACACCACACCCATTGTGCTAACGTGGTTGAGAGTACGGGGGATGGAGAAGACAATACCAATGATCATCGCAATGACGGCAAAGACGGTAGTGCAGAGAGCGTGGGTCGACAGTGTGTTGAAGATCTTGGCGAGGGTCAAGATGTGGAAACCGATGAGGAGGATATTGTTGGCCAAGAGCATGAAGGCGGTGACCTCGAATGCGATACGCGAGCGACCAAAGAGGACGAAGGCCAGGTCACAGATATCCCTGACCTCGGGGTGCTTCATGCAGAATCGCCAGAGGGTCATACTTGTGAGCCAGAAGAAGGCACCACTGACCAGTGTCGTGATCATACCTCCCACCCATCCGAGAACGCTGAAAGACCATGCCTGGGCAAGAATGGCGAGGCAAACCTGGTCACCGAAGAGCAGAAGCGCAGTCTTCTTCCAACTGAGAGGCGGAATGCGGAAACGGCGTGGTATCGGTCGAGGTCAGTCTCAAGATGCACTGAGCGAGCTCGCCGAAGGGTCACCCTCGATCAGTGGCTGTGTGAACTCACCCCATGGTCCTGAGCTTAATGTCATGGCCTTCTTCTTCCTTGACCAGCAGCTCAAAGGCTACATCGCTAGAGTGCAGGGTCTCCGTCTCGCCATCGTACTGCACCTCCTTCTCGATGACGCGCTCGTCTGAGTTTCCCATGCCAAGCTCCTTCTTGGCCGCGTCGTCAATGATAATGGGCTGTGGTACTGTGGACATGATGGTGGGTTGGTAAGGGGAGATAGGATGTGGTAGGGAGAGAACCCGTGAGGAGAGGAGGGGGGAGGAGGGAAAGAGGACCGGAAGCTGTAGTAAAGGCGGAAGCTATTTATCATTCGCCTTTCCGGTACTAGCCAAGGCAGGGGCGTTCCAAGTAGAAGCCCGCATGATAGCAAAGGGTTTTGCTCCCGTTTTCGCCTTTCAAGCCACAGCTTCGGTCTCAGTAGCCGCTCTCCTCTGACATGCAACACTGCACCCCGCCTGTGTCCGGTGGTAGCTTGGTGGTCAAGGACTGATGGAGTATCGGCTTCACCTTTGAGCCCTTTCGAGCCGCGACGTGGCCAGGCCAGGACCAAGGTGCAGCTGGGGATGCAACGACAGGCCCGCTGCTCCTGTCCCGTGGGAAGCACGCAATTGTAGCAAATCTTATCTGCTCAATTACAGTGCCTTGCAACAGAGACCATCGGCTTACCTTGAGCCTCGTCCACCTCCCCTGCGCCTCTGAAATTATCAAAGAACACCGGTCCAGTGGGGAAAGAAGGAGAGAAGACGGGAGGCGAGGCGAAGCGCGAGACGCTTCTGATCGAGGCATGGAGCACGCCACGCTCCTGCACCCTCGCACGGCCACAGCCATCCTCATCCGCCGTCGGCACCCGTCGCGACGCCACGAGGGTGGCGCAACGCGGGCCAAATCCCGACCGCCAAAAGGGCCTAGAGCGGAGCTTCCCCCAGACTTCACCCCGGGTCCCTGTCCCCCCCACCCCGCCTCACCCTTACGACGAGGAGAGGGGGGGGGGGGAACAGCGGGAATAGCGGCAGTGTGCCTATTGGCAGTGGCTCGCTCGCAAGGGTCGAGGCCTATACAGCGACGAGTGTCCAGCGGGTCTGTGTGCAATTGATTGATCAGCCTGACCGTGAGTGAGGTCAGGAGAACCGAAATGCTGGTAGTTGCTTCCTCCGAAGAGAAGGGTGAGTCCTTCGGTGGCAATCAGATTGTGCACCGCACGGCCCATGGGTGGACGTGTGGGTGGCGCCAGATCAAACCCTGCAGCTTCACCTAGCGTACCGATGCCAAGGTGCAACAGGCCACCGTCGAGTCGAGGCTTAGCGACCTCGCCAATTCCTGTCTTGACAGCTCCCTTTCAACGCTGGTGGCAGTGCCGTTCAGCCACACCAGTGGAGAGGATCCCGTTCCGAGACTGTTTCCATATATGCACTCTAACAGCCGAGGTGATCATCGCGAGGTACAGGAAACATCGACGATCTTGCCATCAGCATCGATTCTCATCGATTCTCATCGTCGTCGTCGTCGTCGTCGTCGTCGGCAGACAAGGCTGGCTACGTCGTCTGGCTCGAAGGTGAAGCACGTGGCGCGGGAGGAGATCCGTTCCGCTTCCGACATCCCACCTTGCGTCCCTTTCCGCTTTGACCTGCCCGCACGATCATCACCTTACTGTTGCTCTCTCAGTGTGAAAGTAGACAAAAGCAAGAGCTTACAACCTCGGGAATAGTGTAAAGAGATGAAGGCTATTCCTGGTGCTCTCCTGACTTGGTAAGTATAGATGCAGAGTGGGCTGAGCGCGACGAAGAAGCTCGCAGCAGTCAACCTCACCCTCTGTACTTCCTTCGGATCACAGCGACCCAGCAGCCAAGCAGCTCATCCTCTCCATCGACGAGCGTCTACACTTTGTCATCGTCGATCTGGACTCTACTCACTTGCTCGTGAGAAAGGACATGGTCGAGGTGATGAGGGTCGAGCTAGAGGCCGAGGTGAGTTTCGAAGACTCCAGAAGATGGTGAGATGGAAAGGGTTGAGCTAGGTTGAGCTGACCGATCTACACTATATGTTACGCTTCCTGCACTCTGTAGCTCGAAAAGAACTCCTGGACAATGGAGCAATAAGCAACTCTGCCCCCACTGCCTCCCAACCTCTCACTCGGCGCATGCGCAGAAAGGCGTGTAGGACCTCCTCAAGAGGTCCCGCCTACGCTCAGTTCAGCAAGCCCTCCCCATAAGCACGCTTCTCACTGCGTCCCCGCTACTCTGCCCGGCGACACTGGAGCGAAGTCTCATCATCAGATGAGCGGCGAGCAAGGAAGCAGCAGTGCCTCCCCGTGGGACAAGGCGGCTCAACATTTGTCGTCTCCTTTACTAGATTGGCATTGGCACTGGCACTGGCACTGGCACTAGCGTGGACTTTAGATTAGCATTCATTGATTCTTGGATGGATGGTAGGCGACAAGAGAAGGAAGAGAAAGAAGACATGGACAAGTGAAATTGGCAAAAGAGTCTCGAGACGGGGATGATGCAGAAGGAAGAAGAGGGAGAAGAGTTTGTGTGTGGAGAGAGACAAGGCAGGAGAAAGAGAGAGAGAGAGGGGGGAAGCGAGGGATGCAATCAAGGAATTGAATTGTCGGATTGTACCGGATCGGATCAGATCTGGGAATGCATGACTGAAACTGAAGACTTTGAGGAAGAAGACCGAGAAGAGTGGAATGGTAGAGTACGACTCCTCACTCGCTATGCTACGCTACACTCCCTCTCCTTCGCTATGCTACCGCTCCCTACCGTACCGCTATGCTCAGACGCGGCGAGACGAGGACTCGCTTACTTGGCAGTGGCGAATCCGACTGCGTTCCTTCCGAGGTCGTACACAGTCGTGTACTTTCGCAGGAAGACGTCACCAACAATCCAGATGGGACCGAGCGGGGCAGGAATGTCCAGTCCAGTGAAGCTGGAGATGCAGCTTCCCTGTACTTGGAGGATGTAGTCGGATGCCGAGAGGGTGTAGTCCTTTCCGTCGATGGTGAAGGTAAGGTCGGGCAGCGAGGGGATCTGCTCACAGTCGACGGTGTACTGTCCCTGCCAGCCCTTCTTTGCGCCAATGGCAGAGTTGAGCAGCTCCATCACATCGGTGGGACCGGCAATGAGCGATGTACCAGTGTCGATGGCTGCGCCGGTGTTGTCTAGGTCAAGCTCATCGTCGCCGAGAGCAACTTTGTCGAGAGCGACCTCCCAGTAGCCCTTCCTGCGGATGGGTGCGTAGGTGATCTTACCGGTGTAGTGGTCTGGGTCAATACCACCAAAGACGGCCTCACCTCCGTCCTCAGCAGAGCTGCCTAGGTAGAAGGAGAAGACGGGCTCGTCGATGAGCTTCTGGTTGACCATCTGGTAGAAGGGTGGCACAACGCCATCGACGGAGATGGTGTCGTAAGCGAGACCAAGGATACCGTCGAACTTGCCAAAGGCAAAGGCCAGCCCAGGCTCGCTGGTGGCCTCGGCAAAGTCTTGGTGCTTGATCTCAAGGTCACCAATGCGGAGAGTGTCCTGAGAGACGAAGCCCTCCATGGCACCGGATCCATACTGGATCTTGAACTCTGTTCCGTTCTTGTGGTAGGTGGAAGAGGCCGAGTTGTCGTACTTTGTGTGAAGGAAGCAGGCAATGGAAGAGCAGGACTTGGAAGGCACCCAGAGGTTGGAGGACCCAGTGTCTAGGATGACCTTGAAGGACTGAGGAGGTGTACCGATGGAGATGTCGGCAAAGTACTGGGCATTGAGGTAGTCGGAGAGGGGAACGCCGTGTCCCTTCTTTGCCTCGGCATACCAAGCAGCGTTGTATCGGTCCTTGCTCTCTACGGGCTGGACGGCAAACTCGCCCTCCTGGCCAGAGGTGAAGGGGGACTGGGCGGCGGTGGCTGCGCCGTACTTCATCTTGAGCATCTTGGCCTGGGTCTCGAGCTGGTGGAGGGTGGTGATCTTGGCATCATTGTGCTTGCTCAGCTTGGCCCTGAAGAGTGGGGAGGAGTGGGAGGAGTGGGCAGTGGGAATGAGGTCAATACTCGTAGTCGGTAGTGGGAGGACCCTCATCGCCCAAGGGGCAGTGGATGGGTGGGTGGCTGGACAGTGCGAGGCTTACGATACGTACTTGTGAACACCAGCGTCTACGCCTGCTGCTGCTGCGAGTGCAGCTACGAATGCCAATGGGAGTGAAAGCTTCATTGTGTATGCGGGTGTGAGAGAGTAGGGAGGATTCTAAGGATGGAGAGATGTGGGTGTGGGGTAGAGAGAGATGGTGAACTCGGAGGGAGGCAAAGAGGCTGCCTCGGCTCAGGCTCGGGTGGATGGATGGCTGTGGCCAGGGCGGGGCGGGCCTCACTGATGGATGCGGGTGGACTGAGCGTGCGTGCGTGCATGCATCTATTTGCGCGCGCACCCGCCTTGATGACGACGACGTCCTCGGCGGGCGGAGAGGACACTCGGGCGAGACTGGATGAACCTTCCGTTCCGATATTGGTCTTAGGGGCGCTGATCAAGAGGACAGTGTGAGCCGTGCAAAGGCGCTGTTGAGGAGATGTCAGCAGAGTAGACGGCTCCTCAGGCAGCCAGGCTAGTTGTACTCATTCAAGTGTGTGGGTATGCTACCCCATGGCCATCCGCCGTCGGTGCCGAAGAAGTCCTACATGGGTGAGGCTGTAGATGTCCTCCCGCCTGTGTCACTCTAGTCCTGTCTGCCCCAGCCAGGACGATTTCCTGGCAGGCGCGGCGGCGTTGGCCAACCAACTCCACTTTTGCGCCTCGGGGATAGGCTCCCCTCTCCGACTGGCAGGGCAGCCAGGCAGCCAGGCAGACAGACAGACAGGCACCGCACACAGGCACACACAATTGGCCACGCCGTCACCGGTCGGTCATCCCAGGAGATAATCTCGCACACATTCTTCTTCCCCCTCTCCAGATCCTCCCACCTTTTCCGCCTCCCATCTCAACCTAAACCAGACGTCGACGACGTAGAGCTACACTTGTACTTCTTCATCACACGAGTAAGTGTCAGTCTCTCCATCTCTTCCACGCTCCAATCACCCGCCGGACCCCAGCTGCGATCAAACCCTCGCGGTCTGGGACATTCACTCCTCGGTCATTCCAACTTTGCCTCGTCACTCCGTGTGTGCTTACAGGCGCTGACTCCCGTCCTGCCCTTTACTCCGATAGCTCTTCCACCTACCTTTTCCCTTTACGTAGCTGCTATGCCCGCCTCCGAGGTACCAGCACTCCAGGATGAGACGATCATCGTCGGTGAGTAAGATTGCCGAGCCTATAGGAACGGACGCATGAACACTAGCAAAGCCGCCTCGTGGCGGGCCAACGAGTTCAGAATCTTGTACAGCATTGCTGAACCAGTCAGGCAACTCATCTCATCATCTTTCTGCCGGCCCTCCTTTGTTGCAGTCCTCGGAGCCTCGGGTGATCTCGCCAAGAAGAAGGTGAGTGACAAGTGGACACAGGGCACTTCCGCAATTGAAGCTGACCAGGAGCCGCTGTACGGTGTGTCCTCTGTGTTGTATAGACCTTCCCTGCGCTGTTCAACCTCTTCCGCCTGAACCTCCTCCCCAAGGCGACTCGCATCATCGGATATGCCCGTACAAAGATGGACAACAAGGGCTTCCACGAGAAGATTGCCGACTTCCTCAAGGAGGGTGACAAGTCAGAATCAAAGAAGGCAAAGGAGGAATTCCTGAAGGTCTGCACCTACCTACCCGGTGCCTACGATGAGGATGAGGCATTCAAGAACCTCAACAAGGAGATGGAGAAGATCGAGAAGGAGGGCAGCAGCAAGACCACCAACCGACTCTTCTACATGGCTCTCCCGCCCAACGTCTTTACCGTGGTCGCAGGTGGCCTCAAGAGGAACTGCTACGTCGAGGATGGCAACAACCGCATCGTCATTGAGAAGCCATTCGGAAAGGATCTTGAGAGCAGTCGTGAGATGATGGGAGAGCTCAAGAAGCTGTGGAAGGAGGAGGAGACTTTCCGTAAGTGGACAGCGGGGGAAATGCAGAGACCAGACTTGAACGCAAATTGACTGACAGAACTCTCTCTGCTCGACACTTAGGTATCGACCACTACCTGGGCAAGGAAATGGTCAAGAACCTCCTCATGCTCAGATTTGCCAACCCCTTCGTCGACTCTGGCCTGAACTCGAATCTCGTAGACAATGTGCAAATCACCTTCAAGGAGCCGTTCGGCACAGAAGGTCGTGGAGGCTACTTTGACGAATTCGGAATCATCCGAGACATTCAGCAGAACCATCTGTCGCAAGTGCTGTCCCTGCTGACCATGGAGAGGCCAGTCTCCTTCTCCGCTGAGGACATCCGAAACGAGAAGACAAAGGTTCTGCGATACGTGCCTCCTATCAAGGAGGAGGACGTTCTGATCGGTCAATACGCCGCCGCCAACGGCAAGCCTGGCTACAAGGACGACGACACAGTGCCAAAGGACTCCAACTGCCCCACCTTTGCTGCTCTGACCCTCTGGGTCAACTCCCCCCGCTGGCAGGGCGTTCCTTTCATCCTCAAGGCCGGTAAAGCACTGGATGAAGCCAAGGTCGAGATTCGGATCCAGTACAAGGAAGTCACAAAGGGCCTTTTCAAGGATGTGCCTCGTAACGAGCTGGTGATTCGTATCCAGCCCAACGAGTCCATCTACCTCAAGTTCAATGCAAAGAAGCCCGGACTTCAGATGGAGTCGATTCCCACTGAGCTCAACATGACCTACAAGGAACGTCTGGAGGACTTCCGAATCCCCGAAGCCTACGAAGCCCTCATCCTCGACGCACTGCAAGGCGATCACTCCAACTTTGTCCGAGACGATGAGTTGGACGTCTCCTGGGCCATCTTCACTCCCATTCTACACGCCATTGACCAAGGCAAGATCAAGAATGAGAGCTACGAGTATGGATCGCGCGGACCTCAGAGTCTCAACAACTTCATTGGACGATATGGTTACAGGCGGGACAATGAAAGTTATGCCTGGCCGACGACTTCGGTGGAGAATGTCAAGGGAAAGATTTAAAAGTGGGGATTTGGGGTCCCTGTAGTAGCCTGCGAAGAGGAGCGGGCGATTAAGCGATGAACACAATGGAAATTTCAGAGAGGAGCAGCAGGGTACTTTCTGCTAGGAAACGGAAATGGAATTATATGGATACGAGGTAGAGCAGCAGGGTTGCGAGGTGAGGTGCGTGCGTAATCTTCCCCTTCCATACTCTTCTTTCTTTCTTTAGATTGATCGCAAATAGCATCTTCATTTTTCGAAATGGCGATCCGAGATATGAACACGACTGTGGAAGATGGTGATACTGGTAGAGATTGTTTCGACTAGTGCTGATGATAGGATGTGCTACGGCAAGGAGACTGTAGCATTTCGTAAACTCTGGGTATGATCATCTCCTTCTCCTCCTCTCCTCCTCCTCTCCTCTACCCACCTCCCTCCCTCCATCTCCCCTCTCCTCTCCTCCACCACCCCACTCACTCCCCAATCTCAGGCACAAGCGCCACTAGCATCCTCTCCACCACTCTCCCCACCAGATCCATCCGAGTCCAGCATGCTGCGGGACTGAGCAGAGGATCTAGGAGGGGGCGAAGAGACTCGATTTGTCCTCGCGCTGCTGCTGCTACTGCTGCTGCTGGCTGTGTGGCTGGATGGTGAGGAGGAGTGCAGGTGCGAGAAGGAGGAGGAGGAGGAGTGGAAGGGGGAGAGGTAGGGCTACTCCCGCTAAGTAGAATACTCATGATCCACTCCCCCCCTATCCCCATTCCCATCCCCATCCCCATGTCAAGCATCTCCGGCCCCTCCCTCACCAACACCGACAGGAATTCCTCGTACTCTTCCCTCTGGACTTCTAGTGAAGGAGGTGCTGAAGGGGGTGGGAAGGTGCCTTGTGCTGTTAGGAGGGTGGAACGGAGTGTTTGTAGGAGGGAGAGGTAGTGTGATTCGCGGGAGAGGTGAGAGGATAGGGCTGTGTAGAGAAGACTGGGAGGTGAGGTGGGGTGAGGGAGGGAGAGAGATAGAGAGGGAGAGAGGGGTCAGTAATGCTACTCGAGGCTGTCCAAGGCTGGTGAGAAGGTCGCAAGTGAGGGAGGGGAAGGAGATGACACTGCACTGCACTGCACTGCACTTCCACTGCACTTGACGTACCTGTCTAGCTTCTGGCTTCCAAAGAGTCTGAGCATCGTGATGGCCCCCTGCACCATTTTTCCCGTATATGTAGCAGGGAGATTTAGCATCGTGCAGAGCAGGCAGAGATAGTTGCTCGATGGTGAAGCAGTAGAAGATGTCACTGAGGTCGTTTGCCCGGCTGTTGGAGGTGATGGGCTCTCCTTCTCTTCTTGGTATGGGGGAGGCGGGTCTTCTTGCTTCTGCGTAGACTGTCGTTGGAAGCCGAGGAGGTCCTTGCTCGCTCGTAGACCACGTTGCGCTATCGGGAGTGCTCTCTTGCAGCCCTGAGCAATCGCACTCCAAACCTCCTCAACCGAAGGCAGCAGGACAATCTCATCATCTCCTTCTACCTCTCTTTCTCCCTCTCCCCCTTTCTCACTTGCACCTGAAAGCCTCCGCCTCTCAGCAACCCACTCAAGCATCTTCCTCCCCGCCCGAACCCACATCCATCCTGCACTTCCCTTTTCCAGAGCAAGCCTGAGGAGCATCGCCAGTAGATCTCTTACGAGGGCAGTTGCGGCGGGACTTTGAAGCTCTTGTGCTGGTAGGAGAAAGGGAAGGAGGGAGGAGGAGAGATGACGCAGACGGGCGTGGGAGAGGTGGGGGCCGGGTGGAGGGAAAGAGGAGGATGAGGGGGAAGAGACGTAGATGGAGGGCCAGAGGGCAGTATACACCTCGAAGCGTCGACGTGCATGTGCCTCATCGTCTTGGACCGTGCCAGGTATCCGTATTCCTTCCTCCCCATTCTCCTCCAAGCCAAGCTGCGTCGCTCTCCATACCTCAATATACCTCTCCAACAATGCCGGCACTTCCTCCCTCAGCAGCCCCGCCAGCCTACCATTCTTCTCTGCTTCTTCAAGTCTCCTTGCAAGCTCGCCACCCACAAGACTGACGAGTCGCTCCACTTCATCGTGCAGTGCGGGCTCGTTGGTGGGGGAGAGACGCGACCACCAGGGTGTGATGGCTGCGTCTAGGAGTGCGGAGCAGAGGGACGCTAGGGCGGTGTGAATTGCTGGAGAGGCTAAGAGACGGGTACTGAAGAGGTCCGGAGGGGAAGAGAGCGCCGAGGTGGCTTGCTGCGTCTTATCTGCCTGGGTCCGGCTATGGTTTGTAGCGCTTGTGGGTGGTGGCATGGTGATGTTCCTCCGTGGGAGCAGCAGCAGTCACATCGCCATACTCATGGTCGAGGAACGTGTTCACTGTCTCCTCTCCCCTCTATCGTTGAATGGATGACTTGTAGGAGCAGCAGCCTGTGACAAAGAATGAGCAACGTGCTGATGATCTTGTATCTCAATCGTAGAAGAGCGGTGAATCACCCGCACAGGTCCGCCCTCGCCCTTCGCAGTGATTGCCGAGGTGAACCGTGCCCCGACCCACCTTCGGAAGTTGCAAAAGGCGCAGGCAGCGACAGACATCCGAAAGGATCTTCTCCTCGTATTCCTACTTGCACCAACACCATCACAACACTGGATTGAGCAGCACGACCTACACCAAGTACGAACATGGCATCTACCTCCTGCGTTCCCACTGCCACTCTCGAGGTGAAGCGGCATCGCGCCTTTTTCAAGCGGCATATCCAGCTCCTCCCGCGTCCTTACACCAGCGGAGACTCGCAACGCATGACACTCGCCTTCTTCTGTCTATCTGGTCTGGACTTACTAGGCGGTATCACAGAAAGTGGAGCAGGTGAAGCAGAATCGTTCAGAGAGTGGATATGGAGCCAGCAGATGCGTGAGTGCGGGTAGTAGACAGAGGTAGGAGTGAAGAGAGGAGAGGAGACACGCTGAAGATCTTACTTGTGCCTTGGTATGACACAGCTCATGGCGGATTCAGAGGCTCGCCAGCTGTGGAAGAGCCATCTAAAAGTAACACAAAGGTGAGTCAGTGGACCAGACGAACGGAGAATCCGAAGTGTAGACATTGAGGCTGAGCTACATTCTTCCTTGGCTTCGCTATAGACCTCGGCCCATCTGGCAATGACCTACACTGCCCTCCTCAATCTCGCCATCCTCCGCGACGACTTTTCAAGGCTCAATACAGAGGGACTCATCGACTTTGTTGCTTCTTGTCAGCAGCCAGATGGCAGGTGAGGAAGACGCAGCAGCAAGCAACGGCGGCGGCGGCGATGGCGAAGCTTCACAATATCCTATTCGCATCCCAGCTGACCACCACCCTCTGCCTTTGCGAAACAGCTTCTCCCCCTCTCCGGGTCTCACCGAATGCGACCCCCGCTTCACATTCTGTGCCTTTTCCATCCTCTCTATGCTCTCTTCCCCCTCTTCCTCTTCCTCTTCCTCTTCCTCGTCATGGTCACGCATAGACGTCCCTCGTGCCCTCCACTTTCTAGCCCGATGCAAATCCTACGATGGAGCGTACGGTCAAGGCCCGCATCAAGAGTCGCATGGAGGATCGACGTACTGCGTCCTAGCCTCTTATAAGCTGGCGGGAAGGTTGGAAGAGCTGGGGAAAAGGGAAAGGGGGAGAATAGTGAGGTGGTTGCTGGCTAGGCAGAGCGATTGGGAGGCTGATCTTGGCGCTGTGGAGGAGGACGAGGACGAGGACGAAGAGGAAGAGGGAGAACAAGAGGAGCAGCATAAGCAAGAATTAGGCCTATTTGGGGGAGGTTTCAATGGTCGGATAGGCAAGAAGAAGGATGCATGCTATAGCTTCTGGTGCGGAGCCTCTCTCGCCGTAAGTCACCATTCCCTCCCATCTCCTCTCCTCGTCTTCTCACCCAATCTCCCTCTCCCTCTCCCTCTTCCTCCTCTCCCCACTTCCCACCCACAGATCCTCTCCTCTCATCACCTCATCAACTCCCGCCACAATCTCCACCACCTACTAGCACTACAGAGCCCCATTGGTGGAATCAGGAAGACGGCCGACGATCCTCCCGACGCAATGCACTCTTACTTGGGGCTGGCAGCATGCGCGCTCCTGAAGGGGGAAGCGCTGGGACGACAAGAGGGTGTGGAGGAGGGAGAGGGGAACGGGGAGGAGCATGAGAGGATGGAAAAGAAAGACGAGAAGCAGGAGCAGGAGCAGGAGCACCAGCAGGTCTCCTATGCTCTAGAGGGACTAGCGACAGCTGGACTAGACCCTTGTCTGAATATCAGTCTAGAGACGCGCGATTGGATCGTACAGAAGCTTGGTAGTGGACGTGAGGTGAGGTGAGGCAGGAGGATGTGGATGTGGATGGGAATGGGAGAGCGGAGAGGGGAGAGGGGTGAGGAGAGGTGTCCTCTCCCTCTTCGTCTTCGTCTTCGTCCTCGTCCTCGTCTTCATCTTCGTCGGTGGGACGGTAAGGATGGGATGGGATGATCTACTCACCTAGAGGAGTCCATATCCTTGTCTATATCTCGCACAAGCATCGTCAGCGTCTTTGCCATTGTCATCCTTGTTGTTTCATTGCTTACATTGTTTTCAATTGTTTTCATTGCTTCATTAAGTGGTCATATGCGAAAATTTGGACCCAGAGTTCACCTCCAGCGAATCTCGTCCATTCCCATTTCAGTCCCCTTTTGACGGGTCGACGATTCGTACGTCGTCCTTTCCCCCTTCCAACTCACCTCGTCCACAGAACACCTACACCTACACCTACACCCAACATCCAACACCTCGTCTTCAGCATCACCTCCTTCCCAACAATCTCCTCGCCTCAATCACATCCTCTGCCAATCTCCTCACATTAGCCTCTGCCACTACCACTTCGGAGGTAAACTCAACTCCAAATGCCTCTTTGATTCCAAGTGCAATGCGTTTGGCTTGAGCAACGTCCCAAATGGTGAAATCGTCGGGATCTTCATCACTTCCTTTCCCTGCTGGAAGTTGAGAACTGAAAGAGTGGTGACGAGGTCTTCCGGTTTGGGATCGGGGGGAGTGGAGATGAGAAGAGTCCAGGGCGTAGACTGTTAGGCGGGCCAGGATAGTGTAGACCTCTTCGTAGCTTGGGGCTGGAGGAGAAGAGGCTGCATTTCCCGCGGCAGCCGCAAATCCAGTAGTGGGCGAGGGGGGTGCAGCCTCCGTATCCATGCTCGAAGCGATCGAGGGAAGGACCGCAGAGGACCGACTACCGTTGCTGCTGGTAGCTGCGGCTGCATCTGCCATGGGCCGCTCAACGTAGATCTCGAATGGGGCTGAGCGGGCGAGGACGTCTTGCTTGCCATCGTGGTGGTATCTTGCCTCGTACATGCCCGTCTTCCATGGCAGGTGAGAAGACTGGAATGTCACTTTACCCTGTGTAGGCCCAGCTGTGCCTGCAGAAGTGGCAGTGGTAGTTCCATTCTTCATTTCACCCTCGCTATCGCTAGCGACATCCGTGTCCACCCTGTTCTGCTCAACGACTTCCTCGTCACCCACAACGGGTAGCCAAGCGCCTTGACTGCTGATGCGAGTGACCAGTCTGTTCTCCTCTCGGTCTGCCGAGCCGGGCTCGCCGAAGCGACTGATCAGGTAGATGCCCACCCAGTCGCGCTTGGAGTGACCCGTGGGCGAATTCACGGACCAGGCTACCGAGACGGGACAACCTAGGTGGTAGCGCACCACGGGCGACGAGCTTGAGGACGATGGCTGTGAGGCAGTGGCGCCTCCCTCGTCTTCCTCCCTGGGTGGCTCCAGGACCTTGACAGCAAAGACGCTGCGGTCAATGGTCTTGACCTTGTCGCCAGACCTCACGATCAGCAGCCTGTCCTTGCCCCTAAGCCAGACCTTCTTGCCCTCCTCCTTCATCCTCTCCAGTCGACTGCCCGACTCCCTGACAAACTCGTCCAAGACAGAGGTCGCGTCCTTTTGCACTTTCTCGAGCGTGCCACGGACTTCGGCAACGGCAGGGTGGGACTTGGCTGCATTGAGCAGGCTCGCGTTGCGGTTGGCCACGCCCTTGAGCTGCTTTGTCACACCGCCCTGGCGAGAGATAGCGGCTTCTCCGTACAACTTGCGCATGTGTGGGTTCTCTACACCAGAGAGGAACGCCCAGTGGGCTAGGTAGGACAGGACGGCGACGACGAGTGCGAGCTTCGAGCCGCTGATGAGGACGAGACCAAACCAGGCAGCACCGCCCATTGATCTCTCTGGGTTGTTCAGGAATCGATAGATGCCGGTGTAGTAGAGCTGATGCGGGTACTCGTCAATGAAAAAGTCGCCGTAGAACCAGCCAAATGGTCCAAGAACCTTGTAGGATGAGTTAGCGGCCCAGATATGAAGAGCTACGAGGAGAGCGCCAAGGGTGTGACGGAGGAGATCAGTACCCACTGTCCAGTCGCCGCCAAGAGGAGCGTAGCACTTCCAGCAGAGCAGAGCGAAAGACGAATACACCATAACGAGCGAAGCATTGTAGATGGTCTTGAACGAGCCAAATGCCTCAAAGACTGCCTCTGATGGATCATCGTAGTTGTAGTGCTTGAGGAAGTGGCGCACCATCCACTTTGACTCGGATTGAGCCTTGAGAAGAAGACCAAGAGCTCCCGAATGGAAGACACGCCAGGCGAGGGCATTGGTGAAGTACAATGCAAGCCGTGTCTTGGGTCCCATGGTGGCAGGCAGCATGAGAGGGACAACGGCATAGAGACCGCAGACCACGAGGAGGAAGTCTGTGCCTCTGAGCAAATCGAGGTTCTTGTAGACGACGGTGTCCTTGCGGAAGAGCTTGTGGTGCAGGTCGTGAAGGTTGGTGATCTTCCTTCGAGGGCGATTGTGAGACGAGTGGCTGCTTCGCGATGGCTCTCGGCCGCGCATGACGTCGCTGGTGAGCAGACGGGGACTGAGAGGCTCTTCATCGTCGGAAGTGATAGAAGTTGCGTCTGTGATGCTTGCGTTGCTCCTAGAGGAGAAGCTGTGAGCAGGTGATGCGCTCGACGAAGGAGCTGGCTCGCCGCCATCGCCACCCGCAGCGACTGATGCCGATGCAGCATTGTACGGTGCTTCGGACAATGGCACACGAGCAGCCAAGGGCTTCTTCTCACCGTAGGTCCTTTCAATGTGAGGGTTCTCAAAGTAAGACATGAAGACGTACTGTGCGAGGTGGGCCGCAAGCGAGACGTAGAGGACGGCGTACGACCCCGATACGAGAGACAGGCCGTAGTAGCCTGCGTAGCCGAGCGAGTACATCGGGTCGGGTGCGATCTCGTATACACCATCGAAGACGAGGTCCTTTGTGATGGTGAAGAAGCAGTCTCCCCAGTACCAGGCGTAGTCCTTGACAACTCGGTGAGCGTCAATCTTGACCCACAGGTTGAAGGCAATCAATGCCCAGCCTACTACCCATCTAGCGATGTGGGAAGCGACAGACAAGCCCTCTGGCAGACGAGTGCAAGAGAAGGCGAAGAGGGAGTAGCTCACAAAGTCGTTCAGAAGAATGACGTCTACGATGGAGCGGAAGAAGATCCAAACGTTGTACTCAAGTGGGCAGTCCTCAAACTTGTAATCCTTTTCCATCTTTGTCTCGAGGTGTGATCGTACCCACTTGTAGGACTGAGGGTTTCGCTTAGGGTCGAACCATCCCTGTGCCTTGACCGTCTTTGTGATCCAGCTGCGCTCCGACTGTTGCTTGAGGATGTAGCCTAGTCCACCATCGTAGGCTGCTCTCCAAATGGCAAAGTAGAAGACGAAGAACCAGCGTGCGGCTGACCGCGGGAGGACAAAGTAGAGGAAGATCTGCAGAGTGAGGGATGCAATGGTGATGAAGTCCAGGGGCGTCTTTGGCTCGCGAGGGTCGAAGATGGAAGAGAGCATGTCTGGTGTGTGAGGTACGACGAATGCTTGTCCGTCCTTTGTCTTGCCTACAGACGGCGGTGGTTGAGAGCCAGTCGCCGAGGCTGCAGCGCCGGTCTTCTTCTCATCCTCGTCATTTGGGTAGGCAGCTACGGTCTCGTCCGAGGAAGACTTGAGTGTGGCAGCAGATGCGCGAGGTGCGACAGCAGGCCGTTGCCTAAGGGAGGAAGAGGTGCCGTCTTCATCGGCGACGGAGGCAAGTGGAGTGCTGTTGAAGGCACTCCCGTTGAGAGGTGGTGCTGGTGCCGGCTGTGGAGTCGCTGCGTCTTCCATGCTCGCTCCGCAGGGTAGGGCTGTGAAGAGGTGTCAAGGTGAAAGAGTAATGGGAAGGAGTACTCAAAGGAAGCAAGATGTGTGCTCTACGCCCGAGTTGCTTCGAGGTTGTGCCGGCGCGGGGGCAAAGGAGGGAAGATCCGGGTGAGGAAGTAGGGGCCACGTCGGAAGAAGCGGACTGGGCAAGAGAGAGAACGTGGGTGAAGTGGAGCAGGGGTGGGGGTGGACGAGCCCGATGCCGGATGGGCGATGAGTGGGTGGTGAGGATGACAAGGACGGTGTTGGGATGAAGAGGATGTCGATGCTGCGGATGAGCCGAGTGTCCAAGTGTGACGAGGTGGGGATGGAGTGAGTATCGGATGATGGCATTCGAGGAAGGGGGAAGAAGAAGTGCCCCTCTTTCTTCTGCTGCAGCAGCCACGCCTGGCCCTGCCCGCCTCTGCCGCCTTCCGGATCAGACGTCGCCTCCACGCACATCACACGCCTGCCTGCCTTGGTCTCCCACGCTCCAAAAGGGGGGGACCCTGTTCGCTTGGCATCCTGGTCAAGCAACGCACCTGGATCGCACTGCACCAGCTGACCACGAGCTCATGCTCTGATACAATGCAGACATCCACCGCAGTCTACCAGCATCGCAGGCAACAACAAGGCGCAATGAGAGGCGGACACGGTGTGCGTGTGTGCGTGTGTGCGTGTGTGTGTGGGCCTTCCTTGATGAGCGCGTCTGTGCGTAGACCAAAAGTGAGATTCGGACGTCGCCTGTGTTGCGCGTGAACATCGCTTGGCATCTTCCCGCTACCACCATCACCTCGCCTCTTGGCCACCCAGATCTCGCCTTGCGACTTCAGCTTCATGACCTCGTCTAGGTAGCATATCCTCCCATTCGACCATGGCAGGATCATCAAAGAAGAGGCCTTCGCTGGGCGGCAGCAGCGGAGGAGGACCCAAAGTCAAACGCAAGGTCTCTCACGACCCAGAAGATGGCCTCGACGCATCAGCTGAGTCTCCTGGCGTAGCAGCAGCAGCAACAGCGTCGTCAGCTTCGGCATCGCCCTCGCCATTTGTCAAGATGGACGACATCGACGAAGCAGATGCAGCAGATGCAGCGGCAGAAAATGGACTAGGAGGCTCGGAACCATTGGCTCACTCTGCCTCCTCCTCATCCAAGTACAGCAAGGATGCAGCACATCGAGCTTACCTCGCCCACACTGCTCCTCACCTCTTTGGCGACGGTCATCAGTCCCAGCAACATCAGTACACCAGCGCCTCTTCTTCGCCATCGTCCTCGCGCTCTCCCTCACCATCGCCTTCCACGTCCCGCAACCCCAGTCATGCCCCTGCAGCATCATCCTCACGGCACATTGTACCTCACAAGTATCGCGGACCTCACCCTAGAGACAGCGATGCCGAAGTCGTCGCGCCTCATCCTACGCTTCAGCCAGCACCTGGACTAGGGGCAGAGCACCTCTACACGGCCCCCAACACGCCGCTAAACAGAAACTCTTGGAGGTATACCTTTGCTGGCCCAGACACAGCCCACCTCCCCACGAGCGTATATGGTAGCATACCTTCTCTTCCAGACGGCATTCGGTGGGACTGGTCCGATCGCAGTGCATTCACACAGATCAGCAGAGGGGCAGACGTAGTCACTTCTGATCGGGGTTGGAGGTCGGCAAGGGGCAATGTGCCAGTCAGGCAAGGCAGCTGGTACTGCGAGATTCAGGTCCTACATCCTGATACACCCCTCTCAGACGGCAAAGCCGATGGCTCTACTACTCCTAATGCAGTGTCGACGATGGAAGCACCATCGACCCATGCTCATCACGGCGCACATGCCTATGGCGGAAATACGCCTATGAAGGATGGCCCTCACGTACGAGTAGGCTGGGGAAGGCGGGAAGCTCCTCTCAATGCGCCCGTGGGGTTCGATGGCTACTCTTACGGCCTCAGGGATACCACCGGTCAAAGAGTCTTCCTCTCACGCCCTGCAGCCTTCGCCTCACGCTCCTTTGCCCCAGGAGACACAATAGGTCTCTACATTCGTCTACCGCCTCTCAGCAAGCCCTCGCCCAGAGATGCAAAAGACCCGCGACATGTCAGGCGGAAGTGGATTCCTATCCGGTACCGAGGTCAAGTGTACTTTGAGCAGCTCGACTACCATCAGACCCGCGAGATGGAGAGGCTACTCGAGAAGAGCTGGGCAGGTGACAAGATACTCGATCCTGATGGTGGGCTCAGACTACGTAGGGTCAAAGGCCCGACTGGACGTATGGGCAACGAGCAAGGAGAGTGGGTGGAAGTCGAAGAGGGAGCGGACGAGGATGGAGAAGAAGATGGTATCGATGGGCCCACTAGGGCGAGTGGCTCCGGCGCTAAAATGAAGAAGCAGAAAGCAGTCAAGAAGGCCTCTTCCACACCCACTCCAGCTCCGGGCGGGTCCGCTGCTTCCAAGAGATCCACATCTTCTACCAAGGCCGGTGGGAAAGGCGGCGGCGGCGCCGCGGCTGCGGAGGAAGACAAGAAGAAGAAGCGCACCCTACGTCCTCTCCCTACCCTCGGCTCGACATCACGGATTGGGTTCTTCCTCAACGGCGAGCCACTCGGTTGGGCTTTTCAAGACCTGCTTGACTTCAGACCACTCCGTCAAGCAGGCGATGTGCCCTCTACCGCTCCTCCGTCTACTGTCACATCAGCAGCAGCGCCAAAGAAGGGTAGCGCAGCTGCGAAGAAGCAGGCTGCCGGGGCGGGCATCACCTCGTCGCACCTAGACCCTGCCTCGCTCGTCTCCCTCTCCACACTCGGTCTTGAAGCTCCCTCTGGCACGCACGACAAAGCAGGCATCGAGTCCTCCACCGCCGTCGCAGACGCCCTCCCCAATGGCTCCTCCTCCTCCAACGGGCTCGACTTTCTCTCCGCCCCACTCCTCACTACCTCCGCTTCCCTCTCGGCCATCATGAAGTCTCGTGAGAATCCATACGATGATGGTTGTTGTGGATACTTCCCCATGGTCAGCTTATATGGGGGCGCGAGGGCGAGACTGATCTCGCGGGCAGAGGAGATGAAGTTCATTCCTGAGGGAGGGTTTGCAGATGTGGAGAGGAGGTTAGAGGAGGCGGAGAGGAGGAGACGACGCACTGAAGCTTGCGCAGGCGGAGACAAGGATCAGTCAGAGAAGGCATCTTCCGCTTCACCATCGCCGCTCGTCGAGGAGCATCAGCAACAGCTGGAAGCTGCAGACTGGTGGGGTCAAACCCGTCCTCTAGCCGACCTCTACCCGGAGTACTGGCAAGAGCAACGCGTCCTGGATTTAGAGGAAGAAGAGCGGGCTAAAGCTCGGGCAAAGTGGATCAAGACGCTCGTTGAGGAGGACGAGGAAGAGGAAGATGAGGAGATCGTCCCCACTGGTGGCGGTGGTGGTGGTGGTGGTGGTGGCGCGCAAGACGAGGCGAGAGGTACATCTAACGCGACTTCTGCTAGCAAAAAGAAGGGAGGAGCGACTCCAGGAGGAGGAGGAGGAGGAGGAGGCGGTAAAGGAGCGAGAAGGAGCTATACGCCCCGCGATCTTACCCACACACCTACCGCTACGCCTACCCCTCCTGGTGTTACTCCTACTCTTACTCCTGCGCCAGAGGGAGAGGAAGAGGAGATGCGAGCGACGGGAGAGGTGGAAGAAGTTGCGGTGCCTCTCAAGACAGAGGAGAAGGAGCAGGAGGTGGGGCAGGAGGAACAGGAAGAAGCACCTCCGGTCGAATCCGCTACTTCTCCAGCGCACGCACATCAAGCAGCTGCGAACGCGCAGCAGCAGCAGCAGCAAGAAGACGTCCTCCCAGCATCGGCAGATTATGACGCTGCGTCTCCTACTTCTCCTTCTGCTGAGAGTGGTTTACAGAAGAAGGAGGAGGAGGAAGAGGAGGAGCAGGAAGAGGAGGAGCAGGAGGAGCATTGAGCAATGAGATTGTGGGCAAGGTGCCAAGGACACCAAAAACAAAAAGTAATGGTTGGGTATGCATTGCGATTCCAGTCTGATCTAAGGAAACTCGTCGTCGTCGTCGTCGTCGTCGCATCATCTTCGCATCTTCTCGTCGCGGAATACAATGTACAACATTAGTCACGTCTCGAACACAGCGTCCATTCCGACAACGAAAAAGTCCATCCCACATTCCACATCCCACAGCACAGCGTGTTCCACCAACCCAACCCAACCCTCGCGGTCAATCATTCCATCAATCAATCAATCAATCAATCAAATCAGTCTACCTGGCGTGCACCCCCCTGGAGCGCCGGCCCGTTGCTCCCACGGGCAAACTAGACCCAACACCAACACCAATACCGGTACCGGTACCACCACCACCTCCTAAGCTAGAGATGGGTTGACCATAAAGGCCTAGTGGGGAAGGGAAGGGGGGAGGACCATTCGCACTGTTAAGACCACTGCCAGTGCCAGGGCCGCTGGAGAAGTAGGCAGGAGGAGAGGGGATACCACTCCCACTCCCGTTGTGAGTGCCATTGTGGCTGTGGCTGGGTAGGGAGCGTCTTCTGCTTGTCGAACCAGAGGAAGAGGTGGAAATACTGCCACTGCCACTGCCACTGCCACTGCCACTTGCAGCAGGATGTGAGAGGGGTGAGACACCTGTCCCGTATCCGTACCCGTGGCCCTGGCCCTGGCCCTGGCCGTGTCGGTAGCTGTTCCCTGGTGGGAGCGCAGAGCTGTACGCCGAAAAGGTCGCAGCTGGGCGTGCCTGCTGCTGTTGCTGGTGGTGGGTGTATGGCGAAAGGCCACCACTGCCACCACCACCACTGCCACTTCTTGCTAAGCTGGGGGATTGGTAGCGCCTCTGTGTTGCTGGTGGGACGGAAAAGTAGTCTTCTGGCTCTCCATTCTCATCGACCTCCTCCTCCTCCTCCTCCTCGCCCGTCGTGTCGGCACTAGTAGTAGTACTGGTACCTGGGCCTGTATGACCACTAGTGTCCCCTTCTAGACCTGATGTCGCCGTCGTCTCGCGTGCTCTAGGAAGGGGTTTCCAGGAGGATCCTAGCCCCTTGAGGAAATCGGGAAGCTCCTCTTCCTGCTCTTGTACATCTTCTGTCGATGTTCGAGAGCGGGTACCGTGCCGACGAGGCGGGGAAGGACCAGTAGCGCCGCCTTGAGCTCGCTCCCGCATGGCCTTGTCGATCAGGCTCTCCTCGGCACCAGCACGACTGGCGCTACTCCTCTTGCTCGTCCGACTACGACCATCTCTACGACTCTTCTTTGCCTGCCCCCCAATAGCTCCCCCTGCACCCAATGCTGAATCGATGGCCGCCGCGCCTTTTTGCACACCGACCTCTAAGCGTCTGTCCAGCTCGCTTATTTCGGACTTTTGCCATGAGCTGAGGTGAGACTCGAGAGGGGAGCGGGTGTTGAAGAGGAAGGAGCCGAGGTAGAGGACGACGGAAGAGGAGAGGCCGATGGCTGTTCCTAGTGCCAAGGCCGCGCCGAGGAAGACGCTATATAGTGCAAAGGGGGGAGAGAGACGGGTGATAAGGAGAAGCAGGTGGTCAGGTCTCGTGCCCTCGGGGTGGAAGGACTGCGTGACGGAACGCTATATCGAGCGACTCACTAGAGCGGGTACACCTCCCTCATCGTCCTGAAGACGTAGTACGACGGCCAATCCCAAAAAGTCCACTTCACTCCCAAGAACAAGTACACCACCGGTGCGCCCACCACGCGCAACGGTCTCAGGACCTGTCGCACTGCATACTTGCCTGTAGCCCATACGAGGAGAAAGGCTCGACCTACGTGACGGAGGGAGAAGCGTAGAGCGCTCCAGATGAAGCGGGTGAAGAGGGAGGTGTAGCGCGTGCAGAGCCTGACGGAGTACCAGATGAAGCCAAAGCAAGCTGCAAAGGTGGACCAGAGCGCTTTGATTCCATCCATGAGAGAGTGATGCGAATCGTCTGAGCTGGTAGTGCTTCCCTTTTGATCGCCATTATTGGGCAAGACGGCCTTAGCAGCTCGACGTGCGCTCTTTCCCGCCCGGAGAGCTTCCTGTCGAGCACGACTCTTGAGGTGTCTTCGCAGCAGAGCCTCTTCCTCCTTCTTTTCCCTGTACGCACGCCAGATCTCCTCATCCTCGTCATCTTCTTCGTCATCGTCCTCTTCATCTTCGCTCTCATCTGGCTCGTCGTACACCTCTGCTGGTCTCGAGGTACGAGTCTGCTGAGCCGGTCCTTTGGACGCGACCTTGACAGTCCCTTTAGCAGACGGTGGGGACACAGACGGCGGCGCATTGTATCCGGCCGGTCCAGCAGGCGATGAAGCCTGCCCATACTTCAGGCCACTATTAGAGGGTCTCACTGATCTTCCCTCTCCATTGCTGCTCCCACCCACAGCCCTCGGCAGGTAATCCTTCCACCTCGAGGGCAATTCCTCCCAGGAGTCCCCCTTCCACGTCGTCCCCGTGTTGCTACGAGCATCAGGATCTACAGGTCCTAGATGAGCACCTGAGTGGGAGTGAGATCTGAGCGACGAGTCTCCAGCAGCGCTTGTTGAGGCCGAAGGAGAGATTGGGATCGCATTCTTCTGCTGCGTTTGCGGGAGAGGTGGAAGGGGAGAGTCGCCTGGAATGGGCCGCGGGTGAGAGGGGGCTCTTTGCGCGTGTGTTTGAATGAGGGTTGAGCTTGCGATGACGAGGAGGAGGAAGAAGAGGGTAGAACGTGACACGGCAGCGTGAGCGACCATTGCTCGCCTGCTTCTTCGTAGCTGCAAATGTCGCATCCGTGTTGTGAGAGGCACTGAAAGTGCGAGTGGGAGCGCGAGCGCGAGTGCCAGCCTCGCTGAGGAGATCTCTCGCCCTCTAGGCCTTCTACTCTAATAGTAGGCCGAAGTAGACTCTCAAAGCAGCTACACCCTTGCTGATCTCTGATCCCGAATGCTTAGTGGAGGAAGTATGGTACGGAAGTGTCGTCCCTACCGAAGCACCTAGTCTACGTCTATCCGCGTGCATGAACGGGCCTGGGCCGAACCGAGTCCAACCGGAAAGGCAGGCAGGCAGGCGCAGGGCGGGGGTGCAAGCCGGTCAGTCGCGTCTGTGTGATCGTGTCTGTGGAGGCGCAACCGAGGTTCGCTTTCACGCAAAAGAATACGCCCAATTCAACCCAATCAGCCAGTCCGATCGATCAACACCAGAGGTCGCAAACCCAAGTGATGACACTGCAGGATACAATAGGATACGTACGGTACGGTAGGGTAGGGTACATTAGAGGCCGACATGGTGGGAGGCGAGACAAGGACCAAAGGAACCAGAAAGATTTGTTGAGACGAAATGGGGCACGGCGCGTATGATACTGGTATGGGTACATGAGGACTTGGAAGAGACAGCTAGCTGAAAAGGACAGGGACCGTATACGGGGCGAAAAGAGGTTCTATACAGCGATTCACAGCTCTCCTCACCTGCTCCAGGCCCAGAGCGTTTCCAAGTCCCCCTGATAGCTTCCCTCGTCCGGCTCCACCAGTCGCGCAGCTCGAAACTCCCTGGGCTGAGCATCTCTAATATCCGGCCCTTTCCTCCAGACGGATGGCCCTTCGCATTCTGTTTGATTCTGCTCCTCATCTCCTTCCTCCGAGCCGCTACTCCCGGGACTACCACCGCCGGCGTGCCCGTTGGCCTCCTGCCTAGCAATAGCCTGCAGGTCGAGCGGCTCGAATCCCCCTGCCCTGCGAAGTCTACCCTTGAACTCGGCAATGGGCGTCCCACCAGGCTGTGCTCCTCCTCCTCCCCTCAGACTAAATGCATTGGCCGGAAGACCAAAAGGTCCCATCCCCGCGCTGGCTGGTATGCGAGGACGATTGAGGCCCAGAGAGGCATTGGGATCCGGGGTGATGTACCCGCTGAGGGCCTCACGCGTGTATGGAGAATTGGTGGAGAGGGCCAGGGCGGATGCGCGGAAGAAGGGGAGGTCGCGGGGAGAGGCGACGGGCGCGTCTGGTTGATTGGGAGAGGGGAGCATCGAAATTGGGGTAGGCGAGTCTTCCACGGGAGATCCGGTCCGGGTGGGACCTCGAGAAGGAGCCCTCGATGCAGCTCTTGAAGGAGCACGGGAGGTCACGCGAGAGGGCGCCAAAGAGCTAGGTTGCGAGGGCGCTCGAGACGATGGTCTCGAGGGAGGGCGCGAAGATGGGGTGCCGTGGCGACGGGCTGCCGCCTTGGCTGCTGCTTTGCTCCTCGCCATCATCTGTAATTGCTCGGCTGGAGACATGTTGGGACTTAGCTGGCTGTTCAGAGCACTGCGAGGGGGCGTCGCGAGACCATCTCTACTAGACTTGGCATGGCCGTTTGTGCCAGGCTTGAGGTGCGAGATCGGACTTAGACCTCCCGCTGGTGATCTCACCGCTGCAGGACGATGGAGAGGCGATTTGCTGCCCAGCGAGGGCGGCGAAGCTGGACTAGTGTCACTCTCAACGTCTTCAATGGAGATGTTCGCCTCGAAGGTGTCCCTACGAGCTGCTTCCGCCTCGAGCGCTCTCATGAGGAGATTTGCACGAGCGGAACGACGTACAAAGAATTCTGTCCCTAGCGTTAGCTCGAGGTGCAGATATTCCACGTGCTTGTCGTCCCAGTATAGCGGCGCTTGCAGACCAGCCTGAATAGGCGGTCCAGCTGGTAAGCGACGCCGCCTGGCGAGCTGGGTGGTATTGAGGATGGCTCTGGGAGCAGAAGCGTCAAGCTCAGTGAATGGCTTTTTCCTATCATGGAGGTCATAGCTCGACTACGAGGCGAATCCGAGAGATCTGGTCAGCTGAGCAGTCCAAGGTGCCGGTCGCAAGCCTCTGAGCTGCCTACACTTACGCAATAAAACTTGCTCAACCAGCCGTTTTCTTGGTCGAGCTTGCCCCAGGTGCCATTGCCACTGTCCAGATCCTCTTGTCCATCGCCGTCGAATCTCCACACAAGTCCAAAATCGACTTCGAGCCTGAAAGCCAAGTCTCCGGTAGTAATGTACTTCTGGGTCATCTCGTAGACGGCATACCAGTCTCGTCCGGTAGAAAAGAGGAAGCGATTATTAACGGGGTCTAGCTGCTGGAATTGGAGGGGAATGTGTTGCTTGATCTTGGGCGGTTCCTGGTCTTCTGGTATAGGCGGGTTGAGCTCATCCTCATATACGCCCGGCGTCGCCTCTACACGTATACGTCTAGCTTCCTCGGGCTCTGCCATTGGTCCCTGCACAGTATCTTTTCTTGGTCTACGATGTACTCTAAGTGCGACCCTCCACTTCTCGGTAAGGAAGAGCATAGGGATGATGTGCGATTCAACAGTCTCCTTCCAATTGCTATTGAGGAAGCGGATCGAGGTGTAGAGGGTATGTGGATCGAGATGAAGAAAGACTTCTGCCATGAGCTCGTGAGGTAGCTCTGCAAAGGGAGATGCGCCAGAAGGTGTGCTGGGTCGGATCGTGGGCGGGAGCGGGATGGTCATGTTGGCCATTGCGGCGGTGAGGGTGGTTGCGACTGTCATGTAGGGCTGCGAGTGCGGGTTGGGTGCTCTTGATCCTGGAGGGTGTTGGGATGACGTGGCAGTCTGCCCTTTGCAGTGCCGAAGTGGTACCGATTGGGCAAGGGAGGAGGATGGGTACTAGGGCCGTGGCTGCGACTGGCAAAGATGACTGGCTGGCTACCTGATCATGAGGTGCTGGCCTCTTCTTCCTCGCCACAAGAAGAGGGTGGGTGGTAAGGGAGGGGAGATACGAAGTCAGAAGGAAGAGTGAAGGGGGGAGGGATGGGATCCGCCCCGCCCTGTGAGGCCTTGATGTGAAATGCGGGGAGACACAGACGCGGGGAGCCGAGGGCGTGTGGTGGTGGGGGCTGAGGCTGAGCTTGACAAGTGCGTTGCCCTGTGCGAGCTGCACCCCAGCCAGGCCTTGCATCTCCGCCACATCTCGCCCTGCGCGCGCCAACCGACACACACTCGGAAGCGCAAAACTTTCCTCGCAACAATTCTTCCCGGAACTGGACCCGACCGCGTACCAGACCCACATCTGCCTCACATCATCCATCACAACGCACGCAGCATGTCATCCTCTTCTGCACTAGGGGAGAAGAGGGCGGAGGACAAGCTCAAGTCATCGCACAAGAAGGAAAAGAAGGCAAAGACAATGGCTGCCGAGCCACCCGCATCGCCCACTGCTCACCTCACCACCAATGGCACAAGCGCAGACGCTGAAGCGCTAGCCAAGGCAGAAGACAAGAAGAGGAGAAAGGAAGAGAAGAAGGCGAAGAAGAGGGCGGCTGAGGAGGAAGCTGACGCTCCAGCAGCCTCCTCCGCTGTCGCCTCGACTTCGAACGGCGACCAGCCTGCCTCGAAGAAGGCAAAGACAGCAGACGCAGCTAGCGAGGAGGACGCAGCTGCTGCCGCCAAGGCCGAGAAGAAGCGGAGGAAGGAAGAGAAGAAGGCAAAGAAGGCCGCCGCCACATCAGCTGCACCTTCTTCTTCCTCTTCTACAACAATTGCAGCCTCGTCCAATGTTCCCTCCTCTGCTCCCACCGACGCCCTTGCTGCCAATGCCTTCCTCAAGGACCACAACATCACCCTTGAGGCCCCCGAAGAGTCTGACGAAAAGCCTCCGCTTCCTTTCCTCTCCTTCAAGGAGCTCCGAGGAAAAGTAGACGACGGCATCTGCGCCGAGCTAGACCGCCTCAAGTTCGAAAAGCCCACGCCTATTCAGGCTTGCTGCTGGCCCGTTCTTCTAAGCGGAAAGGACGTAGTGGGTATCGCCGAGACTGGATCGGGAAAGACCTTTGCCTTTGGTGTGCCGGCACTGCAGTATCTCGTCACTGGCGGTGGTGGCAAGGCAGGAGCAAAGAAAGGTGGCAAGAAGGGCTCCGGTTCCCCTCAGGTGTCCGTCCTCGTCGTAGCTCCCACGCGTGAGCTGGCCAAGCAGACCCACGACAATATGCAATTGCTCGCTCCTTCTCTTGGATTCGGTTCCGTATGCCTCTTTGGTGGTGTGCCCAAGTACGAGCAGGAGCAGGAGCTGCACAGCTCACCCTCTGTGCGCATCGTCGTCGGTACTCCCGGCCGAGTGCTAGATCTGGCAAGAGAAGGCAAGCTGGACCTCTCCGGCGTGGCCTACTTGGTGCTTGACGAAGCTGACCGAATGCTCGACAAGGGTTTCGAGCCAGACATCCGCGCCATCATTGGCATGTGCAAGTCCCACGAAGAAGGACGCCACACCAGCATGTTCTCCGCAACCTGGCCTCCTGCTGTGCGAGGACTTGCAGACACCTTCATGCGCGGGCCCATCAGGGTGACCGTTGGCTCCGACGAGCTTACGGCCAACAAGCGAGTCGAGCAGCGCGTCGAGGTTCTCGACGACAACCGCGCTAAAGAGCGACGGCTACAGGCTTTCCTGCGCGAGATTGGAGCTGGTCCCAGGGGCAAGAATGCAACTGACAAGGTGCTCATTTTTGCCCTGTACAAGAAGGAGGCCTCGCGAATCGAGGAGACGCTCCGTCGCAATGGCTTCAGCGTGACGGGTATTCATGGAGACATGACACAGCCTCAGCGAATGGCCTCTCTCGACTCGTTCAAGAACGGCGTCACGCCGCTGCTCGTCGCAACGGACGTGGCTGCTCGTGGGTTGGATATCCCGCAGGTGGAGCAGGTCATCAACGTTACCTTCCCTTTGACCATTGAGGATTATGTGCACCGCATCGGACGTACGGCCCGTGGAGGACGGACAGGACGCAGTATGACCTTTTTTACAGAGGAGGACAAGGCGCACGCTGGAGAGCTAGTCAAGATTCTAAAGGACTCTGAGATGCCTGTGCCAGAGGAGATGTACCGGTGAGTTTCTATCTGTCTGCCCGAAGGGCGAGGGAAGGAGAGACAGAGTGAAAGTTTGTTTTGCTTGATTCTCGGCTCATACTGACCTTAGAAACCTCCCAAAACCTCACCAGATTTTCTATGACTATAAAGAAGAAAGAGCATTCGGTGTACGGATCGTTTTACAAGGAGCCCGTGGCAGGAAAGGCGAAAAAGATCACTTTTGACTAATCGGATGGAGTCTGGGATAGATGAGCATGTTCACAGGGCAGTCGATTGGGGAGAGTGGAGTCTGTACGGGGTTTCTCGTGCACATTCGTATCAATGCAGCCATTGTCCTGCTAGACGCAAACACTTCACTGTTTTCCTCGTTGAGCAGACCACCAATAGACGTCTGCGTCGCACGACTGAATCTTTTCGCGAATATCCGATGAAGTGAACCGTAGAATAAGCAAGGTCCGCAAGCGAGGGCATACCAGTACTGTACTGTCAGCTCAGCTCTACGCTCAGCTCCGTTCCGGCTCCTGCTCCGGCTCCGGCTCCGGCTTTGGTCCGGCCCGCCCCGTCGATAGCTCCAGCTTCACCTTCACCTTCAGGTCCCCCTTCCGCCTGGTCTCGGGACGGGATTGTCGTTCCTGCAGCACTGCACTGACCTCCCTCACGGTCTGACCCTTCTTCGTTCATCGGAAGATCCCTTACGTCTGTAATTACTTGCCGTCTTGTGGATTGCTGTGGTCCCCACGGAAGGGGAGTGGAAGGTGATGGATGCCAGGGCAGCACGAATGCGACCGTGGCAGAGTTCTGATGCTGAGGGCCTCAGGATGAGGATGTGAGGTGCTAGTGGTGTGGGAGCAAAGGACAAGAAGGAGGCAGGAGAGCAGTGTACGTAGTGGTGTGCTCGCTGTAATGCGATTGGCCCTACACTTCGTCTGAAGTTTGCTCAGCAGCGCAGCCCTTCGAAAAAGGTCATATGCTCATCTTCGTCCCTCCTCTACTTGTTGTCCATCTCCCCCCTCCTTCTCCATCTTCTCCTTCGCAAGCTCTCATGCCACTCGATGCTTCCATAGTAGCGCCATGCGCTTATCTTAATGCACATACAATACCTCTACCTTCTACTACCTCACACCAGCACCGCTTGTGCTTTGAGCACTGCATACTCTGTCTTTGGTGACTACGCTATACAACACCGCAAGGACTTCCAATAATCCTGCCTTCACCCTATACGCGACGAAGATCTTCCATAGCCAGACCATGGGAGGCGAGTATCCAACCTACATACCGACAACGACGCAGCCCCAATGCTAACTCTCTGTACACTCATTCTTGTCTCTCAATAGTCCGTTGACTGTGGATCGACAGACGCTGAAAGACAGCCTTTGAATGCGACAAGGGCAGTTTCCAACACAACAGAGTGTCGTTCTTAGTGAAAGATGCACCAGCGTTCTTTCAACGCTGCATGGACAATCTACTTGCCTCTGGCGTCCAGAGAGAGAACATCGCCTACGTCGACGTCCAATCGTCCTCTCCCTACCTGCGATAATCTGCTCGCGTCGCTCAGATAGCTCATGGCAATCGTCGGTAGGCAGACCTCCGTCGAGATTGAAGCAGTGCCATTACCTCGAGCCACCCAATCAACGGCCCCTATTCTGGCTCTGGATCTCTTGGGGCTGTGGAACTACTACCGGGCTCATGTCCCTTGCCCTTGCAAGAGGATCACCCAGCACATGGTGGACAAGAAGAGAGCTCTGGCCGGCCGCATGCCTGTACAGCTCAGCGCTACTCTCCACAAGCCTGTGACGGAAGGTAGAGACTGTCGATGGCTTCCCAACGCTTTGGTGGCCCTCAAGCACGAGCACCACCGACATCATCAAGATGGCAGTGAGAACCTGGGCCTCGGGCATACTCGACTGCGATTGCGCTACGCCCACAGTCTTCGGCGTCGTCGTGTGGAGCGCCGATTCGTGGTGGATGGTGATCGCCTGCTGGGCGATTAATCTTGCACAGCATAGTGATCGAGACGCCACCAGTGGTCTGCGCTTGGATTTCTCTGGAACCCGTACGAATGTTTTGACCCCTACACTCCTCGCTCACAAAGAACATGGACGACATTATTTCGATGGTCAGGAGTTGAAGATTAGCGAGTTCACCGTGGAGCACTTTCTCAAGACCAATGCGACCGTACAGGGATAGGGGGTCACTGAATTGATGAGCAGCCATCGTATATCCACCATCGTGCAGATCGTACACTCGTCCCGTCCGATCAGCGGGCTTGGTGCTCAACTGTCAAAGCTAGGCATCTTGTCGGGATCGCCGGAGCTGTTTGAAGCGATCAAGGACAGCACTGAGATTGCCACAGGCGATAATTTCAAGCCTCCTGAACAACGGAAAGATGGCCTACGAGCGCCGATACGCCTCTTGATCAAGAACACAAGAGAATCCTGAATAGTCAATTCACATGTGGGAGCCACGCGAAGCATGTAGACAGGGCTCCCTGCTATCAAAATAGCCCCTAGAGAGTCATCGCCTCTTCTTCTGTCACCCACCTCTCTTGTAAACGTTTCCTGAGTCGTGTAATGAAAAGCATTTCTCTGAGCTCTTTATCGTGCTGTGAGGAACCTCCCGACCTCGTGAGAGTCTGAAGTGTGAAATGTACACGAGGAGTCTGACTTCTAGACAGCATCGGCTGTGTCACTTTACCTCCTCTTCCTCCACGCACGCAAGGGTCAGGCGATCACGCGGAGCTCTGTCACTACTTCTGCTGGGAACGCCGCCTCAGGGTCTCCCTTGCCTACCTGCCCACCAATCTATGAGGCGATAGGCAAACGCAATAGTGTACAGCCAGTCCTTTTGAGCTCAGCAATCCAGTCGTCAGCACGAGCATAGTCAGACAGATCGGAGTTCACAAACGCGGCTCTAGAATTTGTATCGTGATCTGCGCGTCAAGAGATGATATACAAGCATATCGGCACCTTTCTTCTTCTACCCGGCCCTCTTCTCTCGTCTCTCTCTCTCTCTCCTCTCCACGGAATTTTTAGTTGGAGGTCATCTTGAGAGCACCGCCAGACAGTCCACCGCTGCCAGAAGACCTACGCGAGTTGGGCTTGGTAGCATTTGGCGATGCGGGCTGACTTGTACCGGCAGGGCCGAGCTTGCCCATCTTCATACCCTCGTCGAGGGAGTTGAGGAGCTCCATGTCATCAGCGTCCAGCTCAAAGTCGAAGAGCTGGGCGTTGGAGATGATTCGGTGCTGGGTCAGCGACTTGGGCAGGATGATGTTGCCGATCTGTAGACCCCATCGGAGGAGGATCTGAGCGGGGGTCTTGCCGTGCTTGGTAGCAATGGTCTTGATCTCGCTTCGGTCCAGAGCGGCACCCTGAGCCATGGGCGAGTAGGCCTGGATGTGGATACCACGAGAGATGGTAGCCTCACGCAGCTCCTCGTGCTGGAAGAAGGGGTGCGACTCAATCTGGTTCACGGCGGGCTTGATGCGCACGTGCTGCATCAGGTGGTCGAGTTCCTCAACGTCGAACTGTGAATGTGGGCAGGCGGGAGCAATATCGGTCAGGACATCGCGCTCTTGCAGAAACTAGCAATCTTCTCTGCATCATATTGTACTCACGTTAGAGACACCAATGTTCTTGATGAGTCCCTTGTCAACGGCGTCCTCAAGGCCCTTCCAGGCCTTGATTCGGGCCTCCTCACCCATGTTTCCTGGGGAGTGGATGAGGTACATGTCCATGTACTCGAGCTGGAGCTTCTTCAGCGAGTCGGCAATGGCATCCTCGGCACGCTCGTGGTCAGCGTCCCAGAGCTTCGAGGTAACAAAGACCTGCTCCCTGGGAACACCGCTCTTGGCGCACCAGTTCTTGAGGGCCTTTCCGACGGCCTCCTCGTTGGCGTATCGGGCAGCACCGTCAATGTGACGGTAACCGGCGTCAAGAGCCCACTCGACGGCCTGCTCAGTGGTGTTGTCGTTGGGGGCCTTGTACACACCGAGAGCGACCTGTGGAAGAGCGAACAGGGTAGTAGAGCTGCGATTAGAAATCGAATTTTGCGCAATAGAATAATTGCGCACTGCACAGGGCACAGCGCGTCACCACCGGCTCTGCCCTTGGGCATTTGAATCATCAGAGTACTCACAGAGGGGATGAGGTTGCCGTTGTTGAGCTTGGTCATGGCGGTGGAGACATTCTCTCCAACCTTGACGCCAGCACCCGACGAGGGGTTGGAAGCAAGCTTCTGGATGTCAGAGGCAGAGGCTGTGGGCGGAGGAGAACAAGGGCAAGGTGCTGAATGTCAGTTGAGCAGCTCCGGACGAAGGCGGCTGTATATTAGGGACCGGGTAACTCACCCTTGCCGGCGGAGATCTGAAGATAAGCAACGAGGTGGAGCGACGAGGAAGAGAAGAGGTGGGTGAGCGGTATGCGCAGAGGAGCTCAAGGCGTCCTTGTTGCTATACTCACGTCCTCAGCGAGGTTAGCGTTAACGGGAGCCACTGCAAAGCGAAGAAAGGGTGAAGCGGTGGTGAGGTGCGGGTCAGCTCGTGCCGAACCCATGTGCAGCAGGGCACACACAGCGACCGTGTGCTTTTGCGCTCATGCTGCAGAGAGCTGCGTCTAGGCTAGTCTGTCTAACTCACTTGTGTATGTAGTGATGGGGGAGATGTGTTGGTGCGAAGGAAAGAATGGGTTGTTGGAATGGTACGAGAAGAAGAAAGGTGAAGCAGAGTGTTAAGCGAAGTGAAAAGGGGCCCAGAGAGTTCAGCGAGGGAGCCACGCGATGACGGTGGTTGGTGCATGTCCACCACTGCTACCCTGCCTACCACCCCTGCGCACTCGGCGCATCTTCAGATGGAGCGGGCGGCTCACTGCCACGGAGACTGAAATTCCCATCGTCACCCAAATCGTGGGCGATGGGTGCAGCACAGGAGCAGAGGAAGCGGGCAGAGGAGACCACGGCCCAAGACGCAGGCAGCCCTCATTTGCTGCTGCAACACATCATTCTCCCCGTCACACACCTCCGCCCATGCCAGCAAGGGACACTCGGCGCTTCCGATAGAGATCAGGCACTTCTTCCGGAAAACCACCACCACCACCACACGCAGGACCACCGATGCTGCCATGCTGCAGCGCCTCGTGGAGGAAGTTTTTGTTTCTGTCCTCCGCTACAGCCAAGGAAAAAGTATATCTCCGCATCCCTCCCAATTGCGACGACTGCTTCAGGGCAGTCATTGCCGTCCAGCTTTTCGGAAGAATTGATTGGGGCGCATGAAGTGGGCTGCGTGGACTTGTCTGCGATGTCGTAGCGACTCTGGCCGGCTGGGCTCTGCATTGTCCGATCGGTGTGCGCACACATTGTACCACGTTTCGGAGGGGGGAGATGCAGCAAAGTGCGTGAAACGCGCGGGAAGAGCCGCCGGGCCATGACGTCAGCTAAGCAACGCTCGGCCTCGGCGGATTGACTCCCCGATCCGATCCCGGGATTAGCTGAGCAAGCCCTTGGGTGGATCGCTCCGAGGACCCTCGTTGCAGGATCTCACCTTGCTTGCCGGGCCAGAGGCCCTTGGTCGAAGACCTGCTAAGCTTGAGCTTGCCATGTTCCTCGCTTCATCAAAGCTAGGCCCATGGTGGTGGCGAAGATCCAGCCGCTGCCGCTTCCCGGTTCGACCAGGCAGGGTTTGAAGAAGACGGAAGTAGGTGGGTGGTCAGGAGAACGCAGGCTGGACTCACACGGCCTCCGAAATTGTCACACTGTAGATTTCCGCTGCTACTCGGCCGCCTCCAGTCTGCTTGATGAGAGACCTTGTCGCAGCCTAAAGTAGTGAAGCTTAGCCTAGCCGACGCGGGGTTTGGGGAGCCGGCGCAGCGAGAGTAACGGTTCTACCCGGGGCGCCGGAGGCTTGGGCGATCGATCTGCCTCGGCGTCTGCTCAGAGGCGGGCAGGCAGGCAGGCTCGCTCGCAGAGTGTGGAGCCGGTCACAATCGACCCAAGGGCGCTCGCCGCCCTGCATGACTGACTACCAGCCTCACCTCTCTTCCCTCCTCGTTCCGCCCTTCTCCAGTCGCACATTACCCTTTTCCCCTACCCACCCGACTAACCCCTCGATCTTTGCCATCACAGCCACAGTCCGTATCCACTTCTGGTGGTAGCAGACCTACCCACATTACCTCACCGATTTGCGCGCATTAGTCACTGTACACACTTGACACCCACTTACTGTCTGGTCTCTGACAGAGTCAAATTACCTGCACTACGTCCAGCCGTGATTTGGACGTCGGCCAGATCTCAAGCACAAGAGTCAATTCACTCTGCTTGACTTGATTTGGCATTCTCGCTTGCACACCCAAGTCCACCCACGCCCACGTCAGCCTCGCTCACATGGCTCCCTCACACACGTCGTACAAGCGCAAGGCCAGCTCTCCTTCCTCCTCCATCGACGATGAGCTCCATGATGAAGGCAATTCGTCTCGATTCGTCGGAGGCTCAGGATCAGAGCTAGTGCCCAGCACAAAGCCTGGCGAGCCGCCTGTAACGAAGCGAACACTACAGAATCGCAAGGCTCAACGAGAGTTTCGTAAGCGAAGGGAGGCCAGAGTCAAGGATCTGGAGGAGAGGTGCAGGCGCTTTGATCAGATGGGTCTCGAGGCCAATGCCGAGCTGCAGAACATGGCCAGGCGTTTCAAGGACGAGAACGAGGCCTTGAGAGCCTTATTGGTACGCTTGGGATACGGTAACATGATTCCAGGCGCACTCGAGGGCATCAGTGACGGCGCGTACGAGGACAGTAACGGCGAGAGCTCCTCCGACAGCAGTGGTCGGCAAGAGCAATCCTCATCAATCGCACCTCCCAATCAGCAGCAGTACACTGCCATGGAGGCACCCCCCGGATCTGTCAATCCGGGCATGCTGGATCCCAGTGGTCTACCTGCATACATGCCTCAAGGTGATGCGATGACCGTGCGTTGGAACGATCCAAGCCGTGCACCGCAATGGGAGAGCAGCGACAACAGCCAGCATCAATCACATCAGTCAGATACAAGGAAGTCTGTTAGTCGCTCCATGAGCGGCGGTCGCAGCGGTGACACTCGTAATGGTCTACTTTCGCTCAACTTCCCCGACGTAACTTCACAAGGCGTGCAGGCACCACAGCAGCAGCAGCAGCCAATGTCATCACAGCTACAGCCGCATCCACAGCAGCAGCAGCTTACCCAACAGCAACAGCAGGACAGTGCCCACCTCTCTTCGAGAGATGGGATCACACCTGGGACTTTCAGCTCGCTGATGGGTATGCTTGGCAGTCAGCCGAATCATGCGCAGCCAGATCAGCAGCAGCAGCAGCAGAGTCAGGCGCAGGGCGGAGGATCTGCGTTCCTCAAGTCGAACCAAGGCCCCAGTGTTCATAGCGGATACGGCATGGCTCATCGCCCACACCAGAACGATGCTCTGCTCAACCCAAACCCCATACCGTTTGCTGTCAACCTATCTAACGAGCCCGCACCAGAGCAGAGTTGGTGGGATGCCCACGGTGGAGGAATGTTCGGTGGTGACAACTATCTGGACGACAAGGCCAATGCTGTCGCACAGGCGTCAGCCGGCCAACTCAACAATGGCTCGCAGTCTCCCTTTGATATCAGTGCCTTCCTCACCAGCGGACACACCCCTGGCGGCGGCAACTATAACTTCAACAGCAACATGCCCACCGGTTTCACACCTGCTCTCGCCACATCGAACAGTAGCGACCCTTTGAGTCAAGCAGGTGCCGATCTCAAGAATGGTAAAGAGCCCGCGAGTAATACCGGCAACCACAAGCAATCTCAACACGGACCCTCAGCTGCACAGCTTAGCCCCGCGGAGCACATTCAGGTCTTTCTCCGTATCTTGGAGCGTCGAGCGATTCGCGCTGGAGAGCAGCGAGGCCAGCAACAGTACGGTCGCCGCCAGATGTCGGATAGTCAGTCCAGTCGTGGGATGAACTGGATGGAGATGAAGTCTGACGTCTCTTCGGACGATAGCAGTGCTGGTGGTTCTCGCAACAACTCTCCTCGAGGTGAGCGCATCACGCCCAACACGGCTTACAGCCGTCTGGCCCAGCATCCTGTCTTTCTGCGCACCGACATGGGAGAGCTGGAGGAGTTGATCAACTCGATTCCGGCTGCAAACATTGCGACGGTCAATGCCCAGGGCAGCGGCAGTGGTGCACCTCTGGAGGTGGACGTATGCGCTCTGGACGGCCTGATGGCTATGCTGGACCACAGAGGAAGGTTCGGCGAATTGAAGAGCAGGGGCGGGAGCAGGCCTGGAGGCCACCGTGGGGCCTCGATCAAGGCCGAGCAGTAATATCGTTGGCTGGCTGCTACTACTTCTATATTGTACATGTTTTCTTCGTCGTCTGTTTTCCCTTGTATCAGTACTCATCGCACGCAGACAGGCCTCCGAGGCTTCTGAGCTGCGTCGATGACCCTTTCATTCCCCATTGTACTATATTTCTCTGGCTTTCATTTTGACATAACGACACACGCCCGCGCCTTTTCGTCACATCGTTTTTCTCCGCACATCGAGCAGACTCTTTTGTTTCTTCTCTTCTACTTCTCCACATCTATCTTTTAATAGTTCACCAAATACTTTTGTTCAGTTGAACTTCGAATAAAATTCCCCGTTCAATTGGACAACTGAAGCGAGAGTGGTTTGGTCTGCAACCTTTTGGCACATGTGCGCAGCAGCAAACGTGGGCGGGACAAAGGCGATGGCGGGAGCTCGAGCCAGGCCCATGCGGCCAGGAGGGGGCAAGAAGATGCAGCAGCCATGCGCCAATTGTCTTTGCTCCGCTCCGCTCTGCCCCGAGAAGCTGCCTGTGCTAAGCCGCCCGAGTGGTGCGCGCGCGAAGAAATGCGCCTGTGTCGTGCGTACGTCTGGGCGCCGCCTGCTTGGCCTTTGCGCTCTGGCCCTGGCTGAGCCCTTGTGCCTCTGCCTGCCACTTTCACTTCTTCCTCGATCTTCCAAGAGGCGGAGCGCAACCCACAACGTTTCCTCCCCCTTGCCCCCCCAACCTCCCGCTTCTTCTCGCCCTTACCATCACCCACACGACACTGCTACCTTGTCACCGTTAGCTCTGTCTCCTCTCCTTTATACCGCACACAAAATCTTCTCTAGAGCTATTTGGAACAAAATGGCGTGAGTAGGACCATAGGCAGTAACAGCAGTAGGAGTGTCGGATGGGGTAGTGGATAGCGAGCTGCAAGTCGCAGCTGGATGGTGGTAGAGCAACTGTATGCACGGGCGAGCCGCTCGGAGGGATACGAGGTGGACGGACATCAAGCGAAAAGCCCTCTGGGAGGCATACCGCTCAATCGCTGCCGTCTCAGACGACCCACACTGCCCTACCGATGCAGCAATGCTGACATTCTACCCATCACACTTCTGCCCCACGTGTCTCTCCTTGCAGTGCCTCTTCCGTTCTTGGTTTCCCCCGTATCGGACCTCAGCGTGAGGTCAAGAAGGCCCTCGAGGCCTACTGGTCTGACAAGATCCAGGCTGATGAGCTTCTCAAGGTTGCCAAGCAGCAGAGGCTGCACACCTACGAGATCATCAAGAGCCAGGGTGTCGATGTCATCCCCACCGGTACCTTCACCCTCTACGACCACATCCTCGACTTCTCCAACACCTTCAACATCATTCCCTCTGCCTACGCCAAGTCCGGTTTGAGCCCCCTCGACACCTTCTTCGCCATGGCCCGTGGACACCAGAAGGGTGGTGTGGATCTCCCCGCCAACGAGATGCGAAAGTGGTTCAACTCAAACTACCACTACCTCGTCCCCGAGCTCCACGAGAGCCTCGAGTTCAAGCTCAACAACACCAAGCCCGTCGATGACTTCGTCGAGGCCAAGGAGGCCGGCTACAACGCCCGCCCCGTCCTCGTTGGACCCATCACCCTCCTCTGGCTGGGTAAGGCTTCGCGTGAGGCCAAGAACCCCAACCTGGACACCGTCTCTCTCCTCGAGAAGCTGGCCCCCGTCTACGTCGAGCTCCTCAAGAAGCTCGCCGCCGCCGGTGCCGACTGGGTTCAGATCGACGAGCCCGTCCTCTGCATGGACGACGGTGCCAAGTACGCTAGCCAGTTCAAGTCTACTTACGAGCTCTTCGCCAGCCAGGTGCCCGAGATCAAGACTCTCCTCACCACCTACTTCGGCCGTGTGGATGACAACGTCAACTTCGTCAAGGACCTGCCCATTGCTGGTTTCCACGTTGACGTCTACTCTGCCCCCAACGCCCTGAACAACGTCGTCAGCGCCTTTGCCAACAAGGACACTGTCCTCTCCCTCGGTCTCGTCTCCGGCCGAAACATCTGGAAGAACGACCTGGCCGCCTCTCTCAAGATCGCCAAGGACGTCGTTGCCCAGCTGGGCAACAAGGCCGAGCGAGTTCAGATCGCCACCAGCTCCTCTCTCCTCCACACCCCTTACACCATCAAGAACGAGAAGAAGCTCTCTGCCGAGGTTCTCGACTGGTTCTCCTTTGCCACTGAGAAGTGTGGTGAGGTCGCTACCCTCGCTGCCGCTCTCCGTGACCCCAGCACCGCTGCTGACCGTCTGGAGGTAAACGAGCGCTCGATCAAGGCCCGACGTGACTTTGAGAAGAACTCCAACTCTGCCGTTCGTGACCGTGTGGCTGCCATCAAGCCCGAGGACCTCAACCGAAAGTCGCCCTTCGCTGTGCGAAGGGAAGTCCAGAGGAAGCGCCTCAACCTGCCCGCTCTCCCCACCACCACCATTGGTTCCTTCCCCCAGACCAAGGAGATCCGAAGCCAGCGTGCTCGCTTCAACAAGGGCGAGATCGACCAGGCCCAGTACGAGAAGTTCCTCGAGAACGAGATTGCCGACGTCGTCAAGCGCCAGGAGGCTCTTGGCCTGGATGTCCTCGTGCACGGTGAGCCCGAGAGGAACGACATGGTTCAGTACTTCGGCGAGCTCCTCGACGGATTCGAGTTCACTCAGAACGGTTGGGTCCAGTCCTTCGGTTCCCGATACGTCCGACCGCCCATTGTCGTCTCCGACGTTTCTCGACCTCAGCCCATGACTGTGCGCTGGTCGCAGTACGCTCAGAGCCTCACCAAGAAGGTCATGAAGGGAATGCTCACTGGACCCGTGACCATCCTCAACTGGTCCTTCCCCCGTGACGACATCTCTCGTGACCTGCAGTCAAAGCAGATTGCTCTGGCTCTCCGTGACGAGGTGTGCGACCTGGAGAAGGCTGGTATCGTGTCGGTTCAGATTGACGAGCCCGCTCTCCGTGAGGGTCTGCCCCTGCGAAAGTCCGACTGGGACTCTTACCTCACCTGGGCCGTCGACTCTTTCCGTCTGTCGGCTGCTGGTGTCTCCGACGAGATGAACACTGCCTCTCACTTCTGCTACTCCAGCTTCGAGGACTGCATTGCTGCCGTCTTTGCTCTGGACGCCGACATGATCTCCATTGAGAACTCCAAGTCGGACGAGAAGCTCCTCAAGGTCTTCACCGGTGACAAGAAGGACGAGGGTGTCAACGACATTGGCCCTGGTGTCTTTGACATCCACAGCCCCCGTGTTGCCCCTGAGCAGGAGCAGTTCGAGAAGATCAAGCGAATTGTAGAGGTCGTCGGCTTCGACAAGGTCTGGATCAACCCCGACTGTGGTCTCAAGACCAGGACTTGGGAGGAGTGCACTGCTCAGCTCGAGGCCATGATGGCCGCTACCCAGCGGGCCCGCAAGGAGCTTGCCTAAAGCGGTCGGTGTCTCGACAGTTCTGTGCGCACTGCTCGTCTTGCCCGCCCCAACCAAAAGCCTGACGACCCTCAACGGGTCATTGGCGTCCCTACTTTTAACGTTGTCTCTCTCAGCATTCTCGTCTTAGTTCACGGTGTCCTTGTTCACGATCCTTACTGTTTCATACATCACTGGAGATGATTCGCTGAAGCTCAGCGGGCCTTCTTTCAGTCGTCATTTTGCTTGCTTGGGAAGGGGGTGCTCCCTCCTCACTTTATAGGTTACTCATCATCATCATCATCGGTCTCGGTCACATTTGTACTCTCTTGAATGACATTCAACATGATTCCCCACAAACCAAAGAAGGGACAATGTCCTGTGGTCGTGTCGTCTGATCGGATTGAGCCGGGTTGATGAGGTGTGGGTCTGTGATGGCATGCACGAGCGCCGCCGGCCCGACGACGACGGGAGGAGATTGAGACGGCGTCGTGTCAGGGGCAGGGGCAGATCACACATCTTCGCTGCTTGGCATTACGGCGCCGGGGATGCTGAGCCGGTCTGCTCTCATCTATAAAGAGCTCTCCTCCTGTTCTCTTTCCCCTGTCCTAATCTCTCTCCTCGACTGTCGAAAGGTAAGGTAGCAACGATCTGCGATATTCACCAAGTGAGAGCGATCCCCTCCCTTGACCTCTGCAAGCGCCGGGCGTGCGTGCGTGCATGAACAGTGCCCCTCCCGAAGAAGCCCTTTCCGTCGTCGTAGTCGAGCACACCGAACCCTCTTCCTTCTCAGCATCTGAGGCGCTCCTCCATTTGGAGCTCTTAGTCGCAGCTGCTACTTCTTCCTGCAAGGCAAGTAGGAGAAGGAGATCAAGCAAGCAGCTTGCTAGTGGAGCTTGAACGGACTGGTGGGGACAGCTCGGCGCTGCGTTCCTTGGCAGGAACCTTTTTGGAGCTAAAGTCAGGAGGTGCCTCGATCTTCTCCGGCGTCGCAAGGGTGTCGCTCTCCTCTTGCTGGTCATTGTGCTCGCTAGATCCCTTCACACGCTGAACATCAAGAACAGAAACACGATGGCTCCGCTGTCTTTCCTCAAGTCCTGCTTCGGCTTCGCCGGAAGTAACGCTCACAGTAAAGCGCAAGACTCTACCGGCGAAGGCACTAGTGCTCTCCTCGACTCGGCAGGAACGAACACCCGTTCAACATCGTCTGGACGCCCTTGCATCTTTTGCAATATACCGCCCATGAGCGACCCAAATTCGCCTTTCAAGGTGGTGATGGAGAATGAGGAGGCGGTCGCGTTCCATGATCGATCACCAAAGGGCGTGCTGCACTTGCTTGCTGTACCGAGGGTGCACGTTAAAGACGTCAAGGCGCTCCAGGGGGCTGAAGGTGCCGCGATGGGTGAGTATTTGAAGCGCGGGGGATCTGGCAGAATGAGCGAAGGCGAATGCAGTGATGACAACAGTCGAGCTGAGTACGTCTCAACCCCTATCTCATGTCCTCAGTACAACGTCTCGTAGACATCGGTACGCAAGCTCTCGACCTCCTAGAAAGTCAGCGACCTTCCTCCTCCCCTGATACTCGCTCAGAATCAAAGCGTCGTCTTGGCTTCCACGTCCCGCCCCTCACCTCCGTCTCCCACTTGCACCTACACTGTCTCGTCGAGCCCCTCAGCATGCTTGGTCGCATGGAGTTCCCTGTGGCGCCTGCGAAACCGGAGGCGAAGCCTCCCTTGTTGAAGGGGTATAGCTGGTTTGTTGAGGCGGAGCAGGCGAGGACAATTTTGCAGAGTGGGAAGAAGGTGACTGTTGGAAAGGTGACGGCTTGAGATGGAAGAGTAGAACGAATCAGAGAGGGGAAAAGCAGTGTCCCCTCGATGGACAGATAGATACGGCAGTAGACTCGAAGAGGCGATCGGGTCCTCTTGAAGCGCGGCATTGCCAGATTCAGCTTTGGTCAAATACCGACCCATACAATGATACCATGATCATCACCCTGTAGAGACCTGTTGACCAACGTGAACGCCTGTGAGTATCAAACAATGAACAGACGAAGCCCTTTCGGCCGTACCGGCCTTTAGAGTGGTGTGGCTATCCTTTGCCCAAAATGCGCGTGCGCCGCATGATTTTTTGGAATCTGCAGCAGGGGTGCTCCACAATGACCATTTTACATTGCTACACTTTGGCAAGCTACTGTACAACGTTGTGCTAGCAAACATGTCAAACACTTGCTGACAAACCTGTAGTAAACACACTGAACTTGACGCTGTTAAAGTTTTGGATCCATCAAAGTAATATTGAGGGAGCTAGAGCCAATCCTGCTGGACTAACAGAACCTGTCCGCAGTTGACTCTTGCTAGATTCTCTGTCACTCGCTCAATATTGATGCCAAAGAGACGATACTTTGCCATCCATTTGACATTGTATTTGACTTGATGCTGGCCAAAAATGAGCCGGCTATCATGTGAATTGGTGGAGCTGCAGGTATTCTTCTAAGGCGTCTACCTTTTGTACAATGTTCCACTTTGTTAAGTCTTGGATCTACTCGGGTCCGAGGGTGAAGATTCCGATATCGGAAGGGGTGAGCGTGAGAGAGGTGAGGGTTGTATTGGTGTCGCTAAGGGTTCCGGTGCCGGACTGCTTGTACGCTGTGCGCAAGAAGTAGAGAACTAGATTTTATAAACGACAAGGGGAAAAGGAAACCCTTGTCGGCTAACGAGCGTGTGACATCCATCGGCCGCGGTCTCCCTGACCGCGCCGACGCCGCAGACTACCAATACCATTTACCCTGCATTACCGGCTGCACTACCGCTCCGCCAAATACCGTCATCCGTTCCGTCATGACTTCCCTTCCGATCCGTTCCGCCCTCGGACCCTACTCTTTCCGTCGTGGTTGGGCAGGGGCACAACACTACACCCCCCCCCTTCGGCAGGGCCGTTGCATCGGGATGCTACGGTCCTACGTCCGTGTGGGAGGGTGAAACGGAGGTCCTGAACCGACGTTGGTGTTGAGGAGTCGCTATCGGGAGCGTCGGCAACAACCGCGTGTGGTGACGAGAGTGGCAGTCACGTGACGCGGTTCGTGCCTGTTTGCTCTGACGACGGTGAGAAGAGTTCCAAGCGTGATCGCAAAGGAAACCTGTCTCTCTATCGTCCGCTCCCACTTGCGATAACCTCCTCAGCTACCGTAACCGATCCTGCGACTTCCACGATGGACGACTCGTCCGCCTCTGCTCTACCTGGAGAGCCTGTTCCTACTAACGAAGGTTTGTACAGGTCTGCGGGTGCGGATGCAGCGATGACTGGAGGCGCTGATTGTCTGCACTCCTGCATACGTCTGCTCGTTGCCCACAGCAGCCTCTGAGCCTGTAAACCTTAGTCGTGAGTGGAAAGGTGTCCTAGGATAGAGAAACGAGTCGTTGTTGACCGATCGTACCGTCTTCTACGTCCATCCAACGCAGAAGAGTCGATGGGTCGATCGCCTTCCGGTGAGCATGATCGTGGGCGATCACGACTTCCGTTGCGGGTGCGAGATTGCTAATAGCTTGTCCTGACTTCTCTCGCAGCCCTCAACGATCACCGAACGGGGAGTTCTCCAGCGTCGGGCGATGAGCTCTTCTCAGAGACTCCTCTTACCCCTCGCCAGGAGAAGCAGCTGCTTATGCGTGACCCCAACTACGTGCCCGAGGGATGGCTAGTTCCCCTGGAGGTTCCTTACACGTTTGTCGAAGGGCAGACTCTTGAGGCATACGCAGCATTCGTAGTCCCAAACCGATACCCCGTTCGCATGGGCTCATCCGACGAGGTTGGGGGGCAGGAAAGCGTTGCCATTCGTGCTTTCGCTGCTTGGGACAAGTACTTCACGGCAGGCCAAAGCTCCGTAGGAGGGGTCGCTGTTCCCTGGATCTACAAGGAAAACGCTCTCCTTCCCAGAAAGGAACTTCCAGCCTTCGTGAAGGCCGGTACCGCCATGCACGCCACGGTAGCGTGCACTCGCACCGTGATCATGGAGGCCTTTAGGCTTCTCCACGATCCATCTTCACCTCCAGTCCCCTGTCTCCTCCCCATTCGCACTCCTCTGCGACAGGGGCAGGCGTGTCTGGTCTGCGCAATCTGTCACGAGGAATGCGACGCCCAGGGATCTGTAAAACCCCCTCCATCGGAGAAGGCTACGACCCCTGTGCAAAAGAAGAAGAAGAAGCGTCCTCGCCGCAAGAGGGTAACCCCAAGATCTGTGGTCGCCAAGCAACGAGGTCGAATGGAGGAACTGTTGGAAGAAGGCATCGCCTGGATAGCGGAGTGGGAGGCTACCCTAGGCGGAATTCGAGACCCGTCGGTCTCGCAACCCTTTCTACAGTTGGTGAGTAAGAAAGGATCGTCCGGAGGGGGGAATGGCAGCTGACCCAAAACCCTCTAACCTCCGTAGTTGCGCATCAAGATTGAACAACCCATCGGCAGCATGATAAGCAGCAACCTGCAGGCCATTCGTCTTGCGGCTCAACCAGAGGAGGAGGAAGGCGACGGCTCCTCTGTCGAAGAGAACATCAGCGTTCCTCAAGAGGAGACTGACCAGGAAGAAGAGAGCGAACCGGTCATTGTCGATGCTCGAGCTCGCAGGATGAAGGCCAGAACGTCCACTCGCAAGCGTTACCTGGCGAGGTGGAAGACTCCTTCCGACGACGACGACCTGTACCTGCCAGACTCAGGCAATACCGGAGCGACCTCAGCTTCCATCACTCCTCGTAAGCGAAAGAGTCTCAGGACCTTTGCGCCCAAGACCCCTCCATCCGCACGAGAAGTGCTCCTCTCGGCTCCTCTACTAATGGACGTCGATAGCTCGTCCGACGACGGGGAATGGTCTTCTACCGTGTCTATGAGCCTCTCCGCCATAGGAGGAGACGAGGAAGTAAGCGACATCGAGACTGCGTCCGGAGACGATGACGTATTACTTCAGAACCACACCTTGCCACACCACCTCCAGACTCAGCGTCGAGCAGCAGCCCTAGACGCCGAGGACATAAACAAGGAGATGATGAAGAAGGGCGATCCGCTCTTCCCACCTGGGGAAGAGGATGCTGGATCCATCCTAGAGCCGATGGTGCTCTCTCCAGGACCCAGCGTGGATGCTAGCGAGTATCGCGACAGTGAAGGCTCTTCGATCGAAGGTCCATTCATCAACATTCTCGACCGAGGCGCTCAGCAGCCCTCCACTCCGGTATCGGCCTCGCCTGCGTCTGCAGTTGCGACCTCCCCCGTACGTGGAACACTTGCCGCCACCTTTGGCGTGGTACGAGATGCTGCCGCTTTACTCGTTCGCAATAGGGCTCCAGTTTCTCAAGACCGCGCTCAACTGAGCGCAGAGGCCTTCGCTGAGAAACAGAGACGAGTAGCCGCCAGAGGAGGTGATCCTGACACGGTTACCAACTTTGAGGGCGACTCAGACTTGGAGTGATCGAGTCGTAAAGAGTGTGTGGGGGCGAGGGGGCCCCAGACCTGTGCTTGTGTGTCCTTCGTCCTTGAGAAGGCTTGTTCGATTGATCTTGAAGAAGAAATGAAGAGATTTCCCTCCTAGGAGCGACGCATGTGACTGAATGTAAAGAGGGAGGAAATCGTCGACCTATCCCAGGCGTCTTCCGCCTGCGGAAACGCTAGCGACGCGCCAGCCCTCGCTGACGTGTTCGCCGTCTCGCCTTACCCGCCTCTGCAGCCTCAAATCGGTCCAAGGCGGCCGCATTTTCTACTGCACTCCTGGGCTCCCAGGAGTTGTGCTCCTCACCGTAACCTTTCCACCTGACGCGGTACATTCCCCCATCCGGACCTGGCTTGTGAGCAATGATCTCCTCCACGACGTATTCTTCCTCGTTGTCCACAATTACCGGGGGAGGAGGAGGTATCTCTCTTCCCTCGAACTCGTTCGAAATGGAGGTCCGGAGGAGGGAAACGTGGAACACGTCATGGATTCGCATGTCTGCCGGCAGGTCCAGCTGGTAGGCGTGCGTCGAGACTTTCTTCCTGATGGGGAAAGGTCCGCAGAACTTGTTGCCCAGCTTCCGACTAGGGCGTTTCACCCGTAGGTTCTCCGTTGAGAGCCACACTTGGTCTCCCACCTCCCAATTGGGCAGCTGCGCATTCTTCCCATTGTGGTGGTGAGCAGCCGAGTCTCTGGCGTCCTTGAGGAACTTCTTGACCTGTTCGCGAAGCTCTTCCGACGATAGATCGCTGTGGGTGTCGCCCAACTCGGTGATATGGGTAGTGCGCAGCTCTGGGACGTAATTGTACAGAACCTCGTATGGGGAGCGGTGGGTTGCCGAATGCGGAGTGGTGTTGTAGCAGAATTCCCCCAGAGGAAGGAGTCTGCTCCAGTTGTCCTGGTGATAACCGACGTAGTGTCGGAGGTATACTTCCAGGGTTTGATTCACTCGTTCCGTCTGTCCATCCGTCTGTGGGTGGTACGCTGTGGACAACTTCACCCGAATGCCCAGTTTCGCACAGATGTCCTTCCACAGCTGTGAGGCGAACTCTGGTCCCCTGTCGGACACTATGTCCGTCGGTGTTCCAAAACGGTAAATCACCCGTTCAATGAACACTTCCGCCAGGTCTTTCGAAGAGAAGTTTTCCAACACCGGAATGAACAGTGCCATCTTAGTGAAGCGGTCCACTATCACCAAAATGCTCGAGTAACCGTCCGAAAGAGGGAGCTGGGTGATCCTGTCCATCGAGATCGACTTCCAAGGTGCTTCCGCCAGCTCGAGGGGGCGCAAAGGGGGAGGGTGTGTCCTTCCGGGCTTGGCCTGGTTGCAGGAACGGCAAGAGTCCACAAACTTCTTCACGTCCTTCCTGTCACCCGGCCAGGCGTAGTGTCTGTTAAGCACAGCCCTGGTCTTTGTGGCTCCCCAGTGTCCGGACTCGGGAGGGTCATGATGTTTCTGCAGCGCCCTTGTACGCAGCGAACCCTGATCCGGCACGTACAGGGCTCCATTGAACCAGAGAACTTGGGGGTCTTGGCTTCGCACAGAGAAACCCGGCGCCTCCTTCAGGCGATTGAGCTCCTTCGTTTTCAGAGCTCGACACGCGGACTTGATCTCCTCGGTCAATTCATCCTCCACGATCTCGAAACGGGAGTAGGAATGGACTGCCGCCACGGTCGAATCATGGCGGGTTGCGGCGGCGGAGGCGGAATCGATTCCAGGTGCGGAGTCCGGCGGAAAAAGGGTGCCCACGATCTTGGCACGGGGCTTCGCCCTCCGGCGTATGCCCAGTTCGTCCGCTACATTCTGGGGAACGTTGGTAGCGGCGACTGCGGCGGCCTCTTCGTGGTCCTCTCGTCTGGACAAGGCATCACACCTCCCATTCAGTTGCCCTTCTCTGTAGACCACCTTGAACCTGAATTGGGACAGGAATTGTGACCAGCGTACCTGACGTGGCGTCAAGGTTTTGGTGGAGTGGAAATACTCCAAATTCCTGTGGTCCGTGTGCACTATCAGGCTCTCGGCGCCCAGCAACATGTGTCTCCACGCCCGGAAAGCTTCGATGATGCTCAACATCTCCTTATCATGGACATCGTAGTTCATCTCGGCAGGAGAGAAAGCCCGACTCAGGTAAGCCACTGGTCGAAGTTTTTCTCCGTGATACTGGGAGAGGATGGCACCTATTGCGAAATTTGACGCATCCGTTTCCAAGATCGTTTCGCGGTCGTCGTCCCAGTGGGCCAGTATCGGAGCGGTGGTGAAAGCCTTCTTGATATCCTCGAAAGCCTGTAACGCTGCCGGTGGCAACTCGAACTCCTGTGTGTCTCGGGTGATGCCGAGGGAGGCCTTCACGCTATCACGGAGTAAGCGGGTCAAGGGCTTCGTGTGCACTGCGAAAGACGACAGGAACTTCGAGGAGTAGTTGGCGAAGCCCAAGAAGCGTTGAATCTTCTTGACCGAGGTGGGAGGCGGCCAATCCTGCACCGCAGCGATCTTGTCCGGGCACACCTCCACCCCCTCAGGACTGATGACATGTCCTAGGTACGTCACCTTGTCCCTGAAGAACTCGCACTTGTGCGGAGATGCGTAGAGTCTGTTCGCACGCAAACGAGACAGAACCTCGTGAATGAGCTCTCCGTGAGAGGTCTCATTCTCCGAAAACAAGATGATATCGTCCAGGTAGACCATGGCTTGGCGGGGCATGAGGTCCTGGAAAATGGTGTTGACCCATCGCTGGAAAGCCGACGGGGCGTTGCTCAGGCCAAAGGGCATGACCTTGTACTCGAAGGTTCCGCGAGAGGTAATGAAAGCCGTCTTCCATTGGTCCTCTTCGCGAACGCGCATGAGATTGTAGGCTCCGCGAAGGTCGATTTTCGAGAAGATCTTCCCTTTTGCTAGAGCGGCGAAGATATCCGAGATGAGGGGCAGTGCATACTTGTCCTTCACTGTGTGCTCATTCAGATTCTTGTAGTCCACCACCAACCGGAGTTCGTTCTTGGTGCCCTTGGGAACGAAAAAGGCCGAGGAAGCGATGGGCGAACGGCTGGGTTCAATGAACCCTTTCCGGAGCATGTCGTCCAGATATTCCGCCAGCGCGATAGATTCGCGACGACCGGTGTGATACACTCGGGGCCGAGGCATCAACTGGACGAGGTCGTCCGGGGTTTTGATCTGGAGGTCCACCAGCTTCCGGAGTGGTGGGAGTCGATCAGCTCTCTTTTTCGAGAATACGTCCGCAAAGCAGTGGAATTGGGGAGGAACCGTTTTGAGTTCCTCCTTAGAGACCTCCTCGTCGACGTCGACGTCGTCGAAATCGGAACTGGAGGCCCAGGCTGTGACTTCGTCGCTCCAGGCGACGTAGGGATTCTCAGAGGGAACGATGAGTTGGAGAGGAGAATCCGGAGAAGAGCTATACTGAGTGGCCTTTCCGAGGATGGGAACATGGCCGAAAGTCTCGAATTGGAGGGAGGCGGGATTCAAGTTGATCGAGGCTTGATGACGTCCAAGCCAGTCCAGGCCTAGAATGACGTCAAAAACTAGGTCCTCTAGGATGAGCAGCTCGTCCACTGAGGAGGCCGAGGTCGATGATCCCACGAGGGTCATTGTCACTCGAGCTACCCTTGAGGTGGAAGAGATGCGGGTGGCCTTGGAGGAGAAACCAGAAGCAGAGACGGGTTTGACCTCTAGGACCTCACTGCCCAGTGGCACTTTGTTCGCCTTGATCCAAGATCTGGAGGCTCCGGTGTCGATGAGTCCATTGACCTGGTGTCCGTCGATGGAAAGAGATATGAGAAGAAGTTGAGGAGACGATGATGACTTGAAGGAGGAATTGATGGTGACCATGAGAGGTTCACGCGTTAAAACTGGATGGGGAGAGCCAGCGCGCTCTAGTTCTCCCCGCTCTCGTTTCCCTGGTCGGAAACGTCGTCTCTGTCATCGGAGGATGTCTCACTCCCCGTCTCGGAGTCAGAGTACTCCGAATCCTCCGAGTCGTCCTGCTCCTCGCGATCCACCATGACGTTGACTCCACTGCGACGTCCGCCTTGTGCCCGGTTTGACCTGTTCGGGCAATTCCGAGCGAGGTGGTCCCCTCCGCACTCGTAACAGGCGATCTTCGGCCTGCCTGTCCCGTTGTCTTTCCGACTATCGGCTCCGGGCGTCTTGTTCCGATCCTCACTGCGCTTGTCGGAGTTCCAATTTCCAACAGGCTTCTCCGTGGTCGGAGTATGGCGCGAAGATCCACGAGTGCGCGTCCGGTCCGACTTATCGAACTTCCCGCGACCGGAGAAGGAACGCTCTTCCTCGCGTTTTTCCTCCTTACGCTCTTGCTCCCTTTCCGCCAGTCGCTGGTCCTGTCGGGTGCAGGCGTTCTGCAGTTGCTGCAGAGTGTCGATCTGGAGTCCGTTCAAGGCAACCGCGTCCTTCATTTCACTGGAGAGACCTTTGTAATAAAAGTCTCTCAGGACCAAGCCGTCGTAACCTGTGAGGGGGTGGAGAGAGTTGAATTCAATAGTGTACGAGTAGATTCGGTGGAGCTTACCCGTCTGTTTCAACATCTGTATTTTTTTCTTGGCTCTCTCCTTTTCCTCCGGATCGAAGAAAATCGCGGCGAAGACCTGCGTAAAATCGTGCCAGTAGAGCATTGACGCCGGTCGAGGAACTTGATCCCACAGGTTGGTGGCCCAGACTCGAGCCTGTCCTGTGAGGTACGAAATCGTCGTGATGATGCGGAGGTTGTCCGCTCCCGGTAACGCGAGATCGTACTGCCCAGGGTCCGACATGAACATGTATTCCAAGGTTCTGATGAACTCCTTTCTTTCCGATGGTCGATCCCCACTGAAAGTCTCTGGAGGTTTAATGAGGGACTTCCCTCGCGGGCCTCCTCTGTCCGACCATTGTCCGGCCGATCCTGGTACGGAGAGCTGTCGAGAAGATCGATCCCAGTGCGGGGGAGGGTCTCTCCCAGCCCATCGATTCTCCGGGGGAGCACTGGTCGCGATTCGGGCATCCTGAGGGGGTAGCTCGTTGTTGGTCGGACCCTGAGGTGAGCTCTCAGCCCGCGAGGTACTTCGGTGATCGAAACGTACTCCTGGGTGGGAATGTCCGAAATTAGGGCGATCCTGGCCGCGACTAGTAGGGTCTTGACTTTCTTGAAGTCCTTGGGCCCCGGGGGCGGATAAACCGGCCTGAGCCAGGCGTCGATCCCGGGTTCGGCCTAGTACGTCCGTAGAGATGTCCCCAGGTTCGTCCCCTTCAGCTTCACTTTCCCTGGACGGGAAAACTTGGGGCGATTCAGGCAAGCGTGCCTGCTCGGCCACTTGCTCCTTCAGGTTCTGAACCTCCTGTACCAAGTTCTGGACCATGGTAACCAGGGCGGAGAGATCGACCTGAGGGCTTCCCGGTCTCTGAGGAGATCTCGGACGCGACGTGGCAGCTCGTTCCTTGCCCGCTCGGGTCTTGGGATGGACCGGGGTGGGCGCTGGGGGTTCCGGGGTCGGAGCCTCTACAGGGGGAGAGTTGCCCTCGACGGGCTCCTCCTCGTCAGGCGTGTTTTTGTTCTTGCCTGTCATCCTATTTGCTCAAAAACTTCCGATAGGGGATATGCGGTCGTTTATACTGTTAAGTCTTGGATCTACTCGGGTCCGAGGGTGAAGATTCCGATATCGGAAGGGGTGAGCGTGAGAGAGGTGAGGGTTGTATTGGTGTCGCTAAGGGTTCCGGTGCCGGACTGCTTGTACGCTGTGCGCAAGAAGTAGAGAACTAGATTTTATAAACGACAAGGGGAAAAGGAAACCCTTGTCGGCTAACGAGCGTGTGACATCCATCGGCCGCGGTCTCCCTGACCGCGCCGACGCCGCAGACTACCAATACCATTTACCCTGCATTACCGGCTGCACTACCGCTCCGCCAAATACCGTCATCCGTTCCGTCATGACTTCCCTTCCGATCCGTTCCGCCCTCGGACCCTACTCTTTCCGTCGTGGTTGGGCAGGGGCACAACACACTTTACTCTCAAGACTCTGCATAAAGCGCTTCTCAACTTTTAACATCCTTTAGTGATACATAGGTACCGTCGTTGTTCCAAGTTTCAGGCTTTGTTGATATACAGACAAAAGCAGCATTGCGAAAGTCCCAAAACATGCCCTTTTTTGGGCTCTATCCAGTATCTGCTCCCAAGCCTCACACTGGCCGTCCAGCGAGCTGAAACTTTGGCTTGTGATAGAAGGATAGTGAAGGTACTTACCACCAAAGTCTGGCAGCTTTAGAGGCCACTGACGGCAAGTGGTAGCTGATGGGGCGTAGGACGTTTTGCCTCTCTGAATGCTGCAAGTGGTATTGGCTGTAACTCCATCAATATTGATGCTATGGTGGCGAAAAGACCACTCACAGAAAGCTGAGTACATTTCCTACAAGTCACTCAGCTATGTCTTGGCAGATTTGCTTGCTCATTGTGATGTTATAGAGTGGCAAAGACAGAACATGCAGGTATGAGAAATGAGGCTCAAATGCACCAAAATCCAAAAAATGCGCGTGGCGCACGCGCGTTTTGGGCAAAGGATAGCCACACCACTCTACCCCGCATGACCCTCACTCAGCCTCATTTCCCCGCATTTCTCGCTTGAGAGAGGCGAAAGCCCGCTGCCTGCCTGCCTATCCGCCGCCACCTTCCTGCCTTGCTCTGCCGTCTGCAGCTCCTTTCCTTTACTCTTCTTCCTGTCTGTCTGTCCTCGTATCTGACAGATTCGCACGCACCCTGCACTGGCTTGCGAGATGATGGGCTTTGCTTCCTCCTCTTCGACGGCGAGAGCTGTTGCTTCTCTCAGCAATGCAGGCAAAGGCCGCGTGTTGGTCACCAGATCTTCTCGCCCCAGTCCCTCGCTAGTACCTTTGCGGTCTCTGAACAGGGACCACACTCGATCTTTTGCTTCTTCTCGGGAATCAGCTTCGGTAGCATCATCCTCCGGCCAGTCTAGTGGGAGCAGAGCAGCCCTCGGTCTCTCGTTGGCCCTCCTCGCCGGTGCGATAGGAGGGTACCTTGTTGCATCGGATCTTCAGCTAGAGGCAGGAGCTCGGAGTACATCTCCAGAGCCTTCAACCCCTCCAGCCTCCTCAAATTTTTCCCAAGCTCTCTCACAGCTCAAGCAGCACTTTGCAGACGAACAAGACTGCGTCTCCACCGAGCCAACTGATCTGGAGGCCAAGGGCTTCTCCCTCTGGTGTCAGCACGATGCATCTCTCCCCCAAGTTGTCGTCTACCCTACGTGTACAGACGATGTAGTAGCAATTGTGAACATTGCCAGGGAGAATGGTGTTGCCCTTGTTCCTTTTGCTGGAGGTACATGCCTCGAGGCTCACTGGTATGCTCCTAGAGATCCCAAGACGGGGGAGACGATACCGACCATCTCGATGGCCTTTGAGAGGATGGACGCCCTCCTCGAGCACGATGAAGACAGTGGATATGTACGTGTACAGCCGGGACTGGGATGGCAAGATCTCAATGAGGATTTGAAGTCTAGGGGTTCCAAGCTCTTCTGGCCTGTAGATCCCGGGCCGGGGTCGGCATTCGGCGGTATGCTCGCAACGGGAGGCAGTGGGACAGGAGCAGTACGTTATGGCACTATGAAGGGAGATCTCATTCTCAATGTGACAGTCGTTCTGCCGTCGGGAGAGGTCATCAAGACGAGGTCTGACGCCCGCAAGTCGTCCGTAGGGCCCGACCTGACAAAGCTCTTCCTCGGCTCAGAGGGCACACTGGGCGTCATCACGGAGGTGACGCTGCGCTTGGTGCCTCGCCTCAAGGAGAGCGTCGTCACAGTGGCATTCGACTCAGTGGATCAGGCTTGTCGTGCCTCTCAAGCCATTCTCAATCACGGTGTGGGGGTCTCATCCATTGAGCTGCTCGACGATGTGATGCTCAAGGCGATCAACTTTGCCTCCAAGCCCGATCCACCGCACGCCGAACGTCCCTCGCTCTTCATCAAATTCAGTGGGTCAGATGTGCACACCAGTGAAGACCAGCGTCTGACACGAAAGCTGGTAGCAGAGCACGGCGCCGATCTATCCACCTTGCGCACCTCACGAGACGAAGCAGAAGTGGAAGCTCTTTGGGAATCGCGCAAGGTGGCCCTCTGGTCTGCCATGCAATATCGAGGCGAAGGAGCCCGCTGTTGGACGACAGACTGCTGTGTTCCCATTGCTCGACTGCCAGACTATATGAAGCAGGTCAAGGAGGATTTGGCGAAGAGCAATCTTGTCGCGCCGATCGTCAGTCATGTTGGAGACGGCAACTTTCATGCGCTCATCGTGTACAAGGACGGAGACAAGGAGGAGTTTGCCAGGGCAAAGGACGTGGTTCACAGAATGGTGCATCTAGCGCAAGACCTTGGAGGTACGGCCACGGGCGAGCACGGCGTGGGACGGGGCAAGCGAGAGTATTTGGAGCGAGAGCTTGGCCCTGGTACGGTGCAGTTGCTGAGGAGCATCAAGAACATGCTGGATCCCACTGGGTTCATGAATCCGGGCACTCTTTTGTTGCCCGAGGGAGGAGATGTGGCTACTCATGCTCACTGATGGGACAGGTGTATTCACACAATACCATTATCTCTCGTCGTGTCAGTGGTCAGTCTGTCGCCTATCATAGCGGAGCACGGCTCACCGTGCAGGATTGAGCGTTCCGCCTCCACATGCCAAGTCCCGCCTGCCATCCGTAAACTGCATCTCGCTGTCTCCGCATCTCAGTCCCACTCTCTCCCTTGCACTACTATCAGCTCATCAAGTCTTGTCAGATATTCTCCATCAAAGATGACGCTACCACCCACAACATCAGCCTTGGCCATCGTACCAGACGTGACCGTTGCACAGCTCATCGGTTCCGAGCCTGTCCCACTTGCCTACGGGCAGCTGCGACTGGAAGAGGTGAGCTCCAGCAGCAGTTCCTCTACCTCTACCTCTACTTTGGATCCCACCAGCACACCGGTCACGGCCTCTGCTGCCGCTACCTCCGCCTCTGAGCCTATCCTACTGGTGCGCGTGGGGGAGAAGGTCGTCTTTCCCCTCTATGCACACACCATCTTCGGTACACACGCAGACGAAGAGACATGGTATACCTTTGACTTGCCACTACCGCCCGTCGAAAGCAGTGCCTCTGCCCCCTCGTCGTCTGTCCCTTCGTCTTCGACCGAGCCTGCGGGAGATGCTCAGTCCAAGACTTGGGTAAGGCTGGTTCTACCGCCCCTGTCCACCCCTGAAGTCCTCTCTGCTCGAGACACATTCGAGGACGCACTCATTGCCCGCTCTCTACTCCTCTCTGGCGTGCGCGCCGCAGGTGATGAGCTAGGCTCCTCGGCCACCGAGACTGGGACATCTCTCTCCTCTTCTCTCTCGCAGGCAAGCCAATCACACATCTCTACCACCTCGGCAGACGGTGCGGGCGAGGGAGCTTGGAAGTTTAGCAGGGCCAGCCATCGTACCTCTGAGAGTGTGCTGAGGGGTAGCCAGGCCCTTAGTGGTGCAACGCAGACTGCTGCTGAAGCCATGGCTGGACTAGCCACGGCTGCTGGAGGAGCCCTTGGTTCGGCCTACCAGAGCATCGCGGGTAGTTTCGGTGGTGGAGCTTCTGCAAGCAGTGCAGAGGACCAACAAGCGGCGAGCGACTCTCGTGTGATGCCAAACACCCGCGATGCCCTCTCCGACGCCTTCAATGGTGCCTCCTCTGGTGCTTCCTCGCTGTACAATACCGCCACGACGGAAGCGCCTCGCTTTGTTCAACACAATGCGGGCGAGGAAGCAGCCAAGCTTGCAAACGAGGTGGGACAGACTGCTTCGAATACCGGCGGAGCACTGGTGGATGTGACGCTGGGGACAAGTACGATCTTCCATGGAGCTCAGGCTGCTAAGGGTGCTGCTGGAGCTGGGGAGACAGAGGAGGCAAGTAAGGGTGAGGCAAGTACGAGCTAGATGGCAGAGTAAAAAAGAAGTCATTGAAGGATAGAGATAGGCAGGGGCATGCGCATGTTTTGCCACACTCCGCGTAAACATAGATCGCCCGGATGGGTCACATTGATACTGAAGTCAGTGACCAAAGAGTTTGCATTGATGAAACGCAATCGTGCGTTGATTGTATACCATTGTTGACGACGACGAGGATCCCATATCATGAACACCACGTCACCGCACCGCCTCTATAATCACACTCCACAGCCCCCTCGCCCTCGTCGCCAAGTCCCTGGCAAAGGCAAAGTGGTGCAACCCACCCACAAAGCCGTAGCTCTCCGGTCCGACGGGATAATCCACGGGCGCTGGGATGCTCGTCCTGATCAGGGAAAAGAAGCGGTCCTCCACTAGCGCTTGAGGATAGCAGAGAGCTTGTAGCCCCTCGGGACCGGCGAAACGGCCGAAGCCACTACAGTCAGTGGGAGACGTGGGTTTAGACAAAAACTTGGTCAGTTGCGGCGGGTGCGACTACTGGGAAGCGGCGTCTTCACTCACGAGCTCTTGGTGCCACCGAAGGGCAGAGCCTGATTGAGATAGCTGACAGCGAACTGGAGTTGGCGAAGGAAGAGAGGGATCAAAGAAAAGCTCCTCATCAGCCTCAGGCCAGCGACCTCGACTTTTCCTCGAATCTTACTCACATCGTTGACATTGACCATCCCACTGACCATCCGACTTTTGACAAAGTCAATCTCCCTCTTGTCGTTACCAAAGACTGAAGATCCCAATCCCATACTGGTCCCATTGGCGATATCAACAGCTTCTTGCGTCTCCTTGAAGGCCAAGATGAGGAAAACGGGTGCAAAGAGCTCCGTCTGGGCAATGGGCATGTCAGCCGTGACACCAGAGATGACCGTGGGTTGAAAGTAGTGACCTGCTGGCCACTTGGGATGCGAGAGCCTCTGTCCCCCTGTGTGAATAGTAGCGCCTCGCTTGACAGCATCCTTGATTAGTCCCTCGAGCCTGTCAAAACCGACATTACTGATCATTGCTCCGAAGTCCACACGCTCGTCCCCAGCGCCCTTTGAAGCGACTCCCTCCCATCTTCCCTTGGGCGTGTCCTCTAGCCACGATCCACACTGCAGCTTTTCTGCCCGCGGGACAATGATGGCAAGCAACTGTTCTACGAGAGACTCGTGGACAACAAAACGCTCTATGCCGATACAGTTCTGGCCAGCAGACTGAAAGACGGCTCGCATACAGACACTGGCGATATCTTTGACCTTTGTCGACTTGAGAAGGACGGCCGGGTCCTTGCCGCCAAGTTCGAGTGTAACGGGCGTGAGATTAGCAGCGGCGTCCACCATGACCTTTCTGCCGACTCCCTCACTTCCAATGAAGGTGATGTGCTTAATGAGGGGGTGCTTGGTCAGATAAGGAGCCAGAGGAGGATGGACCAGGACGAGGGTGACGAGACTGGTGGGAAGCTTCAAAGCCTCGAGGATACGGTGGAGACATTGCACATAGTACGTTGTGGAAAACGCAACGTTCTCACTTGGCTTGACAATGACAGCATTCCCCGAGGCTAAGGCGGCCAAGATAGGGCCTAGAATGTTGTGGAATGGGTAATTCCAGCTGACGCTTGCTAGCAGTACGCCCAGAGGCTTCCAATGCACAGTCGACTTCTTGTGAGCAATGAGCAGATTCCCATTGGGCCTCGACTGTGGGCGCAACGTCTTCTCTGCCGACTCGATGAGAAATTTCACCTTTGATGAAGTGGTCAAGATCTCTCCAAAGAATGCATCTACAGCCTGCGGGATAGTGGTCGTGAGTCAGTTGCAGCATTGCGCACCTTTGCAGCCTGCCGAACTCACTGTCTTTCCAGAATCGCGGCAGGCTACCCGAACGATGATATCTTGGTCGTTGATGACCCATTCACCGATACTCTTCAACAACTTCCTCCTGATGGTCCAGCTGCTGTGCTGATAGCTCTCTGCGGCTACAGTAGCCTCCTGCAGCTTCCTGTCGATGCTGTCTGTGGTGTCGGCCTCGAAGGTCCCGAGATGATAGCCGGTGGAGGGATCAAAGGATCGAATCTGCGTACCCGCCTTGTCGCCCTGGGCAAGTACCTCAGTCGTGTCGAGTATCTTTCCCTTCCACCCTGGCTGAACTTGTGGCGGAATTGGGTGGTATACCAAGACGGGCTTCTCTTGATTAGGGGCGATGAGCTTGGGAAGGATGTAGGCTGCAAGAGAGACGATGAGGGTGGGAAGAAGAAGTCTGACGTCGGCTCCGAGAATGGTGGCCTGAGGATGCCATGGTGACCCGTCCGGCGAGTCGAAAAGACGCTCCATGGTGAGTAGTCTGCAGAAGGAAGAAGAGGAGGGAAGGGAATGGTATCCAGGACAGGAAGAAGTGAAGGGCAACCAACACTCGCCCTGTTCCACTCCCGCACGCGCCCATGCACTCCCGCACTCCACGCTCCGCTCCTTCCGCTCCGATGCAGCCGCCCACGCACCCGCCCACCTCGGAAGGAAGGAACAGCCGCCTGCTACTCACCACGACGTGCTACCCTGATAACCCACCATCATCTCGTATCGTCTGACGCTCCCCCTCGTCCACACTTGACCGATGTCGCTGTTCGGAGGCTCCACTTTCGGCGCCGCCCGCCCAACGACCTTTGGCGGCGCAGCGACGACGACGCAGCAGTCGGCGCAGGACAAGGACATCGAGGTGTCCCAGCCGCCCACAGATGGAGTGAGCTCATTGAGCTGGAGTCCAGTAGCAGACTTCCTTGCCGTCAGCTCGTGGGACAATAATGTGAGTGTACATCATAAACGGGCTGGCTAAGGAGCTGCATCGCAATGGTCCTCTCCCTCTTTTGCTGACGCTGGATATCCCACACTCTCCCCCCAAGGTTCGGGTGTATGGCGTGGAAGGCAATGGTACGACATCACCCAAGGCGATGTACTCACATCAAGGACCCGTGTTAGACGTGTGTTGGTCAAAAGTGAGTTCGAGTCGTCATTAGGCTCCACAGACACAGATCAAGTCTGAAATGCTCATCACTTGTATCGCTCTTCTGCTTCGGCCAGGACGGTAACAAGATCATATCGTGCGGAGCAGACAAGGCAGCCAGGCTATACGATGTATCGACGGGACAACAATCACAAGTGGCTGCTCATGATGCTCCCATCAAAAATCTCAGGTGGATTGATCAGAATGGTGGGATACTCGCGACCGGGAGTTGGGATAAGACTGTCAAGGTGAGCAGGAGCAGCGAAGCGAAGGAGAGAACGACTGGCAAGCCTCCTTTCTCACATCTTCTTTTGCTTCGGCACTGTTACAGTACTGGGATTTGAGACAATCACAGCCAATTGCGACTGCTCAGCTGGCTGAGAGGTGTTACACAATGGACTTTGCCTGGCCATATCTGGTAGTGGGATGCGCAGAGAGGAAGATACAAGTCTTTGACCTGAGTCAAAACCCAAGCAACGCCATAATGGTGAGTGATTCGAAGCCGCTGTTGTATAGCTCCTGCAGCTGTATATTCAGCTGCCGCTGTGACTCTGTCACGGTCGCTAAACGATGTCGTATTATCTCTCTTTCACCGGCTCTCCCTGCGATAGACGATCGACTCGCCCCTGAAATGGCAGACCAGAGTAGTGTCCTGCTTCCAGAGACAAGACACACAGCCAGCGCCTCCGGGATACGCTGTGGGATCCGTAGAGGGGAGGGTAGCCATCCAATATGTCAAGGAAGAGAACAAGAAGTGAGTCGAGGCAGTGTGCCAAGTCAAGGCTTCTCTGGTTCACTAATACTAATAATGTTCCCTCCTTCTCTCTCTCCTCCAGTCTCAACTTTTCCTTCAAGTGTCACCGCAAAGACGGGCCCACAGCCCGCGACCCACAACAGCTGTTCCCAGTTAACGCAATCAGCTTCCACCCCATCCATGGCACCTTTTCCACCGCCGGCGGGGACGGCTCCATCTCCTTTTGGGACAAGGATTCCAAGACGCGTCTCAAGACCTTTGAGTCTAAAGGGGCACCCATTAGCGCTACAGGTTTCAATCACAATGGAACCATCTTCAGCTATGCGGTCAGCTATGACTGGCATAAAGGATGGCAAACGGCTCCTCCTGCTGGGACGCCGAATCAGATTTTCCTACATGCGTGCAAGGACGATGAGGTCAAGAGGAGGCCGAAGAAGTAGATGGAGCGTTCTGGGGGTTAGAGTTTCTGAGATGAGGGAAGGGACGCTGGGGCAGGAAAGGGCAATGGAGAATTCTCCCTTTGTACGGTCCGATGATTCGATTTGCATACAGACATACATACCAGTCTACGGCTAGCCTTGAAGCACTACCTGTCTGCCTGCCTGCCTGCCTGCCTGCCTGCTTCACTTTCTCGACCATCTTCCCTCTGCGACGGCATCTAACGGTGTAGAGACATTGTCCCCTTCCCCCCAACTTGTGCTGTGCGAGCGACGTGGGTGGGTGCATAGGTGCATATGTGCATTGATTTTTGCCTTTTGGTGGTTCAAGTACAGAGGGTGACCCGGAATTTCATTTCTTGCTTTTCCCCACGTCGCCGCCGCCGCTGCTGCTGCTGCTGCTGCTGCTGCTGATCCTTTCTTCCTTCCTTTCTTCCTGCCCTCCTTCTCTTCCTTGCCTTCTGGCGAGTTTTGTGGTGACCCTGCCCCTTTCGTTCAATGTCATATTGAAGCATATCATCTCCACATTCACATCTCGACGCTTTCCCCACTCCTGCTGAACCAGCCTCTGCGTTTCCCCCCTTCCTTCTCGTCTCTGTGCCCGCTCCTTTCTCTCCGAAGTACCGTATAAGCTCCTTAGGCAGCAGGCCTGTCGGCAGCATCGTCGACGACGACGGCGCTGTCCTCGTTTGTGGAAGATGTCCTGCGCTCCTTTTCTGACTCCAGCTGGGTGTACAGGAGGAACAGAGCCTAGGGAGTCGATGAAGCAACAGAGAAGAAAAACGAGGGTCAGACTACATATGCTAAACGCATCTTCGGTCAATGACCGACCGCGCGGCTCCCGAACGAACTCACCTTCTCGTTTGCCTCTGGCGTTCCCTGAATGGTGAACATCCTCTCGCCAGAATCATCGTGGGCCACCTTTGCAATGGAGATTCTTGATCCACTCAGACGCCTAATCTCGGTAATCTTGCTTCCACCCTTTCCGATGATGCAGCCGACCATGTCGGCGGGGATAGAGATGTTCTGCGTGCGCACATTGGCCGTGTCGACAATGGCAGGGGGCGCTGAGCCAGGTGAGGTAGCGGCAGCGGACAGGCCACCGCCAGGAGTAACGACAGCGCCGGCGGCAGCGGCTGCTGCGTCGCCAGAGATGGCGCCTCCGTTAGAAGGAGAAGCGGCCTTGCGGAAGCTTCCTGCAGCGGGGGCACCGAAAGAGCCGTTGCTGCCGGGCAGAGCTCCTCCAGGTGGTTGACGTCGGCCGGCGGTGAGGCTGAGCCCGGCCATGGCGCCAGCCAGGTAGCCCGGACCGCCCGATCCGGAGGACCTTCGTCCACCTTGTGGTTGCAATCCGCCAGCTCCTCCTGCTGCGAGAACACCAGCTCCCTCGGTGTGGCCCGGGTGATACAGCACGGTTCCCTGTCCACGCTCCCAGTCCTCCTGCAGACACTTTGCGATCTCGTAGACGGCGACCCGGATGGCCTCGGTAGTACCTTGCACCTCCACTACTCGCTCGGTAGACTGAGGGAGCATGTCCTTGGATGCCACCATGCGGGCTCCGGAAATGTCTTGGATGTGCTTGATCTTGAGTCCCTGACGGCCAATGACTGTTCCCATGAGGTTGTGTGAGATCAAGAGACGGACCGAGGTGACGGCATTGGGGGGTGGGGTGACGGGTGAAGCGGAGGGGTCGGCAGCGGTGACTGGGTTCTCGAGAATGGTGTGACCAATGAGGGAGTAGGCCTGCGGGGAGAGGATGGGACAGACCGTGAAAGTCTCAGATGGATGCCTTGAATGCGACATGCTCTGTCTACCCGTCTGCGTGCCTGTCCCTGCAGTTGCAACTCACCTGGGCAACGCCTTCCAGGGTACCGCTCACACTGAGCACTCGGTCATGAACTCCCTGTACGACTTTGCTGACGCCTGCCTTGACGCCGGTCTCTTCGCGCAGGTGAGCAACATTGGCCCCTCCCTTTCCGATGATGACACCGGCCTCCTTTGTGGAGACGAGTGCCCTGACGGTGAGTTGAGTAGAAGGATCAAAAGCTGGCTGTGCATTGGCGGCTCCGGGCGACTTTACACCGTCTTCATTGTTGGCGTTGCTGACGATGCTAGGAACAAAGTCTGCGGCTGCTGCGTCTGGAGTGGTCGATGACATTGCGAGGGGCGGCAGTGGTGGGTGGATGAGGGGTGGGTAGAGGCGGAGCGTGTGCGGTGTGAAGGGGGAGGGCGGATGGAGCCGAGGGAGGCTGTGAGAGGCGGCAGGGTGGAGCGAGTAGGAAGAAGAGAGGGGGAGAAAGAGAGACGGCGGAAAGGTGGTGACGGCGCTTGGGCGTACGAGACGGGGCGAAGACGACGACGACGACGAGTAGAGGCGATGGTAAAGGTGAGAAAGGGCAGGAGTGGTAGGACGACCAAGGGCGAGGAAGAAGCCCAGACTGCCCAGGCCAGGCCGGGTGAAAGCTGCTGCTCCCATCGGCTCTGCACTCCACGCAGAAAAATAGACTGCGCGGGGTCACTCCCTCGTCACCTCAACCAGCCCACCCCCGCTTCAGGCCTTGCTACCAGACGTGGAGCTTCAGCAGCCACAACGAGCAGAGTGATGGTCAGGCAACGTCGGCAGGGGCACGTCCAACATAATCATTTTGGTTGGCATAGCTTGTGCCATGGTACGCGCAGCAAAGGGAAATGGCTATAATAATTACCCACGCGGCAATCTCTCTCCACACTCCACTGACACTGACGCTCGTGTGACTGAGAGTTGTAGACGATGCCACCCAGCATGGCCGCCTTCCATTGTGATCATGAGAATGTTATCCATCTTATTCCGAGCCTCCTTAGCGTGCGATTCGCCTCGGGATTGTGCCCACTATCCATCTACCCTGATCACCCCAGCCAGCTCGGGAGATCTCTACTTTTAATGCGGGGGCAGTGGAAGCAGCCCTCGGAGCGGAGACGAGACGCCCAGACGGGGCGGAGGATCAAAAGTGGCAGGGGTGGCAGCCACCAGCCTCCGCTCCGTCCCGCACGCCTCTTCTCACACGCTCAGGTCAAGCAAGCAAGCAAGCAGGCAGGCAAAGGTACCACAGACCAGGCAGGCCACACCAGACCAGCCCCGTCATCATCATCATCAGCAGCTCAACTTGGTGTCGACGACAGACGACGACAGACTTGCAGCCACAAATCTCCACGCCACGCCCATGCTTCGCAAGCCGCAACATCCTTGAAGGCGTACCCCCTTCTCCCACATTATCATCAGTCACCTCGTCGCAAACCCTTCGCATTGCACTCGGCGAAGCAGCGCAACTGTACAAGACTCAGACCTCCATATCGAGCGTTCGACTTTAGGCAGATCCTTCGTCTGTATCTGCTGCTGTACATCTGATGCAAGAGCCGGGACCCTCCGGCAGCGGTCAGCGGCGCGATGAAGGCCTGGGCCAAGGCCATTCATCCTCCCTACATGCCTACGATGGTACTCAGCATCCCCCCTCTCTCCCTGCGAAGCAAGACTTGGGCGCGCAAAGCTCGCCTAGCTCTGCAATTGCCATCCTACCTCAACAAGATGCTCAGCAGGCGCTTCAGCGGCCTCTTCCGCCAGTACGCAAGCGCAAGAAACTACCAGGAGGCTCAGACAGTCCGAAGTCTATCCTCAAGCCAGCTCCGCCTCCGCAGAAAGCCTTCTCTTTTCGCCGAGATATCCTACAGTCTCTGAATACACGGTTGGCGCAACAGGGCGTGAATGTTCAGGTACCGCTGCCACAGAGTGGAACAGCACAAGGAGCAGCCAATCTCATAGGGGGTGTCTTCAAGAGGCTCGGAGGGATAGCAGGGGCGGCATTGGCAGGTCCTACAGGCGATTGGCCGAACAACGATCAGTCGGGTGCGCAAGGGAGTACGGAGGGTCAAGTCCAGCAGCATACCTCTCCAGCCGCCGCTTCTCTGCAGAGCGTTGCTGCCAGAGCACAACAAGCATCGCCTACTGCCAGCAGGAATGGCGACGCCGCTCGCTCACTCGCAGCGACAGATGGCTCAACTTCATCTACCTCCTCTACCATCTCTGCATCTTCGGGCCTCCCTGTCCCCTCGTCTTCGGCTGAGCCTTTGAAGCGGGTCCAATTTACAGTCTCGAAGATGTCAGTCATCTACCCCATATCAGGCGCAATAGCCCCAGGCGACGAGGATGAGACTCGCAAAAGGATCGAGCATCTACACAGACAGACAATGAAGGAGAGAAAAGGCAGGGCATGGACGCCGAACGAGCTTGAAGCTCTGTATCGGCAATGCTGCAAGATACGAGAAGAGTTTCCGCTCAAGAAGATGCGCCTTGTCTTCGAAGAGGCAGCTCAGCAGACGCCCCCCTCCCTCAAGACTCTCGACCTGTCGTTCTTGCCGCTGGATAGGCAAGCTATAGACCCACTGGCCGACTTCTTGAGCGTAGATTTCGGATTGGAGAAGCTCCTCCTGGAGAATTGCGGGCTGAGCGATGATGGAGTCAAGGCTCTTTTGCACGGGTTGCTGATCTCCGGAACCTTGCCAAATCTCAGCTTGGCCAGCAATCGCAAAATCAAATACCAAGGCTGGCGCTACGTGTCAATCTTCATGCGGAGAGCAAGAGCGCTGAGGTACCTTGATCTGAGCGAGAATCCCATCAATCGGGCTAGTCTGGAACACATCGCTGAGGCAATTCGGAAGCCAGAGGAAGCTGTCACGAAGCAGCCCAAGGTCAAGGGAGATGGCGGAGCGTCGGAAGCTGTCGAAGCCGATGCCGCTTCAGCCTTGGACATGCCCGATGACCTTGACGAGGATGGAGAGCCCCTGATGCCGCCGGCTGCTCTTCTTCGGCACTCCGCCGACGAGGACAAAGCCCCTCTCACCTCTGCCATCATCTCCTTACGCCTTGAGAATTGTGGATTGAAAGGCCCTCCGCTCAATGTGTTGGGACAGGCTGTACGTACCTCGGACGTTAAGCATCTCAGTCTCAGGCGCAACCGCATCAATCAAATGGGCGCAGTCGCCTTGGCCATCATGCTCAAAGATTACCCTGAATCGTCATCTACTGTCGAGGAGCAGCATGCCTCTGGCCTTCGGAACGGCAGTAGTGAGGCAGAGGCCAGAAGTGAACGCGTCAGTCGCTTGAGCGGCTCGAGCTCGTCCGTCGCGCACCGGAGCTATTCACCCTCGCCTTCTGATGGACCTTCCATCACCTCGAGTCCCGCTGGCGGGATGACCGCCAGGAGGATGCCAGTGGCACGGGATACCATCGACATCGATCAACAATTGACTCGCTCTGAGGAAGAAACCATTCGGATGACAAAGGACCCAGCTTTGACAGAAGCAGAGGCCATCGCGCTGTACCAAGCCAAGAGAGCGAAGAAAATTCTGGCCGGTCTGCCCCGAGTAGGTAATCTTCTGACTCTGGATTTGAAGAGCAATGATATTCGCGGAGGGGTCACATATCTCGCGCAAGTGCTGAGGAAGAACCGCACACTCCGAGTACTCAATTTGAGCGACAATGGCATCGAGATGGGTGGTCTCGTTGCACTCGCTGAGGCCTTGAAGTACAATTCGACCTTGGAAACACTCGATCTGAGCCACAATCCTTGCTCAGGCCCTGGACTTGAAGGCATCACTACTCTGCGCACTGCCTTTGCCCTCAATTCGAATCTCAAGCGGCTCTTCCTCAACGATACAGATCTCTCCTCTGAAGGCGCAATCGCTCTGGCCGAGTTCCTCCCCGAGGCGAAGTCACTCATCCATCTTGACCTTACAGAGAACTTTGACATCGACGTGGCAGGCGTAATGGCGCTTGCCGTCAGTGTGAAGCTGAACAAGTCTCTGCGCTGTCTCGACTTGAACATTCCACCCAATGATGCTGACTTTGCTCGTTTGAGCCAAGAAATCCTCCAGAGCTGCATCCGCAACACACAGGCGGCGCAGAAGAAGGCCACGCTCAAAGGACTCAAGCAGCCCATTGCTGCTCCCATCTACAAGTCCGTCGTGGCGCGGGCGGCAAAGGAGAAGGATGAGCGGCAAAAGGCAATGAGCGCTACCAAGGCTACTGAGCAAGGGTCCACGGCAGAATATAGCAAGCTCGTCGAGGCGGCACAGGAGTGCAAGAATGTCCTGCAAGATCTTCTCAGGGGAGAGGAGAAGAGAAGGAAAGAGGCGATGCCCGATCAAGTTTCAACAGAACCTCCCTCGAAGGTGTTCGTAGACGACCTCGTAGCTCAGGCTCAAAAGTTGCGGACCAAACTGAGCAAAGCTGCTGGTGGGATGGAGGAGGGCGAACTTCTAGCGCAGACCCTACAGGTCAATGACGAGCTGCAAGAAGTCGCCAGTCGCCTCATCGTCTTCTACCGTGAGGCGGCCAGTGCTCGTTCGCCGAAGCTGCCCGGCAGTCGTCGCGAGGCAGCGTCCGGCTCAATGTCAGCCGAAGAAGCTGGATTCTCCTCCTTCTCCATCGGCGATGGCGACGACGATGTCGAAGCCGAGCACGAGCCTCATCCCCTCACTTCCTCCCTCGCAGGGCTTTCCCTCGATGGCAGCACTCCTGCCGGCCCAGGTCTGGTGGCAGAGAAGGAGGAAGAGGTGGGCGAGCAAGACGACTCGTTGGACAATCCAGAGGAAATCAAGGCGCGGAACATGGTGGATGAGGAAGGGGAGATCTTTCGTCGAGCGAGAAGTCTGGGTGTGGGAGACGAAGAAGACGAGGAGGAGGACGAGGAAGAGGAGGAAGGCGGGGAACAAGGAGGTGACAATGGCGAGGTCGACGGAAGCGGTGCAAGCGCCTCTTCTATCAAGAATGCCGCCCAGGCCTCAACATCTGCTTCCTCTGCCTCGCCCTCCACTCGTCAAGCCCCGGACACACCCACCTCTCCCATGTCTCGCCCCACACCTCGGCGTCGTCGCTCCTCCACCTCGTCGAGCAGCCTGAGCAGCACCGGCGCCTCTGACACTACGGCTGCCGCGCTGGGATTGGTGCGCGACGTCGACGAGCATGTGGACGATCTACCCGGAGATGAGCTGCGGAGGAGATTGCTCGAGGTCGATGTGCCTGCTAGGGGAAGTAGCCCACGACCGGGGGCTGGGTCGGGAGCGGGGCCAGCGGGGAATGCGTGAGGTGGAGTGAAGCGGGAAAGCGCATTGGAAGGGAGGGAAAGACAGGCGAGCAGCAGTAGGAATCGAAGATTACGCAGAGATACCATTATAACAATTTCCACACCTACACCTATTCACAAAGAATATACTCAGCACACGATGAGATTATCACCATGATCATCACCATCACCTTCCCGCTGCCTCCTCTCCTTTGCTTTTCCGGCCCTTCTCGCACGGACGGGCTTGGAAGGGGCGGAGAATGAACTTTGGTCTCCACAATCTGTGTAGATTTCTGCCCCCCGCACCAGATTGACACACAGACGGACTGACTCACTCACCGCCACGGCCAGCCAGTCGACTCACTCCTTTGCCCGCTATCACCCACCTACGCCTGGCCTACGAAAGCTTGATAGCGTGCTCCCCTGTGGTCACTCCTCTTTCCTCTCCCCCCCTCTGTCTGTCTGTCTCTCCTTCCTCCTTTGTGCTGACCTCTCACCTCTACCAGCGAGGATGACTATACTAGACGCCCTCTCCTCTGCTAGGCGATACCTTGTCGGTGCCACGATGGGAGAGATCAAATACCATGCGGCGTACTTTGCGCCGCAGAAGGAGATTACTATTGAGGTGAGTGGGAGTGGGAGTGGGACTGGGATGAGTGGAGATGAGAGATGGAGATGAGAGATGAGATGGACTGCGCTGCTCTTGCTGTTCCCTCATGGTGCATTGTAGAGATTATATGAGAGAGAGAGCAACGCCGGGAGTTGGCGCAGCGCTCACTCTCTTGACGACGATGCTGACCGCTACTTTACGTCCCCTACCGCTGCGCCGCAATTTGGCCGCGCCGTCAGTCCATCTATGTCCACCCTATCAAGTCATGCAAGGGCTCACAGGTACAGGAAGCCCAGAGTGAGTCACAACACTTGCCACTGTCACCAGAGGGAGTGAGCTTCTTCCTGGTCACTGACGCCCTCTCTAGCCCACGCTGTGCTCCTACAGTCACCCACGACGGACTCCTCTACGATCGCACCTGGCTCATCGTCGACCGCACCTCGAAGAAATTCTGCACCGCCCGCGAGCTCTCCAAGATGGTCCTGATCAATCCACACATCGACCTCTCTAGTGGGAAATTGATCATCGATGTACCCCTCACCGAAAAGGGAAAGGGAACAAAGAGGGTACAGACTGACTTGGATCCGACGCGGGAACAGTTGGAGAAGATGGAATTGGTAGAGGGGATTAGTATCTGGAACCACACGGTGGATGGATACGTGGTTAGTGAAGAGGTGAATGAGGTGTTGAGCGAGGTGAGTAGGCGACAGTAGGCATAGGGGTCAGGCAGCAGACACGTTGATACTTTGAACCCGCCGGACTGACTTTGTCTTTGGTCATCACTCCGGCAGTTCTTTGGAAAGTCAGTGATGCTGGTCAGGAAGGGACCGCTGGACAGACCATCAGGACCAGACGATAGAAGAGACCGCCCGACATTGAACTACCAAGGTGAGTCACATGGCATCATGTGCATTTATCGCAGGACAGTCCGCTGACGATAAAAATCCCGACAAAGACTTCTACCCCCTCCTCGTTGCTACCCAGGCCTCACTCAAGCACGTGCAGCAGACACTGGTCAAGAGCGTGTACCCTTCCATGTCTCCGCAGACAGAAAACGCACCAGTGGACCCCAATGACCGAGCGGCGCAGATTGCTCATGTAGAAATTCCAGCAGTAAGAGTACCCGACAGCGTCTCAAAGGAGTACTGGACCCGTGAGTAGTATGGAGAGCTCAGTCGATACAAGAACAAGAGGAAACGGAGGAGCTGATAAGGTCTTCACTCGTATGGCTTCCCCCTGCAGCGGAACAGCTAGAGACTCTTGAGATTACACGCTTCCGCCCAAACATTATCCTCAAATCGACACCAGCTGGGGACATGCCTGCTCTGGCGCCCTGGGAGGAGGATGGCTTCGTCGAGTTGGAGCTCTTCGATGCCGAGGAGGGGCACGACGGTGGTGAACCGCCATTCGGGGACTCGGCGAAGGGACAGGGCAAGCTGGGCATCAGCTGCATGGCTCGAGCTGGCCGATGTCTAGGTGAGTCGATCTCAAACACAGCGGTTGTACATCGCATCGACTGATCCATCGCATCGACTGATCCATCGCATCGACTGATCCATCGCATCTTCGACAGTTCCCAACATCGACCCTTCGACAGGCAACAGGGACCCACATATCCCTTACAAGCCGATGCAGAAGTATCGCCAAGTCGATGAAATCTACAATAAGATGGGCAAGCCATGCTTTGGCGTTCTGGCAGCCTTGAAGGAAGGCACAGCGAGGAAAGGTGTGTACTGACCATGCCGCGGGACTAGCTGATTGGAAGGGAGCGCTGACTGGCTTGTTCCACTGCTTCTCTCCCTGTCCCAGGCGTCATTCGAGTAGGCGACATAGTCAGAGTGACCGAGACGACCGATCCGGCGCAGAGGAATGCGACTCCAAAGCCCTCTTGAAGTGTCATCCCATCGACTCGAAGAAGAGCAAGTCGTCCTTAGTCATAGGGCCGCGGCTCTGAGACGGCTGTGCAGCAGAAGAGGAGGCCGGCGGCCGAAGCGGTACAGCGCCTGCACCGCTCTGTGTCGGCGGAGGCCTATTGGGCGGGAGGGGCGTGCTTAGGAAATCAAATGTCGGCACAGACGAAGCTGACGCCATTGCTAGAGAGCTTGAGGAAGAAGATGACGACGGACGAGCAGCGATTTGCTGTGCCACACTCGGGCTATACCGACCCGACGGCGGCGGTGGAGGTGGGAGGAGGACTGGTCGCTTGCCCGCACTGGCGGACCTGTTGAGTGTGGTGTTCGAATGCGAAAGGAGTTGCACGGCGGGACGCACAGAGGAGGGACCGTTGGAAGCAGGCCGCAGAATGGGAGGGGAAGAGAAGGAAGACGTGGGCTGTCTGGCCACACTGTTACTGGCTGCCGCATCTAACCAGGACCAGTCGTCAGTGGCCGTGCTGGCGGCAGTGGTGGCACAAGGTTCGTCTCTATACGGAGGGGTAGAAGTAGCAGGACGAGGAGGCAGGACTTGCTGCAATGAAGGCTTTGCGCGACTTGTAGACGCGACTGACAGAGAATCGAAATCGAAGAGATCATCGATACTGCTGTGGTCTTGCTTCCCTGTCCGAGGTGGCTGCTGGTGCTGTTGATGATTGGCGGAAGATGGCGGTGCGCTAGCGAGCCAGTCCAGGCCATCTGCATCAATGTCGCCTGTGGGTTTCGCTGGCGCAGGTTGCGCCTCGGCGGCTGCTGGTTTCCTCCATCTTCCCCAAAGCCTTCCAACAGCTGAAGGCTGCGCGGATGTGCTGGCTGACGGAGTATCCTTTGATCCCTCAGCCTCGACCTCTTCGCCCAGCAGATCGGGGAGGTTGGGCTGCGCTACCACCGATCCCTTCATCTCGCCACTATGGGAACCTCGCGCCTTGTTCACCCCTGCCTGTTCTTCTTCGTCCTCCGAATCCTCTTCATTGCCTCGAACGACATTGTCCGAGTCTTCCTCGCGTCCTCGTGCGCCCCTTTGAGAGATCCAGCCTCCCACAAAGCCGGCAAGAGCAGAGGGGGCGGGCTTCTTCTTCATCTCCCATCCTTCGCCACGCGTTTGTTGGGCCACAGCCAATTGCTCCGTCGAGGGCTTTGTCACCGGAGTCGTTACAGTCGAAGTTGAAGGTGCTGCGGGACCAATCGAGGATGTCGAGGCTGGAGTACTCGAGAGACGAGGAGCTTTAGCTGAGAGGGAGGCCAGAGTCTCTCGCGCCGTGCCGAGAGAGAAGGGCGAGGCTTTAGTGACGTCCTTTGGCGTGATGTCTCCAACGTTGACAGAAGAAGCCGGTTGTGCAGCTCCGTTCGACTGCTCTGGAGCCTCCGCTGCCGAGGAGGATGCTGACCGCTGTGAACCTCGTATCCTCGCGGCGAAGGCAGCGTCAATGTCCGTCATTGGCTCGCCAGCATAAGACGGAGCAGCGACCGCCGATGTGGACCAGTCCGCCCTTCGTTCGTTCAGCGAGTCGATGCCGGCAGACTGAGCTACCAGTCCGATGCCGCCTGTGCTCCCCCATGTCACAGCAGCATGCTCCGTCGGCTGCCATCCCTCTTCCACTGGCTCGCTCCTCCAGCCCTGAGATGCGCTAGTGTGCGAAGCTTCTGTAGCAGTACGCCGTACAGGATCAGCCCAGGGATCGGCAGTGTCGTCTACAGGCCCAATGTGGCCCTCTTCTGTCTCTTGCGGTGCATGAACATCATGCGAGGTAGAGGTGGCTGCTGCTGCTGCTGGCTCCTCCCGCTCTGCACGCCAGCCGCCCGACCAGGGTTGAGCGTTTCGGCTTTCAGTGGGCGAACCCTGCGACTTGGCCGCACTGCCCTCCGCTACGGTTGCTCTTGGTGTTGCAGGGACTGCCCATGGGTCGATCTCCGGCGTGGCGGCACGAGGGGGTGGCGAGGCAATGGGAGGCGATGGGGCACGCGGAGCATCCTGCACAGACGTTGATGTTGCCGCAGCGTCTTCTTCGGCCCATGGCGATGCCCAGGGGTCCATGGCCTGAGTCAGGAAGGGTGCGAGCGATGGAGATGCTTGTAGACTATGCGGACAATAGGAAGTAATCCTGGGCGAGGTGTTGGACTGGCGGGGCGGGGAAATGCCATGCGCCTCTTTCCGTGTGCTCCTCGTCGCGCACTCACATTTTGCTCCACTGCCGCCCATCTTCCCGGGGGATGATGACTTTACGAGGTGCCATACAATACCAGTGATACCCAGCCTGGAACCTCTCCCCTCTCTCCTCGTCGACGATGTCAGGCCTCTCCATTCCAGGCCTCTGTCCCATCTATCTCCCCGGCAAGGAGCCCCTCCCACCCGGCACAACCGACGAAGATCGTGCCAATCTCGCACAAATCCAATACTATTCCAAGCTCACTTCGGGATTCATGGAGTCTTGCCCAGCAAAATGCGCCCTCTCCGGCGTAGCTGGATTTGGACTAGGCGGTCTCTTCTCCCTCGTATCGGCAAGCTTCGCAGTGGATGATCCGATGCGAAGGAGTAATCTACAGGCAGCAGCTATGGCTGCACAACCCGGTGTGCCGCCCCCACCTGAATTGACGACGATGCAGCAGACGGGACAATTCTTTAGAGAGACGGGAAAGAACATGTATAGGAGCGCAAAAGGATTTGGAAAAGTGGGAGCATTGTACGCTGGAATCGAGTGCTGTATAGAGGCTGTGAGTAGTGGAGGGTTCAGCAGGGGAAAAGATGTAGAGCTTGCTCTCCATGGGTCTGGAGAGCTCATCATCTCCAACGGACTCCTCCCCCTCCTCCGTCTCCACTCGCAGTACAGAGCAAAAAACGACATTGTCAACCCCGTCACGGCGGGCTTCGCAGCAGGGGGTATCCTCGCTCGCAATTCGGGACCTCAAGCCATCATTGCAGGAGGAGCAGCCTTTGCGGCCTTTTCTGCCGCCATTGACCTGTATATGCACAAGGAGCCAGCAGAAGACTACTGAATCAGCTCCGTCCAAGGCTTGAAACAGACGAGCAAGAGAAGAGAGATGGAGAGGCTATGCGGAGCTCATACATTGTACTACTAGACACGCAGCCTCTTTCACACAAAGGCGGGAAATGCGTTGTATTATTCTATTTTCATCGCCATTCCCACCTCTCCGCTTCGCTTGCTTCAAGCGACGACTACAAGCGATGTCACCACGATGGCCTGCAGCACAATCGGCGTGTACACCAGGGAGACAATCGGCAGGAAAGCAGTGCCGAGAAAGTACCAGTCGTACATGACCGTGGCCAGAACCTGCTCCACCACGTTGATCTGGACGAGGTCGTCCTTCAGCGAGACCGCCCATGAGGGCGGCAGCAGGTGCTCGAGGTGCGGCGCGAGATGAGCGACTGCCCGAAGAAGATGAGGCAGATTGCACGGTAGCAGTACCAGCAAGAAGCCGAGCCCGGTGACAAATGCAGCCGTCCTTGCTTTTTTCGAGATCTTGTTCGACGAAATTTGCTGGGCAGCGGACCGAGGAACGTGAATAGTATAGAGGGGTATCACGAGTAGCAGCGCCATGACAATTGCAGCGCTGAAGTTCAGGATGCTCAAGATGGCCACTGCCATCCCTGTTTCTAGAAGAGTGAAAGCGTGAATCAGGTGTGCAAGTGCAATAATGTGAGCTTGGGGTCGAGAGGAGGCAGTCGGCAGGGGTACAGCCCAGTAGCGGCCAAAAAGGGCTACAGCGAGGGGTGTCAGCGAGCCGACTATAGATACCAGGCGGAGGGACGAGCCCGTCTGCTGTTGGAGATGGAAAAGAACAGATGTCAGTAAGCAGGCACAATCACGTTGCAGTCCCTCTTCCAGCGTATCCTCACCCTCAAGAGAAGACCAAAAATGACAGCTCCGGCAAAGTGAGAAGCTCCCATGGCCAGCAGAGCCGACGCAGTCGGTCGACTCTGAGCGTCTAGGCTGACAAGCAGCTCTTGTAGCTTGCTCCTCGCCCTCTCTCCTTCTAGACCGCTACTGATCACGATGTGAGCCAGATCTACCTGAAGATCGGCGTGTGTTGGATATTCTAGCGGTAGGTCTACTTGAGGCGGCCAAACATCACCGGAGCTCTGCGAATCGGCGGGGCGCATGCGCCCAGCTGTCCACTCGACAAGGTCAGACTTCCGCTGCTTGGCCTCTCTCCCGGCTTGCATCCAGATGGCGATTCCCATGAGGGTCGATGCGACGCTCATAAGCAGGGCTACAGGGAGGTAGACTCCCAGAGGAATGAATTTGTCCGGCCTTGTGAGGAGGTAGAAGAATTGAGAGTGATGCAGCCGCTCAAGCAGATTGGAGAAGGAGCGCATCATCGCTTCAAGCATCCTACCCAGATTCCAAAAGCCGTATGGGCCCTTTGCTGGGCTAGCATAGACTGTGATAGCGTCCACGTGGAATCTAATAATGCACATTGAGAGAAGCCTGTTGTTCAACGCCTGCAAAGATGGGTCGGAGATCTGCTTGTACTCACCTCTGGAAAAGTCCGTGGATACCACTCGGGTGTCCGATGGCCTGAGCCTTGACCTGCTGCAGCAAGTTGGCAGAGCCCTTTTGGTACTTGGCCACCCCTCTCCAGCCCCACTTCAGATGCTTCTCCAGCCATGCACCAGAGGATCCCCAGGTGCCGCCAGGGGCATCGTCTTCGATGGAATAAATGCCATAATCTCCGGGCAAGTGCACAGGCATGCGTCCCATCCTCTCTGCGATCTTCACGAGGGCATTCAGGACATCCATGTTCGGCAATTGGCCATCTACTCCTTCATGCAGCACCATGAGAGAGGCAAAGCTATCAGACGGATAGTCCACAGCGATCGAATTCCAGACGACGGCACCTGTGCAAGTGAGAGGATCGGCCTCCAAATTGCTCTGCTTTGCTCCAAAGTAGGTGGTGGACCATGCTTGCATCCCCTCCATGTACCCGTCACTGAAGACAAAGATGATATCTTTGCTCCAGTGTGACTGAGAGGACAGGTACTTGGCCAAGGCTAGCACGATTGCATTTCCGCGCACGTTGACACGACGTCCTTCTACAGTCGTGGGCTTTTCGTTGTCCTGTACCGGGTCAGGATCATCAGTGCCGTCCCATCTACTGAGCCAGCTGGCGGCAATGATGACTGCCTCTCGTCCATCTGACCGGCCACTGAGCCAGCGTGCATAGGTGTTGACCCCGGAGGCCGATGAAGTCGAGGATGCGTACGCTGCAGGAACTTCAAAGTCATACTGTTGAGTATGAGGGTCGAGTCCAAACTCCAGGAGCTTGGAAGAAATGTACTCTGCCCGCTGTGTAGCGTCTGCGTACTTTGCCATCTGCTTGATGTCTTTTGCAATCTCATCGCACAGGCCGACCTCATTCCAACCCCAGTAGACATTGGCTTGTGCAGGCTGCAGTGCATTTTCATCGACGTACGTGTTCTTGCTGAAGGGAGGCATTGGGGCAGGCAGCAGAGCTAGCAACACCAGAGCTGAGATGATGAGGGCCGGACGCAGGACAGGCCCAAAGCCCGACAAGACGGCGAGGATCTTGCGTTTGAGGTACAAGCGGCGAACAGCACGATCGGATGATTTACCCTTTTGCTTGTTCGCTTTGACGGAACGTCTACTTGTACCAGGAGATGATCTCCTAGGTGGTGAATTTTCCTCAAGGACCCGACCATTGCTGTAAGATTTCTCGGACTGTTCTTGACCCCTGTGAGATGGTATAGCAGATAGCGAGGCCTCGACGTCATCCTCTTCCTCTGCCACTTCCTCCTCTTCAGCTCCTTGATCTACCCCTGCTTCTACAATTCCGTCGCCTGCTTCCTCTTGGCTATCGGTCAGGTCTTGCTGCGATGAGACCTCTCCAGTTAGCTCTTCCGCTTCTATCTCCTCTATCTCCTCGACTTTCCGGTCGTCCTCGTCAGCAATCTCTTCCTTGATAGTGTCATCAAATGACGAGACACGATGTACCGGAAATGATGGTGTGGGCGTTGCCGAGAGCCTTTGACTTCTGCGTCTTGGTGTTGCTTGCTCGGCATCGAGGTGGGCCTGCCGGCTGTTCTTTCGTCTCCTGGAGGGCGTGGCCGGGGCGCGCTCGGGTTCGATGTCGCTTAAGAGCTCTCTTGACATGGATCGGGTGACGCTCCTGCGCGTCGACCTCCTTGGTGTCGAGGCAGACATGGTGCGGGTGTGCCGTAGCAAGAAGGGGCGAGCCTGGCCAAAGGGGGAATACGAAGATCCGAGGAGTGGCAGCGAGTGGAGCGGAAACAGACGCAGATCACTTCTCCCGCCAAGTCACTTTTCCACTTCCGACGCGACAAAAGCCACAAAGTCACTCAAAAGAAGCGGAACAGCGGGCCACGGGCGAGAATCCTCAAAGGCACAAGGCATCGATCGTCCTCGCAGTCCACTTCACCTCGAACAGCTCCCCCACCACTGCTCGTGCTGCTGCGGGAGACTCATAGATTAGCACAGGCAGACAGTCAGACAGTCCTCTCCTACCTTGGCGCACCTCTGCCTGGGGTCTTCACTCGCTCATGGCCGGCGTCGACCCACGCCGTCGCCGGGAGAACCAAAGACCCTCACCTCCCGCCGCCGGTCCTTCTTCCTGGGCAAACGACAGGCGAGCACCATTGCCAGAAGGACATTTCAGAAGCAACCACCGAGACCTGTCACCTTACAGCCGAAGAGATGCTCCACGCTCACCGCCTTACTATGCGCCATCGTCCTCGTCCTTTCAACCTCGTCAGGCCCCGCGCCAGCCTGAAGTAGCATCACAAGCCGACTCTGCCTCTGATCCACCCTACGCACCTCGAGGCCATTGGGACGACCGGAGGCGCAGCCCGCCACCTCGCCGCTCAAACTTCGACCAGAGCTCTGCAGGCCGCAACCATGAGGACGACCGGCGCTTTTCACGTCGTGAGGACGAGTCGGATCGGCTACCACCCTCGGGCCCGGCCTCAGATCGTCGCCGAGGTTACAATGATCGCTCGACGTCGTGGCGCGAGGTCAGCGCAGATCGCTCCAGACCGTTGCAGAACGACACCTCTCGAGACAGAATCGATCATTCAGTCGCAAGACATGCGGGCAGAAAAGAGGAGACGGACCGCTCAAGACAGCGTGCCTCTCCGCCTGCAACATTTCGTGACCGTGAAGTTAGGCCACCGATCCCGAGCGCAGCCAGAGCAGAGCAGTCAGATGCGTCTACCTCTTCCTCCAAAGGACATCTTCATCAGCGCTCTTCCTCGGCATCTAGTCGACAAACCGACAGCGATGCACGCACTGAAGCAAGACGAGCAGCCTCACGCTCTGCCACCGCCCACGACAAGTTGGCAGGAGGGTTAGTATATGACGACGACTACTCAGCGTCGGAAGCAGATGTACGACCTCGGAACAGCAGGCAAGATGACACCGAGCGACAGTCCAGTAGCGCGAGAAGCCCAGAGGTTGTCGGGACAAGGGACCATAGGGAGCACAGACTGGCTGCCCGGGATTCGACGGCACCAGGGCCTCGAAGTGACGTCGAAGATCGTCACAACGAAGCTCGCCGACGTCATGCTGATCGCCGCGCATCGCCTCCTTCCCGCTCTTGGCGGAATGGCCAGTCGGGTAGGCTGTCCCCAGAGGAAGCAGCTCGTATCCCAACCGGACCAAGAGCCGAACGGAGATTCGAAGCCAGCAACGACAGACCGGCACAAACTAGCGTCAGCTCACAGCCACTCTCGCAAAGACTCGAGGGCCGCTGGGCCCCACCACCACAGGCCCCACGTGGACCTCGTAATTTTGAGATCGATGAGTCCAGAGACGATAGGCGCCACGACCCCCGAAGCAGATACGAAGGTGGTTGGAGCGCCAGCGGAAGAGACGTCCGCCCTTCTGCCAGAGACGAGGGCCCTGCGGGCAGGAGTGGAGTCGATTACAAGCGAAATGACGACCGTAATGCCAGCATGGAGCGCTATGGTAGGTCTGGCGCGACTACGTTCGCACAGGGTCGGTCAGCAGCTTCAAACGCCCGTCCTCCTCCACCTCCCAGTGCCACCGCAGACGCGCTGGCGTACGGATCCGTCAGTCCGGAAGTCGAAGTGCCCAAGGAGAACAACAAGAAACGATCGCGCGACAGTCTCCAGAAGGCGCATTCGGGTCGTAGCGAAGCCCGTGGCCGAGATCGCAGATCACGGAGCGCAGAGGCCGGGCATAGCAGAAGTTCTTCGAGAGATGAGTCGCGGGCTTCCAGACATCATGACCACGATACACATGCCGATGAGCGCCATACGAAGCCGTCGTCTCGCAAGAAAGAGCGTAACGAGGCGACTCCACCGCGCAAAAGACCTCACAAGTCTGACAAGCACTTCGAAAGCAGCCGTGAGAGGGATAGAGTCGTGTCCTCAGATTCTAGAACGCGCCGTAGACGGTGGTCTCAGACGTCGCGTACCCCGATCTCACCTTCGCGCAGCCCTTCACCGGTGCACAGTAGTGCTCATCGTGATTCTGCGGACAAGGGACGCTCGTCCCTGGGAAAGGTGCTTTCGAGAAAGGGCGACGTAGTCGGTGAGAACGCCGGGCAAGCTCAAGGCGAAGGCGAGCGGTCGGAGCAGGATGCAAATCCCATTATGAACGGTCAGTTCAGGGATACGCCGCACTCGACAGCGAGTAGCGCTAGCCAACAAGCTCACGTCGCAGGAGACTCGTCAAGTCAAGAGAAAGCCGCACCCACGAACTCGTTTCTCCCGCAAGATGATCGCTCAGTAACCTCCGCCGTCGTGACCACTGCAGCCGCCACTCCGCAAGCGATACCAGACAACCTTGTGCCAGATGAAGAAGAAGAAGAGGCAGACGAAGTCGATGCAGCTAGCAATCTGGCAGTCGGCCCGCCACGCAGAGCTCTTCCGTCCGAGCTCTACACTCGAATTGCCCAAGTCGGCGAAGGCACCTATGGCCAAGTCTTCAAAGCCAAGTCGGAGAGAACAAACGTTCTGGTGGCACTGAAGAAGATCCGCATGGAGGCTGAGAAGGATGGCTTCCCCATCACTGCAATGCGAGAAATCAAGCTGCTGCAGATTCTGAAGCACCAGAATGTCGTGCGGTTGCATGAGATTATGACTGCTCGAGGTGAGTTGGATAGGTACTCATCTGTGGGGACTGATTTTGACTGACAATATCCGTTCCGTCGTCTGTTCTGACAGGATCTGTGTACATGGTATTTGAGTATATGGAGCACGATCTGAACGGAGTGCTCAATCACCCGAAGGTCCACTTCACCCCGGCTCACCTCAAGTCTCTCGCTTCACAGCTCCTCGAAGGTCTGGGCTACCTCCACCACAAGGCTGTCCTGCATCGCGATCTCAAGGGATCGAATGTACTTCTGAATAATGCTGGCCTTCTCAAGCTAGCCGACTTTGGTCTTGCCCGACTTTACGCCAAGGGTCGCACGGGGGACTACACCAACCGCGTCGTCACACTGTGGTATCGCCCTCCCGAATTGCTCCTCGGAGCGACGCAGTACGGCGCAGAGGTAGACATGTGGGGAGCAGGCTGTATCTTCCTCGAGCTCTTCAACAGAAGGCCCATCTTTCAGGGCACAGATGAGATCTCTCAGCTACAGGTTATCTCGGACTTGGTAGGTCCACTGACTGAGGAGAGGTGGAAGGGGATGGAGAGCTTGCCGTGGTGGGAATTGGTGAGGCCTCATGAGCCGCAAGAGACCGTCCAAGATGCGGCGGAGGCCCAAGAGACACAGGACCAGCAACATTCAAGGAGACGTCTCTCGCTCTTTGAGACGTACGCCAAGTGAGTTCCTCTTCTGTGCGCGTGCTCGCTCGACGTTCACTCACCCTTGCTTCTTACGTACTGCGTCGCCCCACTTGCAGGACCCTCACACCGGGAGCACTGAAGCTAGCTGAAGCGCTCCTCACTCTAGATCCGCGCAAGAGAGTTAGCGCCGCCGAAGCGCTGCAAATGGACTACTTTGTCAAGGAGAAGCCCAAGGCGCGTCTCCCATCGAGGTGAGTAAAGTCGAATACTCTCTCATGCAACCTTTGAGTCTTCTTTTACTCACACGGTGCAAACTTTGCCCCGCCGTCCTTACAGTGTACTGTCTAGTCTAAAGGGAGAGTGGCACGAGCTGGAAAGCAAACGAGCACGGCAGAAGGGAAGGGCCTAGTGCTCGCGGTACTCACCGGTCAGAGTTCACCTGTACTTATATATCCCACGACTGGCGATGATGAGGAACATTACGTGCTGGACGGTGGACATTACTTCTTCATTCATATAGTTTCGCAACAACGCATCTGGTGTACAACAAAACAGGGAGAAAGCTATCATGACGCATATGGAAACGACGTCAGAGTGAGGTGCGATGCCGCCTGCCTCCCGATTTCTCTTTTCAAATCCTTCTTTTGCTTCATCGCCTGCCCCTGCCTCCTCCTCCTTCCACTGATCGCCACTCCTGACCCAACTACAACCAGGGCGCCCACAAAGGGTCCTGCAGAGCCAACTTGCCTGGTGACGTAGCGCTATTGATCAGATCCAATACGACTTGACAGACTGGAATCGAGCTCTCAGCCGGGCCATGATTACCACTGAGCAGCTTAGCTCGCTTGCCAACCTCGCTGATGGTCCTCGTGATGAACTGCAGAGGTGCATCACGCGGCAGGTCATCCTTGACAAAGATGCCCAAGAGATCCTCAAATTTGCCCTCTGGCTCAGAGAGACAGCGACCCAGGGCCATCATCGAAGAGGTGAGAATGCCTTCGACGCCAATGGGCCCGATGAAGTGCTGCATGTTTGGACTGAGTCGGAAGGGTGTCGCATCAGGAGTCTTGTGCTGTGGCATCTGAGGGTTGAACGAGGGTAGGAGGTCTGTCATCGAGACATGACCTCGAGAGCGCGAAATGTGGATGCGGCTCGGCATTCTTGACGAGATGAAGAAGACGTAGGTGAGGAACATGGCAGCAGCCGTTTGAAGCGTGAACTGCTTGCGCATGAGCCAGAGGTCCTCCGGAGTCGCCATACTTCGAGTGAGGTAAGTCGACAGGATCGTTTCAGGCACCATCTTGGCGCTGATCTCGTCCAGAAGGTCCATCCTCAGATTTGCCATCTCCACCAGGCCTCTCGTAGGATCCCACGCAGATTTCACCTTTTCAACCCAGAGCATCAGGGGCTCGTCCTTGCCCATCCCCACGTCCTTGCAATGCTCCTCATAGATGTCCTGCAGACTGACGAAGCTGGCGTCACTCTCGAGCAGACGCGCATGCGTGGCCAAAGGTATTGCAGCGGGCACGTGGAACGCCAGTCCACGTTTACGAGTTTCGATGCGCCTCTCCAGAATACCATTGAGGCAACGCAATAGCTGCATAGTCCGCTCCTCTCTTCTGCAGTGTCGCGGAGTATTGAGCTGAATGGCAAAGGAGTGGACGAGACCCTTGTTGCTCAGCATCGAAACTCGACGCGTACAGCTGCCAGTAGCGCGTGCAACCTCGAAGTTGTTACTGAATCGGCTGATCTTTACAAAGTCAGAGTTGTTGTCCTCGTGACCAAGGTATTGGCCTGGCACTTCAACCTCGTCGAACTTTAAGTGCTGAAATTCAACAAGGTAGTGACTGCAATGCTCGAGCGGGTTGCGTGTCGGCCGGCGGTCAATAGCGCTCTCGTAGCGGTCCCGCCACTGCTGTAGGCGCTGAATGCAGTCTCTCAAGGTCAAGTCAGGCTTGATGAAGTCCTCCTCGAATGGACCTCGTAGATTACTGCGAGCCAGGTTCTCACTGAAACGTTGCAGATTCTGACGAGTCGCGACAGGCAGCTTGCCGTCGTCCTTCGCCATTGTGGCTCGTGTAACGTACTGCTGGAGCGCTTCGCTCAACAAGGCGTTCATGAGGCGGTGTAGATCTTCCTCTGGGCTGGCCTTGAAGCGCTGCACCAATTGCTCGGCCATATTTTCCATCGTCAAAGCCAGCAGTGGGAAAGCAGTCTTCAGAGTATTGTAGACTACGTCAACATGATCCCAAGGCTGTGGCGCACTAGTGGGTGCATTGCTGTCACTCGATGGAGGTGAGGCCTGCGAAGCTGCTGCATTAGTGGCGCCAGGCACCTGCCGAGCACTTCCTTGTGGCGAAGACTGATTCGCATTGGCAGCAGAAGAGGCGGCAGAACCGGGCTGCTGCTGCGATGAGAAAGGCTGCCCCTGACCGCTCGGGGCCTCCGGTGCTGAGTTCGATGCCTCCTTCTTGGGCGTTGAGGATTCATCCTTCCCTTTATCCTGGCCTTCATTCTGGCTAGCGTTGGTGGAAGACGGCAGATCCTCGCTCTTACCATTGTTTGCCTCGCGCGGCGTAGCAGCAGGCGTGTCCGAGTTCTTTTCAGTCTCTCCAGCAGTCTCCGGCTTGCTCGCGGTTTCCGACTCAGTCTGGCCAGCTTTTGCGGGCGCTACATCGTTGGAGGCGACCTCCTTCGACGGCTGTGGAGATTGCTGCTGCTGCTGCTGCTGCTGCTGCTGCTGCGCTTGTGCTTGGGCTTGGGCTTGGGCTTGGGCTTGGGCTTGTGCCTGAGCCTGTGCTTGAGCTTGAGCTAGTTGTTGACGAGCTTGCTGCGCGCGATGGACGGCCAAATTGCGACGCAACAGTGAGTACTCCTCGCGGGTCGTACGTACCCCAAAGTACAGGGCTTGGGGATAGCTCTTGGCGATTGATACCAAAATACGCTTTGCTACCACGACTTCTCTCTGAGACAAAGCTGTCAGAAGTTGAGGCGTGAATGTGACCCAGTACCACGTCGGATGCTCTCCGCGGAAGCTCTCGAAAGCTGATATGGCAGGAGCCTGCGAGTTCTCATTGCTCAGAAGCCAAAGTACTCGAATCAGAATCTTGCGCACCTTGCTGTTCTTGAAGAGGCTGGCAGCTTGGAGGAAACAACTCAGAGCGCTCGCTGCAAAGAAGGCAGCTGTTGGCTGTTCACGAAGCATCCTCTCATTGTATCTGCCCCATTCGACCCAGGCTTTGGCCAGACTCAGGTCCATCTGGATGGCTGTTGCGAATGCATGATTTGCATCGTCAGATAGGCCCAGCTTCTCCATGAACATGCCCTTGAGCGTGAAGAATTCGGCCTTCTGAGGTGCAGCAAAGAACATCAAGTTGGTGTTGTTGATGACTTCTAGACCTTGGGCGAGCTCGTTCGAATTTTTGTAGTGGCACTTTGCTTGCTCTCGTAGTTTCAAGAAAGCCTCTTGAATCTCAATGTTCGGTAGAGTGTAGATCTTGGTGAGCGAGCTGATGCAGACGTCGTTGAGGTAATGCTTGCGGGCGACATGTGCGAAGCGATTGATGATCCAGGCAGTCTCGTGGTACCCTCTGTAGGCATATGAATTGGTGCTCGAGCCTTGGCCCCCGGGTGGCTGCAGATGAGGTACGAGGGGAAGATAGGCCTTGTTCACAGCAGAAAAGACATGCTGACGCCATGCCACAAGATCGCTCCAAGCATTGATGTCGTCCCAGAGGTTCGGCAGTCGCTCTCTCCAAGTCTGCATTAGAGTTTTCAGGTCAGCGGACCGCTGATCGATGTTCGTTGCATTGGTCTGAGATAGGCTGGAGAAAATCGTTGAAGCTTCCTGCAGCTCAACGAACTGCTGGAAGATCTGCAGCAAGGGGACGTGGGCTTGTGTGACAGTACGAGGAAGCGAATGCCACTTTCGCAGAGAAAGCTGAATGGCCTCATCGCAGATCGTACCAAATTCGCTCGGATTAGAACGATCTTGTTGCTTGAGGAGAGCCATGAAGGCGGCAAATACCCGTCGACGAGGCGTCGGCACAGCAGACAGACTATCGAGGGCTTGTTCAAGATAGTCTTTCTCTTGCACCCAGTCACTGAGTCGCCAGGCACACTCCAGAAGGAGGTCATTGTTTCCCTCGAGTTTGGCTAGATCAGTGAGGATCTCCCACTGCTGCAGCTTCTGCGCACAGATCACCCAGTGATCTTCCCAAAGGCTGTATTCAGCCTCTGTGAAAGTCAAGACACCAGTTCGGGCTCGCATCTGGGCGTTCTCGTAGGCGATCTGCGCCTTTGCCCACATGCCTGACTGCTCACACGCAATAGCAGAATTGGTCTCCACGTACACGCAGCGACGACGCCAAAGACCATAGAAGCAGTCGTCTTCGGCCAACTCAGCGAACATTTCGGCCTGAGCGTCTTGCGTAGCTTCGCGGATTGAATCGTCTTCCCTCGGCAGCGTGTTGATGAGATTCTGCAGCAAGTCGACTGACGTGTGCCATGCTTTAAAGGTCTTGCCCAGATACTTGACCACGTGCGGGGGCAACTCTGGTTGCGGCTGACACGCCTGCGCGCCATCCAGGAGTGTCTGTACGACATTGGGCCGTCTGGTGACCTGACGGAGATGATACTCGCGAGTCAAGATGCCAATGAGAGCCTTCGTGACATCGAGCTGATGTTTGCGCGGAAGAGCAGCCCATGCAGCCTTGAAGAAGTCGACAAAAATGTCATGAGTGCCTTGTCGTGATGCGTACAACAGCGCTCGGAGCGATGTGATGAAGGGCCCCACGGTAAGACCACGCATGTTCCGAACAAATGAGGTCTGATGTTTCGTAGAGATTGCGCTTGCGCCTGGAACGAATGGACGGTCTCCCTCAATTGAGCCCAGAAGGAGGTCAAGCACCTGTGTGATCCAGAAATACTCAGCGAGATGCTCCCAGCTCTGCTGCCCCAAGAGATATTGCATTCGGCCCGGGACAGCTTTGGTGAGCGTCTTGTCGAAGATATCGATGAATTTCTGGCGCAAGACTGGATCTCGGTGACGGCATCCGAGTAGAAAGGCTGGCTCAAGCTTGACCGTCAGCTCGGTGCGAGCTAATTGCGGCGATGTATAGATCTTGTAGATCAAATCAAGATACTCCCGAAGCAGCTCATCGTCGTCCCGATTCTCGAATGTGATCATCTTGACAAGTAGACCTGCCTTTTCTTTGACGGTGGGGAAAGCCTCCTGGCCATCTAGCACCCACTTCGATAGCGCTCCCAGTAGGAAGCGACATACTTCGATGCTCGAAGACTTCTCACCGAGCTGAACAGCAGCGCTCAGCCACCATCGTCGCTGCTCGCCTAGGTGCGAGATACGGGTCTTGGTCAGATCCAATGACATCAAGAGAAGTTTGATCGTTCCATCAACGTTGTAAGGCTTCGCGGAGGGTTGTTGAGCCAGATGTTCCCTGGTTGAGCGAGACAAAGCTTTGATAAGAGGACCCAAATAAGCGTCGATCCTCTCTGGCTTTGATTTGGCCCAGGCGCCAAGGACCACGAAGGACGCGAAAGGGTTTCTCCATTCGTTGAAGCCATCGCTGATAGCCTTGTCACCGAAAGCCCGTACGAGGCCAGGAACTTCTTCAGGGTCATGCTGCGTCGATTTGGACTCAGCAGCAACCGACTTTGCTGGGGGGCCGGCACGTGAGGCGCCGCTGACTGAAACGTCGTCGTCCTCTTCACCATCTGCATCCCTGTCTTCTGGCCGGATGTCGGGCACAGCCTCGAAGACTCTCTCGAGAATAGTACGCGTCAACTCAACCACGATCGGCTGGCTCATCCTCACACTCTTCTCCAAGAGCTTGCACAGTTGAGGCGCATGAGCCGCGAACCAAGCGTCGGACTTGTCCTTGCAAATGACACGTAGAGCCTGAAGCGAGTTGCAGACGATGTTGAAGCCGCTGCTGAACGGTTCAATATCGTTCAAGTCAGCTGCCATGAGGGGTCGCTGGAAGACGTTGAGCTTGATATCACAGATGTTCCAGAATCCCATCGCGGCAATTTCTCGATAAGTCATAAAAGCTCTGCCCACTGAGCCACGAGTCATTGACTCGGTCGAGAAGCAAATAGAGCGAAGTAGGAAATTGACCAAAGTTTCGCGGACATTCTTCGGCACAGAGTAGGCGTGCTCATCTACAAGACCAGCAGCCGGAGTGACCGATGGTGTTGCGGCATTGCCTTTCTGATCGAGACGTGTCCTCTTCTGGCGGTCGGTTGTCTGCCCTTCAGCTGCTTCGTTCGTCCTCTTTCTTGTCGAGACCTTGGAATCAGCGACCTCGGAATCTTGTCCATCCTGAGTGGTCTTGTCGGTTGCTTCTTTGGCTTTAGGGTCGCCAACGCCAGATTCGCTCCCTTCTTCGGCTATTCCATTCCTCTTTTTCTCCCATCGAACAATGAGGTCAACAACGTCAATGGCGAGCAGCTTCTGTTCCACGGACTGACCTGATCCGAACTTGGCCAAGCTGCTAGCCATCTGAGGCACGAAGGCTTCTCGATAGGGATAGAACAGATCTGCGTGCCGCACGAGAAGGTTCATGATGTTGAGCACAACGGCAGCCGTATGACCTTCGGTCACCAAGAGTTGCTTCGTCCAACGGATCCACCAGGGTAGCCCACCATCGCTAGGTGCTGGCACGCGCTTGGGCAAAGCTGGAACGAGGATATCCAATGCCCTGCGGAGCAGGTTGCGACCTTCCGCCTTCTCAGTTCGCAACATTCCGGTGTAAATCTGACCGATGATCTTCATGGGAGATTCGCAGTACTCGAGGAAGCGGGCAATGAAGATATACGCTGCATTTTTCACCGTCACATCCTCTGAAGGCATATGTGCCCAGCCGAATTTGATCGTCTCTCGACGAGGACCTCCAGCCGACGTGAGGAGGTGCGAGCAATGCTCCAGAGTCATCGTTGAAGCGTGCAGCAATTCGACTCGATGACCATCGTCCGAGCAGAGCTGCAAACCGATCTTAGACTGGAAGGGTTTCCAGACGCGATTCAGGACAGAATAAAAAAGATCACTGTCGAACAGTGGGGTGCTGACGCTCTCATCGGAGGCATCTGACGTCGTTGCATCGGCCATCACGGTATCCTCTGCCGTATCTTCACTTTTGTTGCCCTTTTTGGCGGCAGCTTTTTTGTCTTCTGCATCATTTGGTCTGGGCGCAGCCTGGAGAACAGGATTGACAAGAACGCGAAGCACCTGCGTCTTGTAATTCTGGCCGACGTTTTGATTCTCGAGAACTTCGATCCATTTCGTAATCACTTGTCTTTTGAGCGCAACGGAGCCATTGAGAGCGACCCTATCATAGCAGAAGCGAAGAGTGGGGGTCATATCCAGACAGCTGTGGAAAGTAAATGCATCCAGTAGCTCGAAGTAGGCTTCGAGATGATCTTTTCTTGACAGGTAAGCCTTGTAGAGTTCAAGCAGGAGAGAAGACTCGCAGTGTGGACCCGCATTGGCTTCTTCTCGCCTTCGCTTTTGACAAGCCGAATCTCTCCACAGCCCTCGTATAGCCTCAAAGACGTCATCGTGCTTGATCAACCAGTCAGGCTCTTGAACGCCGAAGGCTTTGATGAGCTCAAGACCTACACAGATGAGCTGAGGTCGATCCTGTCGAGCCAAGAGAGGAACAATGATCTCTCCGCGTCGCTCAGAGAGCTTTGCCCGTAGATGTGTCGACTCGGTCGATGCGATAGCCAGTCGCAAGCATCTTGCATGTCGTTGATCTTCAAGCCGTGTTGCAAAGTAGTCGCACGTAGCCTCTGGATATTTGTCTAAGAACGTAGCTAGTGGTTTAGTGAAGGGAGTGGGACCACAGCGGCGGAGAGTGGTCTCAATGTGTATGACGGTATTGACGAGCTGTTCCATGAATTGGACGGCCGCTGGTGGAAGCAGCGGGAAGACTCGTACTATTGCACACAGCGTCTCAATGACATCGCTATCACGCGGTAGCTTGGAGTGGAGCAGATGATGCGCATCAGCGTACTGGGGGCCTTGAAGGTCCCCAGCACTTGCCCTCTCAAGCATTGGCGCATGCGAAATAGCTTGCATGTGGCTCAGGAGCTTGCCTCCGATTTCGACCTTGAAGTATGTTGTGAGAAGCTTCAATAGCCTTGCCAGACCGTCCAAGCCTACAACCGTCAGCTTGGAAGAATCAGCGAGTGTCTGAAGAATTGGTGTGAGGCCGGACCGTAGCACATCCTTGGGCAGTTTGGTCTGATCCTGCAAAGTCTCTTCGAGGCTACTGTAAGCAACGTCTACAACTGCTTCGGAGCGCGAGTAAAGGCTCTTGAAGTACATAGAGATGATGCGTAACCTCTGATCTTGATGTTTCGGTCCCTGAAATTCCGGGCGATTCATGGCAGACGCTAGCAGGCGGATGGCGACCACACGTAAATTGGTTACCGCGACAGTGTTTTTGTAGTGCTGAGCTCGTCCGACTAGTGCGGCGTCGTCTGCATCGGCAAGAGCGCAGGCTTCCGTCAGGACGCGGAACAGCTCTTCGTTGAATGCTGGTAAGGGCGGATCCAGCTCCAGGCAAAATGTGATGGCGTCTATATGGCCGATCTGCATGCCGAAGGGCAGGGCTCGTAGTGGTTTACCAAAGATCGGTCCGAGCAAGCGATCTTTGACAGGCGCGAGAAGTGCGGTGACACCTTGGCCCCTCATCTTTGCCAAGAGACGGAAAGCTTCCCGCGTGACTGATCGCACCATGCTGTTGGAGCTTGCGAGCTCGCCGACGAGAGCACCAATTAGCAATGTCTGAGAATTCTCCCTTTGTCTGTCCCATTGGCTGCGCTCGTCTTCGTCGGCAGCTTCGATGCCCTCTGGAGGTGTATTGGCAAGCTCTAAGACATGGAGCAATGTTGCGCCTACGGCCTCTGCATTACGCGGAGGATCCGTCGGCATATCTTTGAGCATGAACACCAGCGCTCGCACAATCTCCAATTGTGTATCTCGCAACCATGCAATGGGTACTTCAGCTCGGCGTATGATAGCATCAAGCGCTGTCCACGCACCAGTCTTGCGGGCCCAAAGCTTGTCGTAGCAAAGACCGCAAAGCTTACTGCTCAAGCGCTTGATAATGAACAGCCAGAGCGTAGGATGCTCCCGAGATCGAGACGGATCGTTCCTTGTACCGCTGTCATTCTCGGCTGCTGCAAGCGCCTTTGCAGGGTGTCGGCAGGTGGCCTTGGTAGACTTGAGGATATCGAGGATCAGCTCAGTGTGGGCAGCAAGGTCGGGTGCCTCGTTTGCGATGCTTGACAGTGTCTCTACAATACCACCAAGGAATGCGGAGGTCAAAGGGGCAAGCCCAGCTGCTGGCAGATCCCGTGAGGTCGGTTCCTCTGGGAATCGCTTCATTTCGAGGCTGAAGACATGTACCGAGAGTTCGATGACGTAGGGCCTGGCTTGCTCTGCCAAATCGTCTGTCCTCGTTGCCTCAAAGATGCCGTGAACGACCTTCTCGAAGGCCGCCTCGATCTGCGCTTGGCCATGTGTAAGAGAGCCGTCCGAGTAAAGGGCAGCAGCGTGGCGCAGAAGTTCCCATGAATGCTTACGGTAGAACGGGTCCCCTCTGCGAACGTTCGCAAGAGCCAACTCCATGATCGGCTTCAGCTTCATCGACTGACTCCGACCAGTACCAAAGTTTACGGTGAAATGCCCAGTATCCCGTTGACTCTGCCAATTGATCGTCGGAGGCTGCTGTAAGATCCTGCGATTTCGCCCGCCCATCTTACCGAGAATTCTCATAGTTGTATGTGAGTGAGCATGAGGATGAGGCAGAGGCTGAAGATGCTCCCACAATGCTTTCATAATGTCTACCTGATAAGGGGCCATGATGGGATCCAGGAATTCCTGAGTCAGGTTGTCGATGCACAGTTCCAGCGTTCTGAGGCCTTGCGAAAGCAGATCCCCGGATGAACGAAGAGCAAGTACGAGTGGCTTCATGAGATAGCCAAGATATGGCAACAGCGCACTGAGACGAACGGGAACCGTCAGACACAGGTCAACAAAGGTCTCCTGCTGGGGCGACTCAGCGGCATCGAGGAACGTATGAAGCTGCTCAAGCATCACCGGCAGAAGTGGCAATACATCTTTGTAGAGCAGCTCGAATTTGCCCCCTCCGATACTCCTGAAGAGAGCCCTGAGCAACAGAAAATAGTTGGAGGGCTCCGTCGCTTTGGCAGCGAGCTTCATGGAATGCATGATGAAGTAGCCAAGGTGCGGTTGTAGCATCGATTCATTTTCCTCGGGATAGATCGTGACCGCCATGAAAGCAAGTTTGAAAAGTCGCAGTGTGACCGTTGCATTTTTTCGATCGGCATCTCCAAGATCATCGAGGCGATCAGCTAGAAACCGCAAGACAATGCCGACGAAGCGTCGCGAAGTGCTGCTCATGGAGAGCAGGTTTTGAGGCACACCCATGAGCGAGTTGTTTGTGAGCATCCGATCGTACAAGAATGCCAAGTTCGTTGTGAAGACTTCGTGAAATGTCTGCGGGGACAGATCGTAGAAAATTGGAATGAAAAGATCCATCATCTCCTTCTCCTGAGCAGGTTCCCGATGATCGATCATCGACCAGCAGTCGACCCCGGCACAGAACAAGACTCCGAAAGTATCGGCGTCAGGTTCCGGAGCCCCGCGACGCTTGAGGAGAGCCAGGAGTGTCTTGAAGCCGGTGAAGAGATTCCGCAACAAGAAAAGAACATCTGCAGTCCAGGCGGGAGGATTATTGAGATGAGCTGCACATATGAATGTCCCTGCCGCAAGTAATACTTACCCTTCAGCACATCGCTGTCTCGATGCTCATAGAGCATGTGCCCTCCCTGTATCGGTCGGCTTCTCTCGATCGTCACCACATTGGCTCTTTCGATCGTCTCGCCCTTCGCCTGAGCTTCCCTTCTCTTGCGGTTGACTTCCCAGTCCTCCTTGAAGCGAGGCAGGTTCCTCATCTTTTCGATGAAGGCATCTAGAATCTGTCGAAGCAACTGATTGGCGCCATCGGGGTCATTGGTGATAATTGCCTCCACAAGATTAAGCAAAAGCTTGGCGCACATCGTCTGGATTGCCGGAGCAAGGGTCGAATCGTGGAGCACTTTGCCATGAACATGAACGATCCGGGCCAGCTGAGCGGCCGATAGCTCGGCTCGAGAGTGGTGGATCAGATCAGCCAGCATACTGATCGCAAGAGGTCGGTGCATCTCTCGAGACGTGACGCCGGTGCCAAGCAAGACACGATCGTCGAGCAGGGTATCGATTTGACCTGCAAAATGGCTTCTTAGCTCTGTGCCCAGGATATGTCTTACAGCCACGAGAAGCTCCTTGCGTCCCCCTGCAGCTTCAGGTGGGCAATCTTCGAGTAGGCGGACGCTGACTCCAGGAAGTATCGGAGCATAGTCCTTGATCGCCGGTAGCCCGCTCTTGATGACATACGCGAGAAAGCTCATGGTCTTGATCTGGGCGTGAATCATCTCGGCGTAGGCAGTCCGATTTTTGATGTTCGGGGCCACACCAACAAAGATCTCTCCGCGCGCTTGGGCTGCTTCGTGAGCCTCGCGTTGAGGTCGTGCTTGCAGCAGTAGGCAGCCATCAAAGATGAACGGTATGAAAGCGTTCAAGGCGGGTTTGATGAGATGCTGGTAGGTCTGCAAGACTAAGACCACAGCGATAGGGCAGTCTGCTAAGACTCTGAAACCAGCAGATGTGCGGGAGAGCGACTTTGGAGCTGTGCTCGAGGAGGCTGAGGCGCCTCCGCCGAGCGACGAGGCCTCGGCGGATTGTGAAGTAGAGCCATCTGCAGGGGAGGAGGCTGAAGTGGCAGGAGAGTCGGACGAGGAGGGATGCTGATGCGTCAAGGAGTAGAGAAGATGCAGGTCAGATGGGAAGAATGTTATGTTTCAGTCTTGCCGAGTGGGAGAGCAACTCACGGTTGCTGTATTAGCTAGAACGGTATTTCCTCCCGAGCCAAAGAAGGTATCCACTGTAGCTGGCATGCCAACAAAGAACGTCTTGATCTGCTCGAAGAATGGCAAGGCAAATTCTTCACATTCGTCCTTGCAAGATCGCAGCATCTCGGACAAGATCTTCATGGTCAGCTCCCCATTATCTTCGTTGTCCTCTTTCAAGATCTGAAGCAGGACCGGAACTAATTGCTTGGCGAACCTACGCATGGGCTCGAAGGCAGGGAGCCTCCGCAACGTCTCGAGCAGGACATTGCGTAACCGCTGAAGTGACGAAAAAGGGTACAGACGCAAATCAGTATGCAAAGAAAGTGCAAGTGCCACGCTCGTACTTACATGCTCGGGGGCGTCTGAACGGAAGCTCGGTTGAGTTGTCTCAAAGGTTTTGAGAAAGGTGCTGACAAGGGCTTTGATGTAGGCCACAAAGTCCTGGTTCTGAAACGCTTCAGCACTCTCGCGAAGCTCTTGCGCAGCGGTGTACCGTCTCGTGAGATCTGTGGAGGTGCGGTCGTAGACAGAAGGTAAGGCGAGCAGACCCGCAAGCACGAAGGATAGAGTCGGTGAGCCAGTCTTCGGTACAGCGACATGCTTCACGCTACGCACCGGAACTTGTGTCTACAATTCTAGCCGCCAACTCCTCCAGCTTGGGAAAGGAAGGTCGAGAAGAGCTGGCAGCAGGGGCGCCGGCTTGTGCGGCTGTGGTAGCACCCGTCGAGGTTGCGGATGGTGTGGCAGCGGAAGCATTAGACGCGCTGCCGCTCGCCTCGCCGGACGCAGCCATGCTTTAGGCGACCTCTGCCTGGGAGAGGCTACCTCGCTCGCTGATGAGATGGAGAAGTGGTCCTGGCGAAGGCCGAGGACTGAGGGACGCCAGAAGAATGGCGGTGGGTATGAGAGGAGCTCTGTATGATGGTAGGGTATGAGATGGATTCAGAAGGAGTGAGTGGGAATATTGCCTCGGAAGGGCGCTCGCTCCAGTCGCCCCCCGCGCGCTTTGGCGGTCCCGCACATACCACTAGGTCCAAGTCACAGGAGACGCATTGTCCGCCCGCCTACCTTGGCCCATACTACGTTCACAGCTTGTCTCGACCTCTTCCTCTGGTCCACTGGGCCCAACATTGGTCTCGTCTCGGGCGTGTGTCTCTTCCAGGAAAGTTGGCGTGACCGACGACATAATTGAGCGTTGCCTGCCCAACGACGGGGAGGAGCTGTGCTCCGGTCCCAACATAGTCATACATCAGGATGGCTAGCCTATTACTCCGTCTCTTCGATTCGGACTACTTCTCTCCGCACCTAGCACTGTCATAGTGAGTGGAAAAGCTAGTGCAGGCAACATGTTCGCACTGTCGCTGGCAGCTGCTGACATTCGCCGCTCTCGCCCACCGTGTTCTGTCCTTGGCTTGGTTTCGTGCATATAGCTTGAAGACATATTCCGACAACATCGGCATCACATATTACTTGGTCTACAGACTGAGAACTTCGTTTCCGCCAGAGGAAGTCGAGTTTTACTGGCCTCAACTCTGGTAAGTGGTACAATGGCGTCTGAGTTTTCTCCTGTGTATCGCAGCTCATCCTGGAAGTGCTCTGTTCCATCGACCATAGTCATCTCCTGGTCACAAAGCCGTCAGAATCTCGGGCTCTAGAATGCTTTATACTCGAACGATGCGAGGAGTCTGTGCATGTGGCTCTTCTGGTAAGATGCGGCGTGGCGCGAGACCCTCAGGTGGTTTCGTCCTTGAGCTGACCTCTTCCGGATCCTCTCACATGCCCTCTGACGTGCCTCTAGACATTGTGGCATCTCCAAGCTGCACTCTTCGATCTTTCCGGTAATTCTCGCACCCCATCCTTTGGGGTCTGCAAAAGGGTGTACAACGAATGCCAAAGGATTCTGTACGACGATCCGCTGTCAGATGCTAGTGTCTTCCTTCTTCCGTCATCCAGCAGCCGGAGCAGGAGCAAGAAGGTAGTCTCCTCTTTAGCGCGAGCTAAGAGCAAAATTCTGCCTTCCAATGCCAAGAGTGCTTTGGTGGGTATGGGAACTGTCCTCGCCAGTGTACCAGGGATGCCGTTGCTTGCTCCGTTCAGTGGACAAGTCGCCGTGGAGCAAGGCAGAGCGAAGCCCCGCGTTGGCGATCTCGATGCCATTGGGACAGGCGTGGAGAGGATCCAATCAGAAGAGGATGCTGACTCCGATGATGGAGTGCAGGCATCAGATGACGACGCTGGTCTGAGCAGCGAGGATGAAGGTGATTCACCTCTTCCTGCTCCGCGCTCCGTATCTGCAGAGGCCACAGGTCAGACGGCGCCTTCGCAACGCCGGACATCCACAGTCCAGAACCCAGGCATGTCGAAGACGGCTAGCACCAGAATGCCCGGTCAAGGAGAGCCTTCGTCTACAGCTAGTCCTGTGGAGCAATCGCTGGCTAACATCTCTGCAACCTGGAATGGTTTGAGAGGCAAGGCGACAGCAGCAATTAACGATTCTCTTGGCTCTGGCCTCACAAGCGCCTTTGTAAACAAAAAGCCCTCGTCTCAGCAAACGACTCAATACCCAGATGGACTTCGTCCTTGGCATCCCCAGAGAGCAGCCAAGCGTCCGGCTGCCCGACAGCCGCACGTGGCTAGCACAAGCGTTCTCACAGCTAGCGCGACCTCGGGTGCGCCTCAACGTCATTCAGCAAGCAGTCAACACCAAGATCAACACCGAGCCAACAGCTCAAAGTCTGTACCGGACCTGAGCTCAGCAAGGCGAAGTGTCTCTCTCTTTTCCTCCGCACTCAACCTGGAGGATGGTGCTGCTACACCTGTAGATGCGGTACTCTCCCAGTATGACTCAGAGGCTAGGCGCAGACTGCTGCGCAGCAATTACTGCCGGACACAAACGGAATTCCTGCTCAGTCTGCAGGACATATCCTCACGACTGCTATTGTTGCCCAAACCTGCTCGTCTCTCGGCCCTTCGAGCCGAACTCACAGCTCTGAACCATCGACTGCCCGCAGAAGTCTGCTTTCCACTCTGGTGTGCTGCCATTTCAGAAGCTGGCGCCGGAAAAGATTCGGAGAATGCGATCGAGGGATCTCACGTCGTTCCTGGTACAGAGAAGGAGGGCAGAGACCCCCTGGTCAGCGTCGCTCAAGTGCAGGCCCAGACGCCATCATCAACCAGGCGGATCAAGCACCATCGCGTGGTCCGGATTAATCCATCGGAGGCAGTGGTCCTCAATTCTGCTGATCGTGCACCATACCTCTTGCACGTTGAGATACTGCAGAACGATCTTGACTTTGACCCCGAGCGTAGATCAAACCGAGAGAGCCTCAAGAAACTGGTCGTGGCCGAGGATCTCCGGCGTCGAAAGTTTGCGCTGAGTAGAGCTTTCGGTGCGGACGTGGACGCTGCAAGTAGAGAGGCTTTGCATCGTAGAGACACAGACACCACACACGGAACTGCGGGTGTTTCTGGAAGAGATGATTTGGCAGCTGATAGCGATCTCCCCGCAATCACCGGCAGCACGAGAAATGAAGCTACGGATGTAGGAAAGGACGGTCACGTCGCGGCCAGCAATGACCTGCAAGTTAGCCGTCCCGATCTACCCTCACGGTCGTCCTCCCCTCAGCTTGGCTTGTATAGCAGTAATGGAGACGAAGAGGTGGATCTGACGGAACAGGCTTTCGGGTCGGACCTCGCAGCATTCGGAGAAGAGCGGCAGATTGAAGAAGAAGATGGCGACGAGCTGGCAGCCGCGATGAACCGACATCATGATGCAGCTGCTTGGACGGAAGCTAACTCTGCAGGCGTAAATAGTACTAATGCTGCCGCCGGCTCTGACGATCACACTCGCCCGCGCCGGCCATCTTCTGCTACAGCGGCTGCTGCCTCGGTCGCTGCGAAGAGGAAAAACTTCTCCTTGGACGAGTATTCGGAGAGGATGCGCACGGCAGCCATAATGCTGGCTCAACTCAACCAGTCTACGAATGCCTCGGCTCAGCCAGCTGTCACGCACAACCCACATGTGAGCGCCACCGCTCAGGGCGGTTGGAGTAGCTGGATCATCGGTACAAGCTGGGCTACACCCGTACCAGGCACTACGGCTGCAGCAACGAAGAGTGAGGTAGGGCAGGGCTCAGCTGGTGTCAAAGTAGCACTGGGGGGCTCAGGGAGCTCTGTCCCATCGCAAGTCCCGGTTGCACCTTCTTTAGGAGGGTCGTCATCAATGGCCTCCTCTGCTGGTCCTTCTCGCCTGATAAATACTGACACAGAAGCTATCAGAAAACGGATCATGCAAGAGATGATGATGCTAGAAGAGGAAAGAATGGAGCGCATGAAATCCGGAGGTCGCAAAGTCGGTGGCAATAAGCGTCCGGCTGCTGGAGTGGAAGATGAAGCAACCGTCCTGAAGGCTGTCAACAAGGACGACCCTTCCGCTGCCATGTTCAAGGAGACTTGGGCGGCCAAGAAAGCTCGCATACGAGCAAGCTCTCCTTACGGCCACCTGCCCTCGTGGGATGTCTTCAGCGTCATCGTTAAGACTGGAGCTGACCTCCGGCAGGAGCAGCTGGCAGTCCAGCTGATCAATGAGTTTGGCCGGATTTGGCAAGACTGCAAGTCTCGCATTTGGGTCAAGTACTTCAGAATTCTTGTTACAAGTGAGAATTCGGGTCTCATGGAGACTATTACGGACGCTATCAGCGTGCACTCGATCAAAAAAGAGGCATATGCTAGGACGCAGCGAGACAGCGGCGATGAAGGCGGGAAAATCGCAACCTACAGCATCTTCGATCACTTCGTCAATGTATGTGCAGTCGTAGGAGGAGGCACAAATGTATAGCTCAAACTTACCTTCTCTCCAATCGCTCACTCCGCAGACTTACGGGGATCCTTCTTCCGCCAAATTCGGCCGAGCGAGAGACAGGTTCCTCGAGTCATTGGCAGGTTACTCGATCATATCGTATCTGCTACAGATCAAAGATCGTCACAACGGCAACATACTCTTGTCCAGTGATGGGCGCATCATACGTACGTCGTCAGTCAGAACGAAAAGGAGACGCAGCTTACTGACGCAGCTTACATGCCATGCACCTGCAGACATCGACTTTGGGTTCATGCTGGGCATCTCTCCAGGAGGTGTTGGCTTCGAGGCTGCACCTTTCAAATTGACTCAAGAGTACATAGATATTCTTGGAGGCATCGACTCAGCCAAGTTTGACGAGTTCAAGCAATTGATGCGACAAGGGTTCAAAGATGTTCGGAAGCATGCCGAGAGGATCATCATGATTGTCGAGCTCATGCAAAAAGGTGGGTGGGTTGTGTTGCTCCAACTTCGCGTACCTCATGCTGATACCGTGACAAATGTCAATACCTGCAGACTCGAAGCTACCATGTTTCGCCCTAGGCGACTTTACCGCTTCCAATCTGCGTGATCGTTTCGCGCTCGCTCTGTCGGCCTCCCAAGTCGACGACTTTGTTGATCGCCTCGTCCTAGCCAGCTGCGCGAGTTCTTATACCAGGCTTTACGACAGCTTCCAATAGTAAGTGCTGACAATGGCGAGCTTGTTGCTGTCTTGTGTCTAACACCAAGTCACTACTCTCCCTTACAGCTACTCTCAAGGGATTCTGTAAGATGCTGTCCCTTCTTCAATCTTCAATACATGCTTTCTGTTGCTCCTACCCAACACGTCTTACTCTGAACCCTCATTCCGCGCGTCGTCACCGGAGAGATGTGTCACCCAAAAACGCCGCTGCACCTTGCCGCGCCTGCTTCTTGCGTGAATAACCCTTTGCCGCTCACTGATGGCGTACATCTGGGCCTGTCTCATGCTGCTGCCTCCTGCTTTCTCTGAACAAGAAAGCGAGAAAGCCCGTTCGTTTCTGTCAGTGACAATGGTATTGATTTGCACTGACCTTGTGCATCTCCAGCTCACTGGCTCACACTGTCGGCAAGCGAGAGCTTGAGATAACCTCGCATCTGATCTGAATTGTGACGCTAGTCTCCGACACCTTGACGGTTCCTTACGAGCGTCCTGGTGGATTGTGACGATGTCAAACCTGCAACGCAGCCTTGATGGCGTCTGGAGAAATGACCAAAGACAGCCGTTCGGGGGCAGGTCAGTTACCCTTATTCCCAAGATGTTACCAGATTGGAGCTCGGAAGCTCTGACCCTGGGTGCGCAAGGGGAAGCTATCGCTAACGATGGTGCCCGGACCGGGCCATCACCATAGCTTTCTTGAGCACCCGGGTCGCGCAGAAGCGTCAAGACGCAAGCGATCCGTATCCATTGCGCGTCCTCAACCAGGGGAACGATTCTCCCCGCCGTTCACCATCTGACTATCGAGTGCAAGTGGGAGTTCACAAGAAGATGGCCAGTAAGAAACTTCCCTTTCTATCTTCTGCAGCTGGAAGAGGGCTACAAGAGGCACATAGACGGGCTGCAGGACCGGTGTAGCGGACACGTGGAATGCATCTCGAGGGACCCCACAAGCATCAAATGGTCCTGTTTATGTCGCCTGCGATCGGAGTGGCCTGTCGACATGCACTTGCAGTTGCTTAGATCGTGTGCACGCACGCTTGCTCAGCGACAGGGGACTGGGAAAGAGAGGGGTTCCCTTGAACCGCTTGACAGATTCGTAAGTCTGGCCGCAGACGTCCCACACGCATTTGCCTCAGTAGGTCCGATGCCCAATGACCTAAGTAGCAGCTGTGGGTTTCTCAATCGTAAGGATATCCCGCTACCGGTTCCGGGCGGACACCCGTACAAAGGTTGCCGGCAACCTCCCCTAGCTTTGCTTTAATCATAGCACCAATCCCATCGTTGCCTGCAACATCGCAGGCTGCGATCTGAGGACGGAGAGGTCGCTACCGTCTATCTCATCTTGCTCGGTGCATCGCTTGCGGCAAGACTTCGAAAGCTTGTTCAACGAAACGGTACCGATGTGAGGCAGCCCTCCGTCCGGGTGGACGATCCTCGGCCCAGGCACTAAGAGTCTGCTGGAGTCGCACGCTTCTCTCGCTGCTTACGTTGCGCTACATTATCAACAGCTACTCAAGAAGGGCATCACTCTGCCCAGCGTGCTGCGAATGAGCATAAAGCCCTGATCGGGCGAATCCTGGCTCTCGATCGTCAGACCATGTGAAGGTAGCGCGGGAACACAACAGGGCGGTCATGTAACACTAAAGTGTCGGACATGGCTCACGTCTACCTGTACAGTAGCAAGCACACTCGGAAGCCACGTTTACCTGTACCAAGCACACTCATGTAGCGACGTCATTTCTTGCACAGCGGCATCGCGGTGGCCATAAGGTCCCGCCGGGGTGACGAGCTGGACGGCGGACGACTTTCCGGCCGGAGAGGCCTTCTTCCTCACAGCAACAACCTCCGTCGTATCGGCTCGTTCAGCGGACTGGTCCCAAGCTCATTGCTACGGAAATAGACTTATGAGGCTCCATGCGATGGTCGGGTGGACAACTGGAATACATCACGAGCAGCCTCGGGAACATGGAGCGCCGTCCTCGGGCAAAATTGTGCAGTACCTGGACCGAAAACCCAAATGTCCAGTACCGTACAATGGGCGATCGCGGCCAGGGCAGATCTGGGTGCTTTTCGAATAGATGTGCGTGTTGAGCATGCTTCCAGACATTGTCAAGGGACGACTCAGACTACAGAGAGCATACCGTACGACGTGCTTTCCCACCTCGCGTCTATTGAGCGCTTCAGCGTAGATGTTAGTACTGCACTGTGCTGTTTATTGTACGATAATGTACAGTACGGTACGGTGTATCTCAGCTTCAAGGCCCGTGTACTGTTCAGTACGGTATGCAAGCTGTTGAGCTGCGTTACTGTATACAGTATTGTACCATACAGTACAGTAGCGAACCGCATGATGTGATGCGGTCGACTGAGAGGCTCAAGCAGTCAGAACACAGCGCAATAAACCAAAGCAGCAGTATTGTACAGTAGATTCTTTACGGCACATCCTGCTCAGACACTCCGTAACGGTGCTTTGAGTCACTTTTTGGTGATTCCATGGAGTCTCAAGCTCTCAACAGGGCCCGAACCATAAGTCACGCTGTCACGGTACGCTCTCGGGTTACAATGTACAGCACAGTACTGCAAACAAGGAAGAAACGTCTACAAGAAGGTTTGCCTACACCAAGACAGCTTCTACTGTGTAGTCTTGCAAACGCTGTAAATATTTGCGTCGCTGACTCAGTGGTGTACAGTAAAGTACAGTTCAATACAGTACAGTACTGCACACATGCAGAGAGACCTGCTGTTGCGCAGCTGATTCACGGAAATTGCGAAGCTTACAGTATATCGTTGAACAGAAGGCGGCATTGCACAGTACAGTAGGCCAGATGAAAAGCGGCACTTTTACGAGGCGCAGACTGCAGTGTATTAGACAGTACAGCAGTGCCAGGCCCTCTGTAGTCCGCCAAAGGGTCACCGCACAGGTGTTCCTGGCGATCCAGTACATTACATGACATGAGCAAATTCAAACAGCACTGTGCTGTACTGTACTGTACTGTACTGTAGTGTTTTTTCCATTGCTCCGCTCGACCTCACGTCGACAGGTATGTGTGAGACACCATTTGTCAGTTGGCCCTTAAATCTGGGCTACGCACATCGAAGTCTAGCCAGGCAAAGATAGTTTGCCAATGTTCAGGCTCAACTGTGGCTATGTGGCTTTGCTGTAGTGCCTGGTCTTGGCTGATTCGTAATTTGCATCTGGATTCAGATGCCCAGAAAGCGAGAAGACTTGCCACAATCTGAATACGACCAAAACACGTCCAGAACACCGTTCTGCCATTGGCAGAAAACAAGATCCCTGGTGCAGCACGTGCAGAATAAATGGTCAAGGGGACCAGCATGGCAGCCTCCTCCAGAGTGCTGCACTTCCGAGACAAAAGCTGACAATTAGCTCGAGCATGACATTGGTATGCTACAGTAACGAAATTGAGCGCCCTCGTGCACTTCCTACAGTCCTCACTGCTTTTGCGAGACGCAAGTCGATTTGACAATCTATATGAATCTCGGCGAGACGCAATGACAAACAACTGCATGCCAGTATAGCAATGAAGCCAGATTACTCTTCTCTACTCTGCAGAAAAGGACACAGTGAGCTCTGAGTCACACGAGCCCAACAGAACCTTACCTAGATAGGCAAGGTGAGTATAGCGAGCTGTCTTACATCTGAGCAATTCAAGCTTTGGTTCAGCACATTCTACAGTACCCTGAAACCAGCACGAGCAGCAGTCGAATATCAACTTGGCTGAACATTTTTGCCTCGGCTGAAGTGCGACTGGCCTGCTGCAGTATATGATTGTCGTTCTCTCGTTACTCAATCGTACTATAGCCACGTGCAGCGAGTCAAGCTATTTCAGCAGGAACACAGCCACTCTCGCCATCTGCAGATACTACTCCTTTTGTCACTCAATTCTAGCCATATGCACGTCAGATTAGCCGCTGCACCAAGATTCTAGCCAGGCCAAAAACACTTTGGCATCATGCATGTTCAAAAGTAGCCGCATGACACTGCTCTAGTGCTTGAATCTGGCTAAAGCGTGGCTTATCTTCAGGCTCAGATTGCTCAAATGTAAGGCAGACTGCCAGACCTCAAGCCAGCCTGCCAATCTCACCTGCAGCCGGCTAGAATTGGGTGACAAAAGGAGTATACTGTATCGTACTGTACAACTTCGGTCACACAACATCGTTCTAGTGCCCGATACGGAGGTCGGCTTGATACCAGGCTGAGATTGGCAGAATGCGAGGCTGGCCGCCAAGCTCTTTCTAGAGCTGCCCAGTCGAGATCTATACTGTACAATATGGCTAGAGCCGAGTGACAAAGAGAGTACACAGTACTGTCCTGCACCTTTCTGGAATTGGGTGCAGAGGGAAGTGACGAGCCTCGACTTTTACGTTGTGCTATACCGGAAGTCGCTCCTTGTGTTGAAGAAAAAGCACTGTTCGGCCACAATGAAGCAATTGTGAGAGATTGCACTCGGTGCGCTGCACACCCGCATGTTCACTTGCTCGTACTCAACAGCCACTGCAGTAGGATGCGTCCTGTACAATACAGAGTGTGGTTCTGTACTGTACTGTACGGTCGACCTCTGTCACTGTACTGTATCCGCAAATCTGTTGTTGCAAGATCTGTGCCCAAGACTTGCACTAGACAGAGTGCAGGCATGTCCCCTGATTTGGACTGGCAAAACGCGAGCTGATCTGACATCGCTGTTGGCCTGTTGCTGGGCCAATGGCCACGTCAATTGCTTAAAGTCTACACTACTGTTGCACTGTAGCAAAGATCACCTGACGGGCCTTGTTCTCGTAAAGCTGGCTTGCGTGCTACAAATGCTCAAAGTTGGGGCATTGTGACAAAGTGCTGTGACAGCCGTTGCGAAGGCTGACGTGCTGCATACTGCATGATACAGAACAGCACGGCATTGTATTGTCAGGCAAGCCCAAGAAAGGTTTCCAGCTGCGCGGGACCTTCACGTCATTGGAGCGCAACAGGTCTGCAGCTGTGACGGAGGTGATCCGGAGGGCAAGCATGCACTGTACCGTATCGTCCTGTGTACTGCAGAAAGCCTGTACGCTCTTCACTGTACTGTACTGTACTGTACTGTATTCTATAGTCTGATTCTCACGCCCTAGTACTGTAAGCGGCCTGAGTGACCGGTGTATGAGGGTCCTTTAGACCTGAATGCGCAGTGGTCTTTTCATGCGATTCGGTACTGTACACTCCTGTGGTTGACGTTCGAGTGGCGGGCGTGTGTGGCCTACTAATGACAACGTTCCGAGTCTTGAGACTAGTAGTCCCAAGCCGGAGTCCAGCAGCTCGGACTATAGACGGGGTCTTGCACCTGGCTAGGACAGGGTCTTAGGCATTGCCCACCTCGCAAGATTGCGCGGCACCTTGTCAGAACAGTGAAGCAGCACAAAAGGCGGACGCTCAGATGGACGGTAGTGCTGGCGCCGGATAGTGCCGGATGTTTTGCTCTGTCGTTTACAGTAGCATCATTCTCATCGCCTATTGTCAGAGCTTGCTACGAGGCCTATAAAACTTCGACATTGACATTAGGCAGGATCAAATGAGGTTGTGAAGTAAGTCACATTGTCATGAAAGAATCACATGGGTTGACATGACAAAGTCGAGACCATCCCACCCACACCCGGCTCTCTATACATCGGCAGTCTCATCGGCGAGCACTCAAACTCCTAGTCTCTTCGAAGCGGTCGATGATCTGAGTCAGATCAAGGAGATGGGATCAGCCTTCCGATCACCGGCGCACACATGCTCAGCCCACCAGTCGACTTACACTTTCCGTGGCCTGTCGCATCTCTTTGGCCATTCTACTGACTTCACTACCTGGCCTGTTGTACATCATGGCATTTGCGAAGAGGTGGTTGAATGCGCGCCTCATCTGAGTTGCTGTAGTTATTTCTCCCTCTTTGATTTGCGACTTGATGGTCTTGAGGGACGTTGGACGCCTGATGAGGCCGTGATAGTCAGGTGCATCCTAGTGAGACGACGGCAGATCGCAGTCGTCAGCGTGCGGCTCTTGCCTGTCTCGACCATTAGACTCCAAGGCTCTACTTACCGACTCCTTGACTTCATTCTGGAAAAGATTACCGTGAGTATGGGCGCTAACTTCGGTCCAGATCTGCAGCAAAAGCTTCTCATTAGCCTTTCGGCGCTTCTCCCTTTCCTTGTTCCTGTCCTTGGCGCTGTCTTTTTCCCGCTCCCTGCCGCTGTCGACGCTGTGACGGGCTGAGCTAGAAGCACGACGAGGTCCTTCCCTCTTGCCACCTCGGGCGGGAAGAAGCGGACTGTCGCCGACATCCTTGCCTTCTTCATCTGCGATCTCCTCATCCATGCTGACGTCTTCAACAGCCGACGCTTCTCGAGACTGCCGTGCGCTTCGACGCGTTGTTGCAGTAGGCCTTGTAGGTGTGACTACCGCATCCCCTGCGTCCGCTCCTGCGGACTCTTCTGGTTCTGGAGCCGGCTCGCCTCGACGGGAACGACGCTGGAGAGGTGCTGGTCTGGCTTTCTTCGCAGAAAGCGGCGAAGCGCTCTCCATCTCTTCGGTGTTTGCTGTTGTGCTGTTGATCGTGGAGGATCGGGTTCTTTTCGCCTCGCGAGCATTAGCCTTGCTGGCTGAGTCCACATTCTTGTCTTCCTCATCCTCGGCCTCTGAATTTGCGTCCTCATGCGAGCGCTCTCTTTTCGGGCCTTTCGAGGACTCTGCGAAATGGTTGGACTCATCAGCGTCACCCTTGTCCTCTGCAGATTGAGGGCCACCAAGCGCTGCTTCCACCCCTTCTGCTTCGGTCTGCTCCATTCCTGCGGGTTCTTCACCATCTCCGGACGCCGCAGTGATATCCTTGTGCTCGGCACTGCGACCGTGGGACAGATTTGCAGCCTCTGACGGTGTGTCTGGCGCGCGGCCTCTGTTGGATCGTACTCGAGCTCGCAACGAGGTGGGACTAGGGGGTGGTTGGCCGGCCATAGAGGTATCCTGAGGTAGAGGGACCGGAGAGGTGCGACCGGTGGCGGACGTAGATTGATCAGCCTTGGATGAGGATGCAGCACCGCTAGAGGGTTGGACAGCCGGGGGTACCTGCTTCGCCAATTCTTCCTGCAGCTGGCTGTCTGCCTCTGCTGATTTGAGGCGGTCGATCTTCGCAATGAGCGCCTTGAACTCCTCTTCCTTCTTCTTGATGCTGTCTCTCAGCTCTTCCATTCTCTCCGCATAAAGGATCTGTGCCAGTGCCAGCTGGCTCTTACGGTCCATCTTCGGGGGCAGCCCTCGGGCTTCCTTGGGCCTTTGCTTCAAGATCACTGCTGAGCTCTCCACTTCCTCTTCGCCTCCGATGACGAGATTGTTGCTCCTCATGAGCGCTGTCCAGGTTCTCTCACACTCTCTGCTGCCGAATACGCGAACGAGTGTGGTGCCAGCCTCCTGCGCCGCCTTTAGGCGACCCGGAGTCTTGATGAGGGGATGAGCGAGCATCAGATTGGAGACGTTGACCCAATTGGGGGGCGCCTCACCGAGGTGATGTACTGCCTGAGCCAGGAGGAGCTTGTCGGAGACCTTCCATGACATGGTAGGGGCAGACGTAAAGAGGGGAGGCATGTCTGCGGGGGGCGTAGACCCTGACATGCTGGGCGAGATGTATGGTACTGGCGAGGAGGAGATGATCACCACTAGGCCGGAAAGAGTAGCAAGGCGGCGAGTGAGACCCGCACGCTCGTCTGCTTCACGCGCTCCTCGGCGACTTTTGACTGCCTCGCGCCCTTTCCGCTTTCATCAGACTGCTATGGGCTCCTACCAGCCGCTACTTGGTGTGCTTCGACTCTACTTCACTCGGGACACCCTCTTTCCCGTCCTCCGTAGCGCTGTTGCAATGGTCTTTGGGTGTGGCTGGACGCAAAATTTCCCGCATGCCTCATCGCCGACTCGCCGGACGTCGTTAGCGGGAACGTGTGCCTCGTCACTAGTGCCATTTCAGGTCTGGGCTTGGAAACATCATTTCAGCTGGCTAGATATGGCGCACGGGTCGTGATGAGCGTAAGAAATGAGGCTTGGGGTAAGAGTGCGGTACAGACGGTCCAACGGAGGCTCAGAGAAGAGACCTGTGGAAGCCACGCCAGTGGTAGTATCGAGCTTTTGGTTGAAACGAGGGGGGGAGGCTGGCGAAGGGAAGGCATCAATGCTCGACCTGGGAGACGTGAGGGCTGTGTGGAGTATGGTCAGACTTTCGCGAGGACACACACACAATCGGCTTGACAATCTCATCTGTTCAGCAGCAGCAGTACCTGGAATCTTCACCCTAGCTCAAAGCCCGGGTCATGAGCTTGCGTACACGACAAATCACCTCGGGCACTTCACCCTGATTGCTTCGCTCTTGCCGTTGCTGCAAGCCACAGCAGCAGCTCATTCTCTGAAAGAAGTTAGTGTCGTCATCGTCGCTTCGGACGTAACTCATCACATCTGCATAATAGGTCTTGGCAAGGGCAAGGGATTGGATCATGGATGTCGATCAGTTCGACAGTCCTGTAGGATAGACGATGATGCAAGCTTACCTTAGATCGAAGTTGTGCAACGTCTTACCGACGAGGCACCTGACCGAAAGGTCGCCGCTGGCGAGATCAGGGGATTCAGGGAAGCTGCGCATCGACAGCGTTCATCCGGGCGTGTTTGTGTCTGGTTCGTTGAATCTCACGAGAGGAGGGAGGACGCTGAGATGGGTACCATTGAGTCATTGGTGAAGAAGGGGGGCACAATGCTTCTCAATTCTAGCGGTGAGCTGCACATTTCTGACCTAGGCTCCCTCACTGAAGCTGTCGTTGAAGTTTGACTCGATGCCCTACTTCAGATGGACGCCGAGCGGTCTGCCCTGGCTACCCCCCACGCGTCCATTAGCCCCGAGGTAGCACGACAAGGCTATCATGGCGAGTCGTAAGTTACGAGCTGCAGTTTGGGAGGAGCACAGAGCACAGGAAAAGGGCACCACGCGGCACAAATGCTAAGTCAGTCGCCTCTCCGGTCATGTATGGGTACCTGCACAGCGTCTCTCCCTACGGCGTCGTAAAGACTGAATCTCTCTTCCCTCTCCTACTTGATCAGAGGGTCGCAAAAGACGTCATTGACAGTCACTGAAGCAGATGCAGGAGGCGCTGGGCAGCGATGTGGATCTCAAAAGACACATCAGGGCTGCGTCACAAGTACGGAAGGCATGCGGTGGCGATGTAGCCACGAAATGGTTCCTTATATCGCCTGCCCTATCAAAAGATACATTTAGTAGAGCATGACTCGACCTGCGCATCGCTGGACTTGCCTGCTGAGCGACAAAACGCCCGATCTTCGTCAGCGGCACACTCTCATGGTAGCTTGCTTGAAACATTCTGGAGCACTCGCACATGGCTTAATTCTCGATTGGCCTGTCGATCACTGTACGAGCCATACATTGTGGGCCCCGCAGGCGGCACGGCAACGTCACTACCAATCTTCAACCAGGAGCAGGCGACACCAACCGAGCAACTGGCCCCTACAGCGACGGCACACATAAGTTCCACGCAGTTGAGCGAGCTCTTGTGTGAGCACGTGAGTGGGCGTGCTCAGAGCATGCATGCCAGTGCGGTGCTCGTGTATTTGGTCAGATATGCCAACAGAGGCCGATGAGCTCTACGACGTGCAGCGCAGGCTGTTGACACCGACACGCGCGTGCGAATTGCACCAGTCGACCATTGGAGCAGGCACTCAAGCAGTAATCCGACGACGAATATCCCAATGAAGAGGTGTCATTCCGCGACGCAAAACATCTGTAGTCTGTTTCCCAATAAGAAACGCATTTTCGATATCCTTCTTCGTCTACGACAGCTGCTAGCTCATAATTTACTGCCTCCTACGAACTGTCTTCCCTTCTCATCGACATAGCTGGCAAGCGCCCTTCTCCTCGAATCACCACCATGGTGCACCGGCACGGGCGCATTGCTCCTCTCCCCTTCTCCTTCCGCCGCCGAAGCCCTCTTTTCAATGGACACGTAGTCCCTCTCGCCCTCTCCAACGTAGATTTGTCGGGGACGCCAGATGGTGACCTTTTGCTGGAGCATCATCTGACGCCAGTGGGCTAGCCAGCCGGCAACGCGGGCGACGGCAAAGATGACTGTGAACATGTCCGTGGGGAAGCCGATCTGCGTGTAAATCAGGCCGGACCAATAGTCCACTGAAGGGAGACAAAGAATGAAAGGAGGTGTGAGCTTACACAAGCTTTGAACCATATGCGAAAGATTTATCTTTCAGATATCTCACCATTGGCACCGAGCTTGCGGGAGACGAAGTAGTCGTCCTTGTTCGCCGCATCATTGAGGGCCAGCGCCGTGTCAAGGAGCGGACTGCGACCGGTAATCTTGAAGACGTCGTCTGCGATCTTGCGAATGACCTTTGATCGTGGGTCAGTGGTCTTGTACACTCTGTGGCCGAATCCGGAGAGGACCTCCTCCTTGCGTTTGACTTTTTCTAGGAATTCGGGCACCTTATCAGGGGAGCCGATGCGGCCCAGCATCTCTACCACGCTCTGGTTGGCTCCCCCATGTAGGGGACCACTAAGAGCTGCACAGGCGGCAGACACTACCGAGTAGGGGTCGGCAAGAGTGGATCCTACTTGCAGGCCAGTAGCGCACGAGGCGTTCAACTCGTGGTCGGCGTGGAGGAGGAAGAGCTGCGTGGAAAGAAAGGCCTTCTGCGTCAGCTACCAAGCTCTATTCTGATTGGCACATCCTCTGTCTACGTACTACGTCGAGCGCCTTCTCAAAGACTGGATTGGGGCGGTACTCCCGCTCGTTCAGCGTATCAAGCAGGTACAGGAACGTCCCAGCGTAAGACAAGCCCACCGGTGGTCGATTGAAAGGCCTTCCCTGTCGCACACGGTAGCTCATGGCGGCTAGCGTGATAGCCTTCCCCATGATGCGGTAGATTTGCTTGTCCATGATGGCCAGCGAAGCGTCTCCCTTTGTGTACAGCTTCTGACCCTGAAGCGAAGGGTTGGCCTCGGGCGCAAAAGCCCCGAGCGAGGCAAAGCCACTGGAGAGAATGAGCATGGGATGCGAGTCGTACCGGTGAGCGCGGATGAGCTGAGTCATGTCCTCATGGACATAGGAGTGGTGGAGGATCTCATCCTCCCACAGTCGGTACTGCTCCTTGGTGGGCAGCTGGCCATAGATGAGCAGGTAGGACGATTCGAGGTGGTTGCTAGACTCTGCCAGCTGCTCGATGGGGTAACCCCTGTACCTCAGCACTCCGTCTGTACCATTGATGTATGTGATACGAGATTCGATAACAGTCGTATTCATAAATCCTGGGTCGTGCACCCTGAGTCCTCCCTCGGTCTCATCCTCTTCCCTGTCGGCATGCTCAGCGCCAAAGGTGGGCCTGCGCTGGGACGAGACCTTCTTGAAATCAACTGCCTTGACGGAATTCCGGGTGATGGGGAATTCGTAGGACTTGCCTGTACGATTGTCAATGACGGTGATGGTCTGACGAGGAGCGGTAGCAGCAGTGGTGGACATGCCCATGATGGCCGAAGGGGAATTGGAATTGGGAACAAGTGGTATGGTAGGGGTAACGTTGGTCCAACACGGAAAGGGGACGCAGCGTGTGAGAGTGTCAGTGCACCGGACCGGCACTGGCGGCATTGACGGCCGTCCGCCCCATCTCGAATGGCGCACACCATTCGCGTGTGAAGCTCAGATGACAGGGCTCAGATTGTCAGATCGGTTACACTGGTGGCTTTGAGAATGTGTGGTAGAGTGTGCTGAATGAAGGATCAACGGCCACGGAGGTCGAAGAAGGGACAGTATGAGTACAAGAAAAGGGAAAATTGGGAAAGAAGACGAGCAGAAGCGATGTGTTCGTCGATGCCCAATCTTCCAAGACCGCTCAGCACATCCGAAGCAGCCCCTTTCCTTTGGTCATCGCATCGTAGTAGCTGCTCGTACGCGAGCGGAAAGAGCGCCAGAAGAGACACGAACAAGCAGCGAAGAGAGGCAAAAGATGGAGTCGATACCATCTCTTTACTTCTTGGCAGCAGCGGCCTCCTCCTCCTTCTGTTGACGAGAAGCGACAGGAAGAGGGGAAAAAGGCAAAGTCAGTAAATTGTTTCCTTCGCTCCTTAGCACTCTGGTGTCTCCTCCTAAAGGGAGTCGCCGCTCGGTCGTGCCTGAGACCTGAAGACCGTCGAAAATGGCACCGCCTCTTGCAGGCCTTGTCCGACATCCACTCGACGCCGGCGCTTGACATCGCCGGGCCATCGTTCGTTCCAAGTCACATGTGCATCCACCTGGCGTCGTCATCGCCTCGTACCATCCACCGCTCTTTGACTGTGACTCACCTTCTTCTGTCGGGCAGCCCGCATTCCCTCGTTCCTGTGCTTGGCACGCTCCTCCCTGAGAGTTCGGAAGGCGTTGAACTCCTTCTCCTCCGAAGTGATGGCACGAGGAGCCTCGGCCTGGTAACCAGCGGGGATGGGGAAGGCAGCGGCAGTGTCGCGGGTGGTGGTGAGCGAGGAGAGGTCGACCTTCTTGCCCTTGTTGGCCTTGTTGCGGCGAGGCAGAACAACGAGCTTCTCCTTGTAAGCCTTCAGACGGTCAGAGTTGAGCTTCAACGACTCCTCAGACTTGTTGCGTCGCCTGTGATCAACGGGAACACCGATGGAGCGAGCCTCCTTCTTGCGCAGGCCAGCGGCCTTGAGCTCCTCAACAGTGAAGCCCTTGCCCTCACGCAGCTTAGTGTTGTACTTGATGGTGGGGCAACGGACAGCCGGGCGGAGAGGCTTGACGGGTCGCAGACCAAGGGCAGCTGCCTTTGCAGTTCGGGCGTTGCGGCGGCTCTTCTTGGCTCCGGGCTGGTCGAACCAGACCTTGACCCTCCTCTGCCAGTCCTTGCGGAAATGGTTGTTGTGGAGAACGTTGTTGTGCCTGAAACCCATCTGAGGAGCAGGCAGGGAGAACGGATGGGGGGAAGAGTATGGGTGAGTCCATCTGTCGCGATATGAGTGGGACATCACCAGAGAAAGCTGCTATTGTCTCTTCCCACCAAAGGCTTCCCACGGCGCTCTTGTCCAGGCCCATGCCCGCCGAACACAACCTTCGACGTCTGACAGCTCAGCAGAGCATCAGACGTATACCATCCCGTTGCCCATCTCTATCCACGCGCGAAGTCTTCATCAGGGTGTCCTTGGAAGCTGCCAAACGGTCGCTGCAGTGACCAGCCTGTACTGCATCTCCCAATTCTGCCTGCTGTGCAATTCTCGTCGAGCACTTCGTTTGGGTCCTCGGCTTTGTATCCGTACGTGTGATGTGATGAAGTGTTGCGATGCGATACTCACTGTTGATGATGTTGAGGGGGAAGGATAGGGGAATAGAGGGTGGTACGAATCACTTGCCAACGACTGGTGGGTTTGGCCTGGCTGTGGAAATTCCAGCCGCAATCGACCCTCTTCCTCCGCCTGCACCAAAACAGCGCGCGCAAGACGCCCGGACGTTCGATCTCCGCCCGGCGTCACAGGCGCCCCTCCGTTCCGTTCCGATTGCTGCACCCTTGCCGCCCTCGATCAGCGGGCGCCAGTCGGAGTGTGGCACTCGCGTCAAGGTATGAACGTCCAGGCTGGATCGATGAGCATGACGTGGATGCCATGAGTGTGTCGATGAAACCAGCAGGAAGAGGGGGCGTGGGCAGAGTCTCAAACCTGTCCTCTTCGTACGGGAAAAGGCAGCGGCGGGCCACAGCTGCATCGAAGTATTATTGTCGAGCGCTCATAGATGTCCACAGCAAGTCCAGGCAGGTCATGTTGCGTAGCCAATTGTCCCACGGGCCCAGACGGTCTGGCCCCACCTAAGTAGCAGAGATTCGCTCGCCCAAATTTACTGAAGTCTGCAGACTGTTCCTGCCCAATGTACTGGACAGTCATTTCAGGAATATGTACTCGATGGCATTAGTGAAAGCATAAAACATCCTCTGAAATCGTGGCCTCCAAATTCTCTATTTCATTTCGGCCCCGCTCAACCGCTCAGCTTGACCTTGGAGCGCCCCCGCTGCTCTGTTCTGTGGCATTCGGTTGACCAGAACCACCCGTACTGGCCTCGGCTCCCGCTCCCCCGCCACCGACGATGAGTTGAGGCTTCTCCACGACGAGCTTGTCGCCCTCGTAGATTCTATTCATCAACGCCGCCCTCTTCAGCGCTGCTAGATCCTTGACGGCGGTCTGATAGAAGATCCTCAGCCTCTCGGCATCGATGCCTTCGTCGTTTGCTGGATTTGTTGCGCCGGAAGGAGGTGGAGCAGATAGCTTGGAGGATGATGTCGAAGCGAGGGCAGAAGGAGAAGGGGAGAGTAGCGTCGGCGGCGAGACTTTCACTGTCTCTGTGCCAGCCTTTGAGTATGGCGAGGAAGTGGCGGCTTGCTGAGGCGGCAGAAGAGTGGACCTGAAGAGGTCTCGCGAGCGGCGCAGGAAATAGGTACGGAAATTGTACGAGGACTGCAAAGCCAGAATCAGCAAGGAGGGAGAGCAAGCGTCGGTGAGTGTGAGGGATCTTTACTTCATGGTCCTTTACCACGCCTACGGACGCAGCTGTGTCACGCAAAAGGCGTGAGCCGACTCAGCCGTGGTCTACTCACGAATGATTGAGCCGTGGCAAGGTAGCTCCTATACAGCCCAAGAATCTGAGCGCGACTTGGCGAAGACATGATGAATCAAGTCTGGGGTATAGTGGCAGTACTTGGAGCAATGGCGGATACGATGAAGTGCACTTGATCGTAAGGTGATGCGGAGCGGAAGTAGTGGCCTCACCCATTTCCAAGTGGATCCGATTCAGACGCCGAGGCTGACTGACCTCTCGGGTCCGCGCGTGTGTCGGCCTCAGCCCACTCGAAGCCCCGCCCGTGGTCCCCGCGATAATCAACGCGTGGGACGAGGCGCTGCACCCGATCAGGCGTCCACGAACCTTTGATCCCCCTCTGTACGGGTCAGGTGGCCAGCATCGCATCGCTGGCTGCTACCGAACTTACGTCTTGTCCCTCGTCTTCCTCTTCCTTCCCTCCCTGCCTGTGGCGTGCGTCCAGATGGAAGACGAGCTTTCCTCCTCCAGTCAGACTGGCTACGTCCTTCCTCCCCTCTCACAAGGCCAATATCCTTCCCAGGGCTATCGCTCAGCTGAGCCCTTCCTTCCATCTTCCTCACCTTCAAATCCTCACAAAGACCACGATCATCTAAAGTCTCCCGTGACGCCCCCCTCTTCGCCGCCGTTGAGAACGCATACGCGCTATCGCACGACATCGGCCAATGACCCATTCTCAGCTGCTGCTAAGGCCGGACTCAATCAGCATCCATCCTTCGGCAAAGAATATCCGCACGTCAAGCATCCCGGCAGAGGCAAGAGAAGTCTTCCTCCTAGCCCTAGTGTCCTCGAGGGCTCCGCAATCGTGACTGGCTCGGTAGCTGGTTCGCTTGATCCCTCCTCCTCGCAGTCTACCTCGGCATCGTCATGGCGTTCTTCACAAGCCGTCCACCGCAGAACTATCGCAGGCTCTCGCGTCCGCAGAGGCAAAGATGACCTCAGCAGCGATAGCGGTACGGACGTTGCGCGTGATCGAGCTTTGGCGAGGGCATTCGAGTTCTCTGACGATGCTCCTACCTCGGATGATCACTTAGAGGCCGTCCCCTGGGAACAGCCAAGCAGCGATACGGACGGTGGCATGGTCGGGCTGGGTCTAGGACCAAGCTTCCAGGAAGAAGGCTCTCCCTCAGCGGGTCGGCGCCGCCCAGAATCATATGCTCCTGTCAGAAGCTCTGCGAAGCGGTCTGCCTTCTCGCGATCCTCTTCCGTCAATGACCCCTTTGGCGCTTTCGGCTCGACCCTCTTCCCTACTCATGATCATCGTCCGATATCGAGTACCAACTCCCCCGGCAGTGGACAGCCTCTGACTCAAAGACGTCGCCTGGTAGGCACATCGCCCAAGAAACTGACTGTGACCGGCCAATCTGGCTGGGCAGGTGCGATGAGTGAGAGTGATGAGGAAGTCGATACTCGCCAGTCAGCGAGGGACAGGAGGCTGAGTGCAAAGCCCATGACAACGGCTCAGACCTGGCACAAGCTCGTTGAGCAGGTTTGGGATTCAGGGGATACCCGCATAGACATCAGGTGAACAAGAGCTGGAATCGTGGGAGCGAGTGATCGAGGACCATTTGCTGACTCTCTGCTCCTTCATCTGGACCACCAGCGACCGGCAACTAGACGCGATTCATCCCATCGTCGCCGACCTAGCAAAGTATGTCGCCATCGAGCCTCCAAGGTCCTTTGAGCCCACGACGTCCACCTCTTCACTTCCAAGTCGCATGCACCCTGCACAGGGGCAGATCAGCTCTCGCACTCCCTTTGCAAGAACTTCCACGAGCGTTACTGGAGGCTCAGCATGCACATCACCTGCTGGGCCATCTACACAGGGAAAGCTGCAGCTTTACCTTGCCAACAATCACCTCACGAAGATACCCTCTGCCCTCTTTGAGGTCGGCAACTTGCGCGTCCTATCTCTGCGCAAAAACAGTCTGAGCGAGCTTCCTTGTGCCGTGGGACAATTGCGAAACCTTAGAGAGCTCAATGTTGCGAACAATCAGCTGCGATACCTGCCGGCGGAGATCCAGAAGTTGAGTTTGGACGTCTTCTCCTACTTTCCCAACCCGTTCATGATGCCGCCCAAGGATGTGAAGCTGGAAGTCAGGAGCGTCCACTGCATCACCGGAAGCCTGATGGCTTCAATCTCTGCTGCTTCGGAAGACGCGAAGGATAGGGATGAAGATCAAGTCGATGAGCCTGCTCAAGACGACGGTGACAACATGGAGGCAGAGTTTCTTGCAGCTCACCAGAGCGACCTCAATACACCAGGCAACATGCTCTCGTCCCAATCGTCAATGGGACCTCCCCCATTACCGGTCAGATTCACCCGAGGTCCAGCTGGGGTACTGCCACAACCTCTGACAGGCTCTGTGGCCTTGCCACGACGTATCTTTGACCGTACGCGATCAGATGCTCAAGTGGATGAGCTACTCGCTCGAGGTGGTGGAAGGATGCTTGCACGGCCGGCCGGACCACAGGCGCCCTCCAATCTAGGGACGATGATGGAGGTGTCGGCGCCCAACGGAGACGACAGCCTTATGGAAGAGACGTCCGCACCGTCACCGAAAGCCACAGGTATGCAGATTCTGCGCTACTTGGGTCCACTCAAGGCGTCTGAACCCGCTGTACCTTCGCTTCAAGAATTGTGCATTCGAAGCATCTTGTCTCCCTGCGAAGCATCACGTCCCCCCTCGCCAGAGCCTTTGAAGACTTCTCAACCCGCAATAGCAGATGCGGCACCATCGCTGGGTGGCTCTCGTCCAGTCGTCTGGACACGTGTGCCTTCGACGTCTTTGGCGTTCCAACATCAGACTCAGCGACCAATGACTCTCCTGGAGAGCTATGAGAACGGAGTGCTTCGCGAGCTCGACACCGACTGCAGATTGAATGCAGCCACCATCAGTCTGCTGGAAGCAGCCAGAAGAAGCATCGAGGGCAAATGGGGCAGTGGCAGTGGTGCTGCGACCTCATCAAGAGGGACCAGGGCGGGAGAGCAGGACAGTTGGTGCAAAGGCGTTGCCGGAAAGACTAGCGATGATGAGGAAGCAGGTGCAACGATGCGGAGTAAAGAGGAGGACGATGCGGATGCCTCCTCGCCGGGCTCGGACGATGGCTTCGACCAGACGATCGTCTCCCTCTCTCCTTCCTTGCATCGCCGGGCTACCTCCACTGCCGCTATGGGTACGCTGCCCCCACCTCAGGACATCTCTACGAAGCTAGACTCGGAGGGGGACGATGCCACGTGCAACCCGCACTTCAACCGCTGTCCAAATCCGCTACATCCACAAAGCCGGGCGCTAGCTGAACAGGCAGGCATCCATGCGGATGTCCTGGCGGGCACTGCAATGAACATGGACTATCCCCTTGCACCTTTGCTGGCGCCATTCGCGCCCTTGTTCGCAAAGCCATGTGAGGAGAGGGTAGAGTGGGTCAGTCATATTGGCGGTTTCAGGGTGCTGGGGGGTAAGGCAGACGTGGAGAAATTGAAGGGCGTGAGTGCCCAGGACCACAACCTGCTGCCGCTGCTCTGGAGAGGTTGTTCACGTGGCTGTTTGGCCTTCCTGGAGGAGTAAATGGCTGGACAGAGCCAGACAGGCAGCCATTTGGTTGCGCTCGAAATATCACTTGTACATTCACTCTGACCACCTTCGATGTGCCTACTATAGGGTTGACTCTCTGTGTCAATGTTGTTGTGTGCACATTCTTCCCTACCTACAGGGACCTCCCTCTGTGATGGGCATCACCTCATCGTTGGGGCCGTGCATCACACTGCCAAGGGGGGCGACGGAAGTGGAGCTGGGCGCAGAGGTGCATGGCGACGGAGCACCGAATGCAGGCAGCCGGAGAGGGCGGGGCGGGGCCAGAGCGGGGCGGAGGCGAGGCAGCAAGACCCTGCTAGGCCAGAGATATCAGCCTTGCACCAACATCCCTATACAGAACAGACCATACACATCGTCAGACCATTCTCATTGTCTTTGATTGCATCCTCCAGATTCCTCAGCCAAGCACCACGATTCAGCATCGACTTCTGATAGAAGGAAATTCTCGCCGCACCTGATCCCCCACCCTTCACACGCCACTGCCCAACCTCCCACCCACCTCGACCTCTCGCTTACCCGCACGTCCACCTGCAATCAAGAGTAGGGCCTCGAATCCTGCCTCGCTGCAAGGTCTCCAGAAGAATATTGCGTCTGCATCACACTAGCATCGAGCTGAAACATCAAGCCCGAGCCTAGCTCCCCATTGCATATCGCTTAGGTCTGCTTCACTGCCGCTCCTGCCTGCAAGGGCAGTCTGAGCAGCCTCTTAGCATTCTTGCAAGGTCGGCTGGGCCTCCAACAGCTAGTTTTTGTGGAGACATTGCCCTCAAGGAACCGTGACTATAGACACAGGACAAAACCTCTACAGATACAAAGATGAGCTCTCCAAAGAGGAGGATAGAGACGGATATGATGAAGCTGTGAGTACCCTTGGGGTGAAGGCGGCCCTCATGGCGAGAAGGATCAGCTCAACTCACCACTTCACGAATGGTTTCCGAACATCGAACGTCTCCCCCACTACCTCATCTCCTTCCTTCAGGCTGATGTCGGACCATGAAGTGACACTGGTCAATGACTCGATGCAGGAGTTCTTTGTGCAATTCAAGGGGCCCGCTGAGAGTGAGTAGAGGTACGACAGCGGTGAAAGAGAAGGTCAAGTCATGACTGACGCCTGGTACGCCTTCCTGAATCGTCTTGGCCCTCATTGTGTTGCCACCCGCTCCTCTCCCCACTCTCTGGCGCTTTGACTCGCTCCAGCACCCTTTGCCGGCGGCGAGTGGCGGATTCATGTGGAGCTGCAAGACCAATATCCCTACAAGTCGCCCTCGATTGGCTTCATGAACAAGATCTTCCACCCCAACATCGACGAAATGTCGGGTTCGGTGTGCCTGGACGTGATCAATCAGACATGGTCGCCCATGTTTGACCTGGTCAATGTCTTTGAAGTCTTTCTGCCTCAGCTGCTACGGTATCCGAATCCCACGGACCCTCTGAATGGGGATGCGGCAAGTCTGCTGATGAGAGATCCCAAGAGCTATGAAGTCAAGGTGCAAGACTATGTGCGGAGATATGCTAGTGGGAGTGGAGGCGCTGCGGGGGCAAAGAAGGCTGGTGAGGAGGATGAGGATGAAGAGGACGACAGCGAAGAAGAAGAGGAGATGAGCGATGCGGGCAGTTTTGGAGACGAGGACGAGGCAGCAGACATGGAGTTGTAGAAGCAAAGGTAGGGGGACCGACTCGGGTCAGTGGAGACTGCAGACTAGCAGCATTGCACTTTCGGGCTGGGACAGTGGCGTGTAGCCTTGGTTCCTGGTCATGTCCATCGGCCGCTGTCTGTGATCCACGACGATGGAAATGGATGTGTTGGTAGGTTGAATCTCCTTTGCTCATGCCTTGAATACATGCGTCATCCTCTTTTGAATGTCTGTGCTGTCCCTCTGGCCGCCCTGGTGTGAGTGGGGCAAAGGGCGGAAAGAAGGGGCCCCTTGGGGCGGAGAGGCGGAGCGGAAAGAGGGGAAAAAGTGGCCTGGCCTGTGTGGCGCTGAGCCGAGTGGGATGGGCTGGGCTCAATCTAGATTGCAGAAGCGAATGCGTCCACGCCAGAAGGGGAGCTTACCATTGAGAATCAGCTCAGTCCTCTACCCTTGCTTAAAGGGGTCCGCTTTCATCCACTCGACGTCGTCTACATTTGAGAGTACCCCTCCTATCCACAACTTCTTCAAAAGTGATCCACAAGTCTACCCACCACGGCAACCCCTGGCGTAGGTGCGTGCCTGACTTGTTGCCCTCCTTCCACTGCCGATCCAAGCGGCATCCAGAGCCGAGGCCAAAGTCAAGACCAGAGAGCAACACAGCAAACGCGGCACACCAGAAGCCGAGGCAGCGACGGCACTCGTAGCACTGCTGCCACTCTCACCCTCACCGCCACGCCACGCCCCTCAAGAGCACTGGCTGTACCTGCCTGGAGTCTCACATCTGCACCTATAGTACCCCATCTCCAGCATGTCTCGCTTCCTACGAGGCCTACGTGGCACACCCGCCTCCTCGTCTGCCTCCTCGTCCACTTCTACAGCCGCAGACAGCACTGCTCCCTCTCCTCTGAGCAACTCCGCCTCCACATCTGCCAATACCTCTCGTCCATCCACACCCACACACCACCTCCTCTTTGAGCCTCATGGCCAAGTGCGGCGACGTCCTCAGGAGGAACTCTCCGCCGAGGATCAGGCAAAGGTTCGAAGGCTGCGCGAACACATGGAGAGGCTAGTGCAGAATCATTACTACATTGACGCGGATGGAGTCGAGGGAAAGGGGAAGAAGAGGAGAGAGGATGGCTCCAAGGATCCTCAGGGTCAGCTGGTGGAACAATACTATGAGCAGTGGGAGTATAGGTGGCTCGATCTAGAGCAAGGAGAGGGCAATACCGTCAGGAGATATCTCAGGGCGGGTAAAGGCAACGAGGAAGACGCCATCAAGAGGCTCGAGGTGAGTGGCCTGATCCCTGTTGACCATGATGTGCCGCTTCATCAACCCCCTAAACACATCCCCCATCTCTCCTCTGACTTCTGCGCCTGTCCCCAGTCCTCTCTGGCATGGCGTCGCTCCTTCAAGCCAGACATCATCGTCCCCGAAGACGTACGCGTGGAAGGCGAGACGGGCAAGTCCCTCCCGCTAGGCTACGACGTCGAGGGTCGCGTGGTCCTCTACCTCAATCCGGGAAAGGAGAATACCAGGCCTTCGGAGCGCCAGATCCGACACGTCGTCTGGGGTCTAGAACGAGCCATAGACCTTCTACCCCCCTACCAGAGCAAGCTCACCTTGGTCATCGACTTCAAGCACTCTTCCCAAGCGCAGAATCCCAACATGTCCACTTCCATCCGAGTCCTCTCCATCCTGCAGAATCACTACGTGGAACGCCTGGGCCTAGGCTTGGCCCTCAATCCACCCTGGTACCTCAATGCCTTCTGGGCCTCCCTTCAACCCTTTCTCGATCCAATCACAAAGACCAAAGTCAAGTGGAACCCGCAGGGCGAAGAGCTCCGTGGTCTTATTCCACCTCAACAGCTTCCAAAGTATTATGGTGGCGACTACAACTTTGTGTTTGACAAGGACATCTTTTGGAAGGAGATTACGGACTGGTGCGGAATTGCCGAGGATGGCAAGAGGAGTCATGAAAGTTGGAGCAAGAAGGGAGGGAAACCCGAGGAGGTGGACATGGCAGTGACAGATCGTCAAGGGGCCGCTACCAATGCAGGTCGCCCAGCTTCGATAGCCTCATCGGCATCCGATGGAGCTTCCTTCACGAGCGCAAGCGGGGAAGCGAATGGCGCACCGCCATGACAGGTCGGTCGGGTCAGGTCAGGTTAGGTCCGATCCGCTAGACGATTCAGACATTTCAGGTCAGAATTGGGAAAGGGTTGGACACGAAGCATGTCTTATAGAGCCAGTGCCAAGATGTGGACGCAGACGCAGACGCAGACGCAGCTGCAGGCAAGACGATACCTAGACTAGGAGCCACTCCACTTGTGTACCGTAGAGCAGCCAGAGCGATCCACTCGACGCCCATCCAAATTTTTATCCACAATGACATTCATCCCCCATTTCATTCTGGCTGTAGAGTGTGAAGAGTCGGCCACAACATACAGACAAGTAGACGGTAGGCATAGGGACAGATTCACGGTACGGAGAGTATGTGTGGCAATTGACAAGTGATAAAGTATGTGGGTTCGCCGCCAGAAGGAGACGTAGTAGGAGACATCAACGTCGCATGGTGCGATGCGGCGCGGCGCGCCGCGGCGCCAGTTTGGGTCAAAGTGAAAACATGACATGGGCAGAGAGTAAAGAGATTGAAGAAAGAAGACGAAGACGAAGGAGGGGGAGGCGAGAGACATCTCCAGAAGAAGGCTCGCGATTTGAAGCACATGTGTGCAGCGAAGGCGGAAGTAGAGCGCCGCTGTGCGCCCGTCGACAGCCAGTGTCGATCTTGGCTCCTTGCTGGTCATGATCGCCACCATCACCTCCACCTGCGACTTCGTTTGCATGCTCGCTGTGATGTAGCATCCCGCAGCTAGAAACGAACCCCTTACCGCCTAGCGGTATCCGTAATTGTGATAATCCTGCTGGTTCTGATATTGTCCTTGGTAGTTGTTCGGCTGCTGATGTCCATTGTAAGCCTGTGGGTTCATTTGAGGAGAAGACATGTACGCTTGTGGGTTCATCTGAGGGGATGAGACGCCCACATCGCTGTATGCCTGCTGATGTTGATGCTGATAGTCTTGGTACGGTCCCGCGTTGCTAGCACCGCCGCTGGCGCCGTTGGTTGGGGGCGAAGCGACACCGTAGCCGCCGTCGTCGTACCCGTTCATGTAGGCATGGGGCGACGAGAGGTCAGGCTCCATCATTGCGCCCGGGTACCCTACGGTGGAGCCACCGGCGACGCTCTCCGTGGCGCCTCCTCGACCCGACTGACTCTTGACGTCGCTAGCGCCAGAGGGACTGTAATCGTCATAGTATGCCTGATTGTTGCCATTGCCCTGCGCAGAGAGATAGTCCGGTGCAGCTCCATACTCGTGTCCAGTCTGATTGTAGTCCTGCTGATTCGACTCGTATGGTGATGTGTTTGAGCCGCCGTAGGCTCCTGCACCAGTCAGATGGACCGTCGAGCCGCCATAGGCACCGGCGACGGTGACCATGTGATCTCCATACCCTCCAGCACCGGCGATGTTGCTCATGGTCATGGATCGCCTGCCGTCGACGTCTTCATCGTCGAGCCTGCCTGCATCCGAGTAGGTGTCCTCGCCCATGTCAAAGCCTGCTCCACCGGTGCGACGTGCTGGCAAGGGCTGCATGGCGGCCACGTCGCCCTCTGCATGCTTGAGCTCGGGCCACTTGATGTCAGCATCACCGTCGTCGAAGCCGGACCTCTTGCCAGTGAACCTCATGAGGAGGAACACAAGACCTCCTAGCAGAGCCAGTCCACCCACGGCACCCGACACACCGGCGATGAGGGCAGTGTGAGATCCGGAATTGTCTGCTTCAGATGTGGCAGTAGCGGAGGGCTGCTGTGTAGTCGAGGCCTGTACGGTGGAGGTGAGTACGACAATGGAACCGGCGGCGTCTGTGGAAGTGGCCAGGAAGGAACTTGCGGCGGCAGTCGCCGCGGCGGTGGATGAGGCAGCGGCGGAACGTGAGGCAGCAGAGGCAGAAGCCAGGGACGCGGCGCGAGCAGCCGACGATGAAGCGGCTGCATCGGCCTGTGAGGCGGATGCTGCTGCCTGCGATGCCGACAGTGACGCCTGTTGTGCGGCGGAGGAGGAAGCCGCGGCGGCCACCTTGGACAAGGAAGAGGAAGATGCTTGGGCAGCGGCGGAGGATGAGGCTGCTGCTGCTGCTGTATCGCTCGAGGAGGAAGTCGAGGAGGGTGAAGATGGGGACGAGGTTGAAGAGGCGGCGGCGGTTGTGGTCGGGGTCGAGGAAGTGGCTGAATCTGACCCGTCGAGTGAGTCGGAAGTGCTGGAGTCTGAGCCATCGTCTGATCCGAAAAGTGCTCTTGGGAGAATGTCAAGAGGCGCGATGCGTATCCTCCTCTCCATGCGGTCTAGTGCGCTGGCGTTGGCATTGGCGGGGGCGAGAGCGGAGGTAGCGATGAGGAATGCTAGGATTGAGACGAGAGGAGGGAGGGTAGTATTCCGTAGGAGGACCATTGTAGGCGATTGTGTGAGCGGTGTGAGTGAGAAAGATGGGAAAGAGGACACCGGCGAAAGGAGGAAAGGAGGAACGAGGGAGAGTCGTTGTTGAGGCAGACGCTTGTGAAGAGAGGGTTTGTGGTCGTGAGAATCGAGATGAAGATGTTTGTAGTTGGGCCGTCAGGGGGTTGTGCGAGTGTGTGTGTGTGCGTGTGTGTGGGTAGGTATGCGATCGACGATGGTGCCAGTCCTTCGATGGAACGCAGACAGGAGTGAGAGTGAGGGGAGAAAGGGAGGGTGAAGAGGGAGAGAGGGAGAGAGGCAGACGAGATCAGGGTCAAGGAGAGGATAGAGTCCAGGAGTGAGTGAGATGAGGAGTGAGTGTGTGTGAGTGTGTGTGAGTATATGCTCCTCGATGGAAAGGGATGACGAGGGGAGGGCGCAGGCGGGCGGGCGGGCAGGGCGGCGAGGGACCCCCAGGCGCAGGCAGAGGCGAGACCAACAGACGCGCGCAATTCCGGGCACGGGAGGAGTGCAGCCAAAAGGGGGACCCCGGCGCGTGGGCGCAGAACAACACTGCCGGGCGGGCGCGCGGCCGTGGTGAGATGCACAAGGTAAGAACAAACGCAGCCAATGGCATCGACAGCACAAGGCCAGGAGCACAGTGGCAAACAGGGGGGCAAGGCGGGGCACAGAGGACCACCACGACCATCCCCAATACACGCAGCGCACACAAGCCCAGCCTCGGCCTCATTCCCATCGACGTCCCTCCCCCGACGACAAACATCGGCCACTAGATTGGCACCAGCAACCCCCCCTCCTCGCGTGGCTTCTCCTCGTCTAGGTAGGCCAGTCATCGCATCGCATCGCATCACATCGCATCGCAGTGCATCGCATCGATGAAGGGGACAATCCATCCATCCATTCAGGGCGATCGAACCAACTGACCCAACGAAATCCAGGCAAAGGAGTTGCACTCCCGTCCCTGTACGCCCGCCGGCTTTCCCAGCTGCACATCCAGGTATGCTTCACTCTATCCCACGCATGTAGGAACTGCTCAATTGCTTGACATTGCATCTCTAGCGCTCCCGGCCATGCAAACGCACACACACACACATTCGACCCTCGACGACTCCGTCTGACCCTAAAGCTCGCCC